TACGTCCAACCTAAAATTCTAAACCCGCCCAAACTAGCAAACTGGCATGAAATCAGAATAAAGATGTTTTAAGATAGACAAGGCCCCATCCCACCCCCCAATTTCCCTCTAATGTAACCTTTTCTCAGGAAGCTACTGGAGGATGTGCTCCAACAAAACTAGGGAGTAAAAAAAACAAGAACCAGGGAACAGGGGCCTCAAGGTCACCGCTCCCTACTGATGGCTAAAGCAATCCCAGGATAAGTGTGGGACAGCAGAGCTAGACAAATATGACATGGGGCAAAAGGACGGAGGGCTTCAGAAGAGACAGTGACAAGGGGGATAAAATCAGATCAGGTGAGGAAAGTGTAATGAAAACTAAGGGAAGGAGAGCTTCCCTTTTTATCCCAATAGGGGGATAAAAGCAACTAACCCCCTATTGAGAATCTCTGTCACAAGAATTAGGGCTGAATTCATTGCAGGAACATGGAAAGTAAGGAAGTGAATAACTGATGCTATTGTAAGTCCGAGGAAAAACACAAACAGCGACAAAAAAATGTAGAGGATATACACAAGAGAAATAAAAACGTCTGCCCAAACAAAGCTTGTATACAAATGTCCCTAGCTGCTTCATTTATAACAGCCAAAAAAGTGGAAACAACCTAGGCACTGACTGATGAATGGGTAAATAAGGCATGACGTATCCACACAAGGGAACACTATGCTGCAACACAGATGAACCTCGACATTATGCTAAGTGAAGGAAGCCACATCTTGTACGAGTCCATGTAGGTAAAATGTTCAGAATAGGGCAAATCCACAAAGACGAAGGTAAATGAGCTCACTGAGCGGTCTCTTCAATCTTTTCCAAAGAAAACAGCTGCCTCAACTTGCCGTCACCCACTCATTCCTGACTTCCTTATGGCTTACGTAGACTTGACCCCTTCATCCAACTGCTCTGTCCCATGTCAGCCTCCAAACTGCCAAATCCCGCAACTCCTTTCATGGCTTTGTCCTCCTTGCTGTCTCTGCAGCACTATCCGTCATCATCCACTAGCCACTCCTTGAGAAGCTCTCCTTCCCTTAGTTTTCATTACACTTTCCTCACCTGATCTGACCTCTCCGTTCTATCTTCTCTCTCACCTCTAGCCTCAACTCCAGTGATGACTCCTCAATCTCCATCCCCAGTTTTGACCTCCTCCTGAGCACTGGCCTCGGATTACCTTGTGGATGACCACCCCACCCCCAGCACCTCAATTTCTGCCCACTGAAGACAAATGTTTATCATCTCCCTAGACCAGTTCTTCCTGCTGGCTCCTGAACTTTCCCAATGCCCCAGGATCAAAGCTGTGATGGAATCTTAGAATTCCACCTCTACTCTGCCTTCAGGGTGAGGCCTTCGCTGAGGCCCTACTGTTTTAGGTCCACCATCTTGCATGATGGCCACTTCCTATCCCAACCCCATCACCCTTAGTATCATCATCTCACACCTGGAAATGGCTGCAGTTCCCTCCCACTGACCTGGTCTCCCTGATTCCAATCTTCCTTGCCCATCGCCACAGTCAAATTTTCTTAAAATAAGTGGTTAGTGTGTCATCACCCTACTTAAAAATCCTCAGCAGTTCCCTCTGTACATTCCACAAAACATGTGCATCAGGTATGAAGACTCTTCAGTTTAGCTCCAACTCACCTCTCAGACCTTATCTTCTACCGTTTCCTTACACACATCATAAGAGTCCAAGAACTTGCGAGCAATCCTTTATCTCTAAGGCAGCTTGATCCTCCTCTGCCATGTGCTTGTCACGCTGAGTTTGCTACCCACCCTTTTGGGTCTCATAAGAAGGACACCTCTGTCACTGTGCTTTTCCTGATCCCAGTGGGAAAAAATATCTCACCTCTCTGCCTTTCCAGAAGACTTGGTTTATCACAATCCATGAGGCACTTTCTCATAATACAGCTATCTGCCACAAAAGAAAGTACTCTAGATATCCCATCATGGGAGAGGTGGTGCTGGTAGCCTGGAACAACAGAGCATCCTGCAGTGGAACAAGGTCCTGGAGACCAACCAACATGTTTCTTTGTTGGGCCTACAGTATGCTTCTTTAAAACAAACAAAAACCACTTTGAGCCAACATTTTAAAATGTGGATATTTCACAGATGACAGATCCCTTTTCCAAGAGGCTTCCCTTACCTACCTAGTCTAGTCTGCCCTAGCCATTCTCTAGAATACGGGCCCATTTTCTTTTCTTCATGTATCCTGCCAGAGTGTTCATTTCAGTTATTTGTTCAGCTTGTGTTTATTCCCTCAAGAATTTATGTTCTCTGAGGGAGAAGAGAATGTGTATGTCTTGTTCAAATCTCTCCTCGGCACTCTGTCCATCGAATGGGTCCTTAGAAGCCACCTAAGAGATGTGCTGGACAAATGAACGGATGCGGCCTCCTTGGACTCACATCCTCAAAGGACACTCATGGATTACAGCAGGAATGATGTTGCCCAGTGAGGCATCCTTGCCCACCTGGTTCCTGGAGGCAGGCATGAAAGCTCGAGGTTCCAAGTACCATCCCCCAACCCCCATCACACACAAAGTATGCGTACTCATATTCATAGTCTTTTCTTCCTTACCTGACTAGCTCCTAGAAGCAACTGATCTAACCCAACCCCAGGGGCTGTGTCTATCTAGTATAACTTAGATAGTCCAGCCCAAGGTTGCTGGACTTATTCAGGCATTCGGCAAGTATTTAGTTCTAAGTGCAAGAAATACAGCATGAAGGAAACAGAAAGATCTGGCCCTCATGAAGCTGACATTCTGGAGGAGGAATGGATGTAGAATTCAGGGATATCTGTAATTGCAGACCACTGGCCTTCACCCTGCCCAACCCTTCTTGTGCTCCAAGACCCCGGTCAAAGGCCACCTCCTTGGTGTGGTCTTCCTGGTATGAGTCTTTACCAAACTCCTTCAGTGATGACTTTCACTTACTGCTCTGAGCAAGTATAAGCTATTCTATCCTGGCATTACTAGTTTTATTATTGTTCATCTTAAGCTCCATGAGGCCATAAAATTCTCTTTCCTGTCTCTCATGTTCCCTACAGCTGAGAAACCACAGCTGGCATTGAATACTTGTTGACCAGTTTGGACAGGGAGTCATTTTTTCCCAAATCTGGTATGGGGACCTGTGAAGCCACGGAACCACGGTGGTAGTTTCCATAAGGTATATTTTACTCAGAAGACTATAGGGGAAAGGTTAATATTTAACCACTAGGGAATTCAACACATTATAAATTAATATAAATAGGAATCAGTTATGGAATGAGAAGGCAAAATGCACATGAGTTCCTTTGTGTGAGCTTGCTGTTGGGCAGCCTTGGACATACTTCTTACTGGCTAGGTAACCTTGGCTAAGTTAATGAACCACATTAGGCCTCTGTTTCAGGATTTATTAAAGGAGATGAGAGTAGTATAACAGATGTTATTCTACCTGGCGAAAGTGTTGTCAAGGATTGAGACTATTCACATGTATGAGTGCTTAACACCGTGCCTGGCACATAAATGCTCAAAATATGTTAGCTGTCCTTGTTAAGTTCCAAGAACCTCTCTTCTCCATTTGTTAATACATCTCTATTTAGGAGCCCTTCGTGGAAAAATCTGTGGTTAGATTTGGGGCTTCAATTAAGGGTCTTAGCTCACCGCCAGGAGGGCCAAAAACAGAAGGCAAGGAGAAGCCAAGGGGTTAAACGTCACAGAAGCAAAATGAGAAACAGATCCTTTTCAATTAGCTGCTGCCACTTATCTCTCCCTCTAAAAGAGAATCTTCTGCTGCCTCAGTGTCTTCATCTGTACAATGGGGATGTAGCCACTGTTTCTGCCTGCAAGACTGTAGTGAAATCCTGGACATGACAGCACTTTATAAACTAAGAGCGCAATGCACTTGAGTCACTGCTTAAAAGCATGGGTTCTGGACAATCTCAGGTGAGTGACCTTAGACAAGCAAACATCTGGCCTCAGTCTCCCATGGGGCCCTAGTGAGAAGTGAAACAATGAAAAGAATTTGGGGACTACAACACCAGAAGAACCCAACTATTGAGTTACTATTATGATTATTAACCTATTCACTGGACTCCTCACTACCAAGAGTCAGATGAAAGCCTGATACAGTGACCCCAACACTAGCCCAGGAGATGGGCTCTCTAACCAGCTGGTTGACCTTGGGCAAGTAGCTGACCCTCTCCAAACACTGGGTTCCCATGGTCACAAAATGAGAGCATTGCAAGAGAGAATCCCTGGGCTCCTACCAGCTCTTCCACTCCGCTGTTAAGGTCTCCGGAACAAAGGCTACCCGCTCCCCAGCCTGTCCCCGAAGGGCCACAACTCAAAATTCTCGCTGCTCAATTCCCTTTGCAGCGCGGCAGCAGGAGCGCCCGGGTCTCCACCCCGGAGAGAAGTGTCCACACTCCGCCGCCACCGCTCGCTTCATCAGCAACTTGCTTCTGCAGCCGCTCCCTGCCCAAAGTTTCCCTGAGCGCCAGGGGACCCGGCGGCGGGTCAGCCCCGGGAAGCCCAGAGAGCAGCGCGCGGAGCCTGGGGACCCGGTTTCGGTGATCCCCAAGCCGCCCCCGCAGCCGGGCGGGGAGTGACAGGTGCGCCGCGGAGCTGCGGGCGGCGGGAGAGCGCGACCCCGGGCGGCGCGTGTAGGCGCGCGAGGGAGGCGGCGGCCGCGGCTCTCCTCAGGCTGCTCCCCCGGGGCTCGGGACGCCCCCGGCTCCGCGCCCCCGGTCCCACGACCCTAGCTCCGCTTCCGGACACGAGGCGCCGCAGAACCCGGCGGCCGCGCGGGGGCCCAAACTCGCAGCGCTCGACAGGGCTGGGTTCCGCCGGGCCGACCGCGCGTGCTGAGCCTTCCCGCGCGCCAGGGCTTGCGGGGGGTGGGCGCACGCGCACCCGCGCGCCGCCGTAACCCCTTCCTCCCCGCGCGCCCCCGCACTCCCACCCACCCACCCACCCACCCACCCACCAGCACTCACCGTCGATGTCCCCCAGGGTCAGCTCGTCGCCCAGCTCTGTGAGCGTCTCCATGGTCTCCAGATCGCCCAGCTCGCCGCTCTCGTCCATCGCCCGGCTCGGCGCGGAGGCCCCCCTGCCGTCCCGCTCAGGGAGACGCGGGGGCGGTGCAGCCGCCACCGCCCATGACACCCGACAGTCCCCTCCCGGTACCGCCTCACCGGCCGGTGCCAGCCGCCGCCATGTTTGCGCCGCGCGGGAGGGGCGGGGCGGGATTCCCCCGCCCCAACCCGCGCCCTCCGCGGCCCCGCCCCCAGGCCGCGCACCCCCTTGTTTGTTGTCAATGGGACCAGGCCCATCGCGGCCAATCCGCGAGCGAAGCGGCGCGTGGGGTGATGGCGCGTCATCGATCAGCAGCTCAGATTTGCATAGCGAGGCCCCACCCCTCGTGGGCCCGTAGCAAATACGGAGAGTAGCCCCCAGGTCCTAGGCCCAGCCTTCCTCCCCACGGTTAAAGGCGCCGCTCCCTTTTCCGTTGGGTTTGCCTCGGCAAGCTCTCGCACCCACGGGCTGGGGGTTGAAGGGTTAACACTCTTCGCCCCCGCCCGCTGGCCGCCCCCAGAGCTGGGAGCACATTACGTCATCTTCCCAGCTGCTCCCCCGCCCAGCCTGCCCGGGAGAGCGGGTAGAATCAAACCTGGCCCCCCAACACTGGGGCCCCGAAGAGTCTGGCTCTTTCAAGTCGCTATTCCTTGCAAGCTTCTTAAAAAGGTAGAAACGGAGGCTCGGCGCGGGCCGCGAGCTGTCCCGAGTACGGAGTGCATCATACAACCTCAGCCTCTGCACCTGTCTCAACCACGCGCCCACTCCGACAGTCCTCACCCCGGGCGCCTCAGAAGGCGGCCCTGGGGAGCCCGAGACCAAAGGCCTCCTGAGGCGTGGCCCAGGCACGAGCGTTGTCACGGTGCCGCAGCCCGCTCGGAGTTCCACGGAGTCCCACTCCTTCAGGCGCCCCGTGGCCCCATCCTGCAGTTGGTCACGGTATAAACAAATGTGCAGACTAATAGGAATTTACCCTATAGAATAAAAGCATGAGTGCTCAAAGAAGTGCCCAAACATGTTAGTTCAAAGACGTTCATCACAGACCCTCTGTAACTGGGACAAATTGGGAAGCCCAATAAACCAGTGGATGAACAAATTACAGCCACACGATGGGATACCATGGCATCATCAAAGATTAGGTACATAAATGTCTATTTATTGACCAAGACTCTCACAATATATTGTTAAAAAGGAAAAGTAGCTTTCTTGTGGTCAAGAGGTGAGAGAGCACATAGGCCACGTGGAGGCAGACAGGTGGATCCAGTGTGGCCTTGGGCTGGCTAAATAACTGCTCTAAGCCTCAGTTTTGTCATCTCAAATGCAGGGGAAACAGTGCTCTCTCAGTTTTGAAGATTAAACGAGATCATTTGCACATTCATTCAACAATATTTATTGAACGTCTCTGACAGGCAAAAAGAGGCAGTTCCTGACCCTCTGAGAGCTTCCGGTAGTGAAAGAAGACATTAAACAAAAGTAAAAAGCAGACAATGGCACAAATCATCAAGGGAACGTACTGGGTGTGATGCAACAAAGGACTCTGACAATTCAGAAGAAACCTAAAATTTTGAGGAATCATGTCTCGCGTAGCCATGGGAACAGATATGGACAAAGGCCCTAAGGCAGGAGCTGCTGCTGCCAGCACACACTTGGCATAAGGCCTGACATACTGTATGTGCCCATACACAGTAGCTATTGTAACCAACAAAATAGAGATCTATGTGTTCACATTAAGAGTTAAAAGGCTGGAAAAAAAAAAAAAAGAGTTAAAAGGCTGGAAGGCCCAACAGCTGACTGTCAGTCATTGATTACAGGGTGGTTTGATTTAGGGTTAATTTTATTTCCTCCTTGGTATTTCAGCATTGTTTAAAATTACTTCTTATAATGAACATGTATAACAAGAAAAAGGTTGCCTATTTTGGGGGGAAAAAAGGACAAGAATGTTTCTTCATTGTTCACATGTAGAAGAGCTCACATGCAGACTACACCTACTAGTCTTACCCTGAGACAGAAAACCCTGCTGCTCTGCTCAGGACTAGGCATTGACTTGGGCAGTGCCACCTTTGACTAAGCCTCTTGCAGGGCTCCCCACACTGAAGGGTGACTGTCTGCTGGCCTACCATAAGTCACTTTGGTCTAGTGGTCTCCCAACCCAGAGAAGAGGGCTGCATGAACAGGGAAGTAGGCACATCCTACTCTCACTCTGCACTGTCCCAACTCTCAACTGGACCTGTCCAGAGGCTGCAGTGCCTAACAAAGTGGCCTCCAGAGGCACACATGAAGGCTCAGTAGAAACTGCCAAAGAAAGGTGGCTTTGCTGCACCCAGCCTCAGCAGAACACTGGCATTCTCCCTGTGGCCCTGGATCCCACCTAACTGAACATCTCTTCCAGTTGGCACTTTGTCCTGACTGGGAAAAGAGACTGGCTCTCGGGGCTGGAGCAGCCTTAGACAAGTCACTCCTTAGGACCTAGGTTCTCAGGGATCCCTGGGTGGCTCGGTGGTCTGGCGCCTGCCTTTGGCCTGGGGCGCGATCCTGGAGTCCCGGAATCGAGTCCCACGTCGGGCTCCCGGGGTGGAGCCTGCTTCTCCCTCCTCCTGTGTCTCTGCCTCTCTCTCTCTCTCTCTCTCTCTCTCTCTCTCTCATAAATAAATAAATAAATCTTAAAAAAAAAAAGGGACCTAGGTTCTCCACTTGAAAAGGGAGGGAGCAGACAACCATATATCCAGAGATATACCACATACTGGGCAATTACTACAGGCCAGAGAAGTGACCTTTGCATATCCTTTTTCATTTACTACCTTTGACACCTCCCTTTTTAGGGCTTTGCTCACCATGCCCTGCCCTCCCTCCTCCCCCAGATTTAGTTGTCACCTCCTCCAGGATTAGGCAAGAACATGTACCCTACGGATTGACACAGAGATTAGGCTTGGGGATGGGAACTAGTAAGTTTGGTTTTGGAAAAACTGAAACATAAGGACTGAGGGTTATAAGGGGCAAGAGGGCAGGTGCCATCAGCTTTGGAGTCTCAGAGGATGCAACTGCTAAGAAAAAAAGCAGAGAGGAGAGATTTAGTTTAAAAAAAATGTCTTGTTTAAGAGGCAGGTGAGGAGAGAGGAATCAGGAAGAGACAGAGCAGACTCAGACTGAGGGTAGAGAACCAGGACAACATACTAGCCCAGAAGCCTGGGAGGATCATCTCAGAGAGCTTCCAACAGCATCTCCCTGGGGGCACTGACTGAGGAACCAGGGACAGCAGACAAAGATGTGGGGCTGGGATAAGGAGGAACAAGGGCTGTGGACCAGGGAGATTTTACCCCCAGGGGTCATCTAGTAATGTCCAGAGACTGCTACTAGCATCTGGTAGGCAGAAGCTAAGAATGCTAATATCCTACAACACTCAGAACAGCCATCCTCATATACACAACAAAGAATTATCTGGCCCTAAATGTAAATAAATGCCACTGTTGAAAAACCCTGCCTCTGAGGATATAGGGGAGCTCTGAGATTCTCCAGGGGTGCCTCAGATTGGACTCTGAAACTCAGCAGACAGGAACAGTATCTAAGACCATGCTGAAAACACCAGTGAAGACAGTGTGGCTACTAGAACTGCCCTCATCCCCTGCCCCACTGATAACTCTAGTCCCAGCAGCCACTACCTCCACCAGCACAACTCCCATTATGGTTGGTACATCTGGTTAATGGCACTTTGCTCAGAGGACTGAATACCAGCTGCAAGGAACTACGGCCTCTATACATCCTGACAAGGAAATGGGAAGGAAGGCTCTGCCTACAGTTAAGACTTGAGGTGGAGTTCCAGGAACAATTCACCAGTGGCATCAAAGGGAAGGAGAGAGGGGGAGAGCTGAGTGGTTCTGTTTCTTTCTTTGAAGGTGTCAGATGGGGAAACTTGGGCCCATTTGAGGATGGAAAGGCTGAAGGTGTAGAAGGTAGAGCCTAGAAGGAGAGGGGAGCCAGACAGGACAGAGGTGAAGATAGGTAAGACTGACCCCTCTCTTTAACTGTACATACAGGGTGACATAAGACCCATCAGAAAAGAGCATCTGTCACTGAGAAGCCAGGCCCCAGACTCAGAGAAGCAGTTTAGGGCTGGGCAGAGGATTCAGACTAAAATTCATTTTGCCAATGAAGCCACAGCACAGGGAAGGGCTGGGTCAGGTCACTCAGCAAGTCTGAGGGGCAGAGACAAAACTCCCATCTCTCTTGGACTCTGTCAGAGGTGGGGGGGGGTGGAGGGTTCTGGGATAGTCATGTGTTTCTCCTCTTTTAAGAGACAGATATGACTTGGCAAGGTCAGAGAAACTGAACTGGAATTCCCATCGGAGTCCCTCCTTCCTCTGCCTGGGAGGAGCATGATTCAAGGGTAGCTGCCCATTCAGGGCCTAATTCCCTCTGCAGATTCCCTGCTCTATGGCCCCTGGTCTCTGCTATGGGGAACTCTCCATCTGACCAATCCAGTTTGGGGCAGCACTGCCATTGCAAAGCACAGCCTGCTGCAGAGCTACAGCCTGTCCCCTGACATCTTCTACCCACAGGCCAAGGGACTTCTAGGGTTGCCAGACACTACATGTTGACTCTACCCTGCACCTGCTCGTGAACTGTCTCCAGAGATCTGAGGACAGAGATCGTGTTGCTCACTCCTTCATGAAGGACAGTGCTGAGAAGGGAATAGGAGAGCTAAGCCAAGCCCCTGCTTCACTGCCTTGCCAGGGCCTAGGGCTCCTCGTAATGAGGTGGGAATATCCTTTAAGGTAGTCTCTACATCTTGGAGGACCCCTGGTCCCCCTACCCAGGCCCCTGCCCCACGAAAGGGTTCACAGCTCCCTGGGGCCCAAACCAGACTTGGTTAGCTCGGAGGGTTTGCTGGCTTTTATTATATCACTGCAGGGAGCTGGGACCTGTGCTGGGCAGCTTAGTGCCACAGTGGGGCCAGCAGCAGGCATGGCACTTCCACAAGTGGCTCAGAGCCTGGTTTTGCTGCCTCCTCCAGAAGGGTGGTAGCCAGCTGGCCAGCAGTCCTAACCCAAAGGGAGAGTCCAGCTGGGATCCCTTCAGATCCCCCGGCATCTTGATGTGGTTTGATTTGCAGCATGGCATCCTCTGAAGGCCCCCTTGGAACTCCCTCCAGGGAGGCCCCTGGGAGGAAATCCAGCCCTCTGTGGCCCAGTCACTTCTGTTAGGGCGCAGAGCCGGCTCCAGAGGGCTGAGGGAATGCCACCTCCTCTTTCACAAGGGCCAGCTCTCACCACCAGTCGATACCTCCACCTCTTCCTCTGGAGTGGTCTCCTCCTGGCCCCTTGAGCCCTGGGCTGCTCATGGCTATAACTCAGACTGGGATCTTGAGATCCGTGGGCCTTTTCGGATCTCTTTCCGCTTCTCCTCTTTCTTCCTGCGTTTCTCCTCCTCCCTCAGGGCTTTCTGGAAAGGGTCGGTGCTGGAAATGAACTGAGAGAAGAGCAGAGCAGTCTGGTTTAGTCTGCAGGCAGCAAAGAGTTTGCTCTGAGCTAGGCTGCTGTAGGCTTGTGGTGGTGGGAAGATTACTTAGACTCAGGCCCTGTCCTCATGGAGCCTACAGACAAAGAGATAGTTCAATAAGCTTGGGAAAAGCTGCTTAGAGCATTTTGAAAGATAACCAGGAGCTCACCAGGCAAACAGGATGAGAGAGGGGCAGGTGCTGAGGTGTGAACCTGCATGGGACATCTGAGAAACCATAAGGAGACTCCTCAAGGTGAGGCGGCTGAGTGCCCAAGATGACCATAGACCCACCCTCCTCCCCCACACCCTGAGGAGGGGAGGGCACCAGTGAGAGCAGGGACTGTGGGCATCCCGCTGCTTTCAAACAAGCTGCAGAGAAGCCCAGGCATTGGAGTACACAGAAAGCAGTGGGTCAGAGGTCAAACTGGCAGACCCTGAAAAGGAGGTGGAAAAGAAGATGGTAGTGCCCAGGCTCTCGGCTTCCATGGTACGTGGATGGTGGTCCTGGTGAGGAGACAGGAACACAGGGCGAGCCAGGGTGGGAAGAAGAGGATTTCAGTGGAGGCATTCCTCAACTGCAATCCCCAGGGCATCTGCTCTCTGCAGACTAGCTCATCTAAACCCACGGCTTTTGTTACGTGTATATTTCAGTTGCTGCTTAAATCTACATCTCCATATCTAAACGCCACTAGGATGTCCCAAATATGCCCCAGACTTGGCATGCCTCCATCTCCCCAAAACCCAATCTTTTTCCAGTCTCCCTGTCCTCAAGAACAGCAGGGCTCCATGCTGCCCCCTGTCTCCCTCCACATGGAGTCCTTGGCCAAGGCATGGCTCATTATTAACTCTAAGTCTCTCCCAAACTCATCTACTTCTCTCCGTCTCTCCTATCACTAACCCCATCACCATCTCCACTTCCCTCCCAATGACTCTCCGGGCTTCCTAAGGCTCTCTCCACCCACTCTGGTCCCTCTCTAGTCATTCTCCTCACAGCAGTTAGTTCTTTTCGAAATGCAAATCTGCGGGGATCCCTGGGTGGCTCAGCAGTTCAGCACCTGCCTTTGGCCCAGGGCGAGATCCTGGAGTCCCAGGATCGAGTCCTGCGTCGGGCTCCCGGCATGGAGCCTGCTTCTCCTTCTGCCTGTGTCTCTGCCTCTCTCTCTCTCTCTGTCTATCATGAATAAATAAAATCTTTTAAAAAAAGCAAAATGCAAATCTGACCATGTCACACTCCTGCTTAAACCCTTCCGTGACTCTGCATTACTCTCAGGATCAAGTTCCAAATGCTGCATCTGCAGGCCCATGCTGCCTACCCGTGTTCCTCCCTCACACTCCCTGCCTTGGGTTCTTGGATGCCCTGGTCGCTCCCACTTCAAGCCTCTGTACATGCTGTGGTCCTGTCCCTGCCCCTTTGCTACATTAGCTCCTGCTCAGCAGTCACCACTCTCAGGGACCTGCCCTGACTCCTGGCTGGGGCTGGCTCTTCCCTCATGATCACATGCTTTGTGCCTGTGTCCGCCCCGCCCCCCCCCCCCCAACACTCTCCAAGGACAAGAGAATCCTGTCAGGTGTTGCTCACTGCGATACCACCCCCTAGCACAGGACCTGCCTGCCTTATTTATATATTTTAAAGGTCTTGTGTATTTATTTCTTGAGAGACACACAAAGAGAGGCAGAGACACAGGCAGAGGGAGGAGATAGGCTCCATGCAGGAGCCCGATGTGGGACTCGATCCCAGAACTCTGGGATCACGTCCTGAGCTGAAGGCAGATGCTCAACCACTGAGCCACCTAGGCATCCCCTGCCTGGCATATAGATGGCACTCAGTACGTTGTTGTTGTTGTTTTTAAGATTTTGTTTATTTGAGAGAGAGAGAGAGAGCACACAAGCAGGGAGAGAGGCAGAGGCAGAGGGAGAAGCAGACTCGCCGCTGAACAGGGACCCTGATGTGGGGCTGGATCCCAGCACCCTGGGATCATGCCCTGGCGAACCAGATGCTCAACCACTGAGCCACCTGGGCATCCCAGTATGTATTTTTTAAATAAATGAATGAACCATGTTAGAATATGAAATGCAGCAATAGTACCCCAAACTCAAGTTAACTCTGCTGTGAAATATGCCCATTTATTTAGGGCAAATGTGACAAATGTTGATCAAGGTAGAAATTAAAAACAAACGAAGGTCTACCTGCGGAGCAAAGTACCTGCCACATTAGATTGAATATCTGGAAGATGGGGTGAAATCAGAGAACTGTGGCCCAGAAAGGGTAAGTGATATGCTTAAGTCATATAGCAAGTGGGAGGCACAACTGGAACTAGTCCCCAGGGCCTCCCATCTCTCTGGACAGTGTTCGCCCCTACCACACTCTGCCTCTTATCGCTATTAATTAATTCTGATCTTCTTGAGATGGGTGACGAGCTGGGAGACTCCCCAAGTCACAGAGGTGTGGCTTCTGGCTAGGGTAGAGGAAGTCAAAAGATCTGGGCCCAGCAACCCCAGAAGGCTCAGCCTCACCAGGGGAGCCCAAACCTGACTTGGTTAGAAGAGAAACACTGCCTCTCCTTTTCCCAGAACCCCTTCCCACTAGGCCTAATGCCTATTTTATTTTATTTTAAAATTTTTAAAGATTTTATTTATTTATTCATAGAGATACAGAGAGAGAGGCAGAGACACAGGCAGAGGGAGAAGCAGGCTCCATGCAGGGAGCCCAACGCGGGACTCGATTCCGGGTCTCCAGGATCACACCCAGGGCTGCAGGCGGCACTAAACCGCCACGCCACTGGGCCTGCCCTAATGCCTATTTTAAATTCCTGATGTTAGGGGTGCCTGGGTGGCTCAGTGGTTGATCATCTGCCTTTGGCTCAGGTCATGATCTCTGGGCCTGGGAATCAAGTCCCACATTGGGCTCCCCCAAGGGAGCCTGCTTCTCCCTCTGCCTATGTCTCCCCCTCTCTCTGTGTGTCTCTCATAAATAAATAAATAAAAACTTTAAAAAAAAATTCCTGATGTTAACCTCAAGTGGGCCCTTCGTGCTGCCTGGCAATCTGGGATGTCTCCTTGGTCTGCTCATTCAGCCATTCTCCTAGACACACTTTGAGCCCTCAACCCTACTCCACTCCTCCCCCACACACCATTGTAGAGGACAGAAACACTCACAAGACAACTTCCACAAGCTCCTACCTCCACATCCATCAACCCAGCTGCTTCTGTGCCCACACTGCTCTTCCAGGCACCAAATCTCCCCTGCCTTACTTGCTCAGGGATGAAGCTCCAGCAACTCTCCCGCTCCTGCACCATCCATTCTTCTTCCTTATTGTGCTATTTCCATCAACATGCAAAAATGCCTAGTCTCTCCTACCTAAAATTTCCCCTGGAATCCACACTCCTTCCAGCTATTCTCCCATAGGTCTGTTCCCCATGAAAAGAAAGCTCTTCAAAGGTAGTCTGCATTTGCTGTGCTCACTTCCTTGACTCTCATTCTCTTGAAATCTAATCTCTGTCCCCACTGCTCCACCAAAACAGCTTATATTAGGATCTCTGATAGCCAGTGTCCATATTCCTAAAGCCAGGGGCCAGTTCTCAGGCCTCACGCTCCTCGGCCTTCCAGCAGATGCTTGCTACAAGCCACTCACTCTCTCTTTGCTACACTCTCCTCACAGGGTCTCTGGGAAACAATCACCTCCTGGGTTTCTACTCTCACACTGTCATTCTAGGACTTCTTTGCTGGTTCCTCCCCAGCCTCCAGAGGGCTGAGGTCTGGGATGTGCCTGCAGATAGAGGTGGGAGTTCATTCTAATGACGGGTACCTAAGAAGGAGGAGAGGACATCCCAGAACACTCCCTAGCATGGAGAGTACATGAGGGGAGCTGAGTAAACCTGAACTGCTGCTGGTAGGACAGGTCCCTACTGAATGCTAAACAGTGAGTAAAATCTTGAGAATGTCCCCAGCCAACAAGAAGTAAGGCAAGCGGGATCCCTGGGTGGCGCAGCGGTTTGGCGCCTGCCTTTGGCCCAGGGCGCGATCCTGGAGACCCAAGATCGAATCCCACATCGGGCTCCCGGTGCATGGAGCCTGCTTCTCCCTCTGCCTGTGTCTCTGCCTCTCTCTCTCTCTCTCTCTCTCTCTCTCTCTCTGTGTGTGTGACTATCATAAATAAATAAATAAAAAAAAAATTAAAAAAAAAAAAAAAAAAAAGAAGTAAGGCAAGCATGTTACTGCTATGGTTATTTCCAAGCAGAGCACACTGGGACAGAGCCAAACTAAATCTATCCTATACCCATTCTCTCTGGTGCATGCTCTCACCCTCCTCCTGTGTCAGAGGCATTCCTGATCTACAGGGCAAGGAGAGCCAGTGTCGCAGCAATAAAGCATCCCTGTGGGTGCCCCTCACTGAAAAAGGCAATTGGCCATGGCCTTGAATGTCCCTGCATATTCTTGCTGGATATGCTCTGACTGCTCTTACACTGGCCATTTATCAGGGTTGCAATGGAAGCAAGCAACCTCGAGGGATGTTACATGACAGGGTGACAGCAACCCTAGTAGGAAAACCCACATCTCACATTCTACTGCCTGAAGCAAAGCCTCTGGTTCAAAGGGGGCCTTGATTCAGAGGTTCCACTAAATACTGATGCCTGATCCACTAATTGTTCACCTAAATTAAGAGCTAATGGCACTGTCCAGAAGAGTTAGCCAGTCTGACTGCTATCCTTTGAAAGGCCTGCTTCTAAAGTTGGATCTTGGCTGGTATCTGGAAACTTGGATTTTGGGAGGGCTCTCACCACCTTAAGTGATGAGTGACTCACTGAGCCCAAACTTTGCCAACAATGTGGTTTATGCTGAACACGTGCTTTTCCCCTGGTTGTCTGGAATTCTGGTATGCACTGGGCCGTAGGCGCTTAAGTGACCAGCTCCTGATAAAAACCCTAGGCACCGAGTCTTTAATGAACCTCCCTGACAGACAGCTTCTCACATGTCACATCTTGTTGCTGAGGGAATGAAGTTATATCCTGAAGAACTCTATTGGGAGAGGACTCTTGGAGGCTTGTGCCTGGTTTCCCTCAAAATTCACCCTATGAGCCTTTTCCCTCTCCTGATTTTGCATTGTATCCTAAATTACAGCCATGAGCAGAACTATACACTCAGTCCTCATTAAACCTGGGGGTGCTCTTGGGAACCCTAGACACTCTTGTCTATTGGCAACAGCAGCCCCAGTGACAATGCTGGAAGACTGACTGCAACAAGGCCAGTCAGATAATGATCAGAATTAGAAGCCACCAGCCTTGCCTAGATAATATTCCTAATATCACGCACATCATATTTCTACTGACTGTCATTATGCTAATGGCCTGCCACTGAGAAGACTATGGATGGGCAGATCAAAGACAACCATTCCTCTTTGAGGCCACAAACTATGAAAACAAATAGTGGTTGATAATTTAATAATCCAGATCACTTGTTTAGATGCCTGTCATAAGGCCCATTCCCTGATGAGACCAACCAGAATCAAAACACTGATCAAGACTATAATGCCCAGTTAACTAGCATTGCCACCTAAATGCATCATTGTACTAGACTGGCAACATACCTTCCACCAGGGACAGGAGCAAAGCAGAGGACTCTGTATTTCTGACTTGACCACCTAGAGTCCCTGGTTGGAATGGTATGACATGAGATCGTTAGGATAATGACCACTTGGTTGGGTATGCTCCCTCTAGTTCCCCTACAGTGGCCCATGTGGCCCATGATGGATCAGGCCCATGCAGAGAAGCAAGGCCTGATCTCCCCAGAAAATATGTGTCTTTGAATGTTTTGTAAAAATGCTCTTGTCCCATTCATATCTGACCCTTCTGGAGGAAAGAAAGTCCAGGTGAGAGTAGGGGACGATTAGAGAAAAAGTGGAATTATGGGTACTGGGATGTGGCACACTGATTCTGTAGCAATAATCTTAGCATCTGGGGAAGGAACAATTAATCCTCTTGGTCTCTTAGATCTAGCCCTGCCATTTGGCAAATAATTCTAGAGTCTGCCCAAGCCAAGTGGCAGCTGCAGCTGACTATCTGATCAGCTGTTGGGTATGTTACTCTCACTCAACCTTGTGATAGGAAAACTCTTATGGATATGGTCAGTAGTGAACTATTTTAATGTGCCCAATGCCATCAAAAGCAGTTCCTAAAATGACCCTGTGCAGACATAGATAGCAGTACAGCCTGTTTTAATCTGATAGATAAAAATCCATCTGCTTCTCCTGATGCCTGAGTGCCCTTCCATTATGCCAAGTAGGGCAACTGAGGCTGCAACTCCATAGTGATATTGCCCTCAGGGCTCAGGTCAATAATATAATGATGACTCAAATCAAGTAGTAGCATGTGGGAAGCAGTGGGCCATGAAATGCCTCTTTACTGGGGTGCCTGGTGGCTCAGTTGATTAAGCATCAGACTCTTGATTTCGGCTCAGGTCATGATCTCTCAAACCCAGGGGTATGAAATGGAGCCCCGATGTCAGGCTCCATGCCGGGCACGGAGCCGGCTTAAGATTCTCTTGCTCTCTCTCTCTCCCTCTGCCCTCCCACCCTGTCCACTAACACATGAATGTGCATACTCTCTCTCTAAATAAAAAAAAAAAAAAGAAAAAGAAATGTCCTTTTGCTGGGGATAAGGGCTACTTTGGGTCCATTTATTGCTCCCTGTAACTACTGACAATGACATCAAAGATGTGTGGATGGTAACGAGTAACTGACTGGCCTTAGAGCACATTCTGATTGTCTAACTTAAGACCCACTGGCCCACCCACGACTTATCACAGCTAGCTGAATCTGCAACACTAGAGGGTTGAGCTCAACACTGCAGGCTGGCTTCATTTTGTTGCTCAGAGTCCTATGATGGAAGCTTTAATCTAATGGCAGTATGAAACAAACTGAACATATTTGGTCCTAGCCTCTACCTATCAGATCATTGAGATTGAATATCACATTCATATGGAAATTTAAGTTAAGCTAAGAGGGCTGGGGAGGGGGTGTGGGGAGGGATGGGGGACACTGTGGGGGAGGCAATCAACCAGAGCCCTGAACATCCCTCCATGTTCTCACTGGGTACACCAAGAAAGAAAAGCCCCGATCACTCTGTATCTGGGCCATTTGTCAGGACAGCTTGCAGAAAACTGGGAAGGATGACATGACAATTGCCCCCCTAAGTGTAGGTTTGCTTCTATTCACTATAAAGGCTATAAATATTTCAAGCTTGGTATTTTTCAGATTCACACAAACCCACTGCATGCATAGCATCTGCATGGGTGACTTGGGGAACAAGGGGAACCCATATGACCAGGCCAACAGTCTGGATACTGCTTTTGCTATAATAAACTCTGATGTCTCTGACCTCTCAGCATCCATAGAACTGTAGCAGGCTAAAACCCTAGGTCCCTCGAAGACCCTGACACATCTCCCTACACCAGAGTTGAGAGCCTGTGATTTGACAAGTCCAGTCCTCCAGCCTTTCCTGCCCCTGCTACTTGATTCCCTTCTCCCCTCTACTGTATGTGTCCCCATCTGTCATCCTACCCTGCAGTCTTCAGCACTCAGAGCCCACCTCTGGATGAAAGCATATGCAGGAATGTGAGACAGAGGCCTGGCTGAGTGCTCAGAAGCTCAAGGGCAGAGAAGCATGGCCTGATCTCCCCAGCATCCACTTGATGTTGGATGCCTATTATACATCGGGATGGGTGTGTTTGCAGCCTCTGACTGCCTCCCCTACAGCTGGGGTCCATATACCATGAAAAGACAGCGAGCCTAGGGATCCCTGGGTGGCGCAGCGGTTTAGCACCTGCCTTTGGCCCAGGGCGCGATCCTGGAAACCCGGGATCGAATCCCACGTCGGGCTCCCGGTGCATGGAGCCTGCTTCTCCCTCTGCCTATGTCTCTGCCTCTCTCTCTCTCTCTGTGTGTGACTATCATAAATTAAAAAAAAAAAAAAAAAAAAAAAAAGTCCCCCCCCAAAAAAAGACAGCGAGCCTGAAACAAAGACAGGGCTTACTCAAAGGCACCAATGAGCAAGTGATGGAATATGGATCCAACCCCAAGTATGTCTGGCTCCAAGTTGAAAGTCCTCATGCTCCAGCCCCTATATGACCTGGCTTCCCATGACCTGGCAGAGGCAGACCACACATGGTCATAGGCCCCAACAGCTTACCTCTGGGCGGTCTACTTTAAATGGGTTCTGGAAGTCAGAGTCTTTCTCACTGATCCCCAGCTCCTGGGCCATCTATGGATGAAGAAAAATTAGTCATCCTCTGCCTTCTCCTGACTCCTTACCCACAGCCACTCCCTCCATGGTGGGACCCAGGCCCAACACTTAGGCAGATGTGAAAAAGGTGATGACCCCTAGGGACCCAGGTCAGCAGAGAACTTCCTGAGATAGCATCTCAAGGCGCCCCGAGGCTTATCACAGAAAGCACAACCAAGGGCTGACATTCAGGCCCAAATGAAGGCAGATTCAAGGTTCACAGTACACCACCAGGCAGAGGGCTCCTGAACCTCCTCTGCCCTAGTCCTTACCAGGCTAAGGATGGGCGAGTGGGGCCCCTGGTCAAACACGCCCGACTGGTTGCAGAAGCTGATGCCCCAGCGGATAAGGAGGTTCCAGTTGGAATTGTGGTCAAAGTAGTGGTGCACAATCCTCGGGAAGCGCAGCACCACATCACCGAAGAAGGCTGTGTTCTCCACTACTTGGGAGAAAGCTGGCAAGAGGATCCTGATGAGTGGCCTGGGCAGATGCCCTTCTGTTGCCCATCTGGCCAGCCCCAGCCACCCTACAGAGAGTAGAAGCCCACTAAGCCTACTAATCAGACAAGGGAACTGTGCCCACTATCCACAGGTGCTGACCACGTGTATAGTGTATGCTAATAGCTGTAGGTCCACCAGATCAATGAATCCTCAAAGCCACCTTGAGGGAGATAAGGCTGCTGTTCCCATTTTACAGACAGAAAATGAGGCTCAGATGGCTGGTGAGTGGCAAATCTGGGCTGCAAACCCAGGTCTGACTCCAAAGGCCATGCTCTTCCCCCGTATCTCATTTGTTGTGGGGACCAGAGAGATGGGTGCCATTCTGCACATGAAGACACATGCGTCACATGAGGCTTGGCTGGATCTTATTTCCCCAACTTGGCCTTTAAATATCCAGAGCCAGGCCCCACAGTTAACACAACTGTAGTATGTGTGAGGGGTCATGACTATTAGGACAACCAGGGAACACATTAGGGTTTTGGCGGTTTTTTAAATCTCTTTCCAGTTTTATTTTATTTTAAAGATTTTATTTATTTGAGAGAGAGAGAGAGCACGTGGGCACGCAAGCAGGGCAGTGTCAGAGAGAAAGGAGAAGCAGACTTCCCACTGAGAAGGGAGCCCAATGTGGGGCTAGATTTCAGGACCCTAGTATCATAACCTGAGCCAAAGGCAAATGCTTAACCAACTGAGCCACCCAGGCACCTCCCGATTTTATTGTTTTAACTACTTAAGTTCTTATATTAGGGGATCCCTGGGTGGCTAGGTGGTTCAGCACCTGCCTTTGGCCCAGGGCATGATCCTGGAGTCCCGGGATCGAGTTCCGTGTCGGGCTCCGGGCATGGAGCCTACTTCTCCCTCTGCCTGTGTCTCTGCCTCTCTCTCTCTCTCTCTCTCATGAATAAATAAAACCTTTTAAAAAAAAAAAAACCTTATATTAAAATAATTTTAGGCTTCCATCATATATTATAAAATTCCTTCACTTGGCTTTCCCTAATGTCTTCATCTAATATAACTATTGTACAACTATCCAAACAAGGAAATTAACATCGATATTAATTATTAGACCTTATCTGAATTTCACCAATTTTCCCATTAATGTCCTTCTCATCAACAGATCAGTTCAGACTAAGTTAGTATGTCCATCATGGCAGCAGGTTCCCCCACAACCTAGGCTATTATGAACTATAACTACATTCCCAGCCCTGCTATAAGTCCCTGTTTGAGCCACCACTGCAGATAAGGCCCAGGCAGCCCTCACCAGCACTGGCCAGGCCACACAGAGAGATAAGTAGATGCCAGATTGGGTCCAAGACAAGTGGAGTGGGAACCTCTGGGCTTCAGAACAATCTTGAACCTCAAAGAACTTAGGAGTTAGCTTGGTTTACAGGTTTGCAAGAGCAAACTACTCGTCCTCTTTTATCTAGAAAATGGAGGCAATGGTGCCTTCCTCTGAGAGCGGAGATTTGAGGTGATGTTTGTAAAGTCCCCACCATTTGACATTTAAGTGCTATTTCCATCTTCTCCCAGACAGTATAATCTAACCAGTTTTACTGTTAGAATATAACCACTTAATGGGGGAAGGGGGGGAATTACCACAGGAGAACAATTCTTGGAAGAGGAGATAAGAGGACACAGAACATTATCTTATCTGTTCTTCCCAGTGTCTCAAAAAGGATTTAAGGGAATTGGGGCTTTAAAACAGTAGTAAAGAGCACTCTTAACTGCCCCCACTGGCCAGTCTCTTCAACAGAACTGCTTTTTCTCCTATAAATAGGAACAACCCTTGCCTTCTCTACAAGGGTCAGGATGGTAGAAAAGGCAAGAATCCCTGAGGTAGGGTCATGGGCAAAGGCTTCTCTGTTTCTCATGCCCCAAGCACAGTACAGGACAAAGGAATATACCCATATCAGGGGCCCAGAAAACTGGCTCTGAAGCCTAGAAATGCCTGGAGAAATATGGGACAAGGTGTTGTAAGAGGATACTTCCAGAGAAAAAAAGAGTGAGAAGAATAGGAGGGAAGGAGCAGCTGTAGAAGATTAAGGTAGTGGGGAGGAGGAAAGGGTGGGATTGGGAAGACCATACCATCCTTCAGTTTCTCGTCCTGGGGGAAGGGCCCATCTGGGAGCACATCTGCAGCAATGAGCACTGTCCGTGAGTCCTCCAGCACCTGAGGGAACCCCACCCAGGCTGAGCGGCTTTGCAGAACCCTTCACAGATGGCCCTATTTATTTAAACCCTATTTCAAATCTTGTGCATATAGTTCCCCCTCATTGAACACCATCCCCTTAGGGAACTCCTACCCATCATCAGTGCCCAGAACAAAGACTAGGCCTGCCATGAGCTACCCTGTGCCCACACGCACCTTAAAGAGCCCCTACGCACCTTAAAGAGCCCCTTGAGCATGACATCAAGAATCTTGTACTGCTGGTGAACATCGTTTAGCTGTGCCAGGTTTTTCAGTGCCAACAGCTGTTCTCGTCGTTTCACCTCAAACATCTTCTTGTCTGAACAGCATTAAGTTAAGGGGCTTACACCCATACTCCTGCCTGGATAATCCACTGGTCCCAGTCCAGAGGGCCCATTCCCGACCAGCAAGTATCTGCAAGGGCCATAGATGCCCATAGCTGAGACACTCCCCCTCCTCCCACCTCCAGGGAAGAAACAAACTGAGAGGCATGGATATCCTGCAATGTATCGTTTGTCCATTTCACACAAGATTCTATATCCAACACCCTGAACACATCCCTTAGGAAGTGGCTCCTGTCCTCCCCTCCCATGGTCTTCCTGCCACCTCTTACAACCATTCACTATTCCCAGAACCTCCACTTCTCTGCTTATAATGTACACTTTGCCTGGGATGCCACCACCCCTTCTCCATGAGTTTCTGTTCTTTTGAGACCCAGTTCCAAAGCCAAAGCACCGTGTATCTACATGCCTCTCCTCCCCGTCCATGGTTCATTAGTGCTGATTACAGAGTCCAGCGTGGGGCCTGTCAATTCCTCAAAGACAGGGACTGACTGGTCCTGACTCTTCTCTGTGTCCCCAAAGCCTGGCCAAAGTAGGGAGCCTAGTATACCAGGGCCTGAATCTTACCCACAACATGCAAAACACATGCACAATCCTCAGAGCCCCTGTGGGGGTTGCCTTGCCTTCTCGATTTAACATATGGGGAACCTGAGGATCAGAAGAGAATTGACTTGATCAAAGTTTGGTTAGAGAACCTCACTTTTTCTCCCCTGTCCCCTTAGGCTGGGTCTGCTCCAACCCTAGAATCCAAGAGGTTGTGGGTACAGAAAGACTGTTTATAGATCTCCTCAGAAACAGCTCATTAACCCCCCTGCCATCCCAAAGGATACAGATTTCCAGGCTAGGGTCCAGGGAGGTTTTCAGGGCGCCTGTGACTCCTGTCCCAGACAATAGCAGGATGAAGGAGAAGGCCAGGAACTGAAGAAGATCCATAGGTAAGATCCTAGAGCTAGGTAAGTAACCCAGAGAGAGGTGAGATCCAGAGCTTGGTTATATAAAACACAGAGTGCAAGTGAATGGCAACTTCCTGACATAACATGGCCTCCAAATACCACAAATTCAGTTTTGGGAAGCCCTGGAGCACCAGTCTCAACCCAGGGCCTGTGACCAACAGACACACAAACACTGTGGGATGGTAGAAAGGATGAAACAGATAATATTGGTAGTTTAGGGATGGTTAAGGCACAGGAGTCAGTGTCTAGAACTGTGGGCTGGAGCTCTGGCTCTGCCTCTGACTGTGGGCCCTCAGGCAAATTGCTCAGCCTCTCTGAGCCTCAGCTTTTCCACCTGTAAAACAGAGATAAGAAAGTCATCTCCTTGCTGTAGGGAGAAAGGACTGGGTGAGTATTAGCCTGGGGAAAGAGGGGCTGGTCATTATTTCCTTTCAACACATCCCATGCTGGATCCCAAGAAAGTATCTGGTTAAGGAAGCCCAGGCAGTCAGGGGACATATGAAACTTGCAGTTTCCCTCCCTCTCTGACTTCTACCATCAGAACAAAAGAAATGAGGCACCTGCTTGGCTCACTCAGTGGAGCATGCATCTCTTGATCTTGAGGTTGTAAGTTCGAGCCCCACACTGGGTGTAGAGGTTATTTAAAAATAAAATCTTTAAGAAAAAAAGAACAGAAGGGATGTAGGGCAGGAAAGGAGGCAACACAGGCTTAGGTAAGAAGGCTGCCACTCATTCACTATGGAACCACGGGCACCACAACACCTGTTCCTACTGGAGCACCATTCCCTAATTATTTTCTGAGTACCACATTCATTTAGAGCTGGGAATACAGCAGTGTCTAATACAAACAAAATCACTGCATTCGTGGTACTTTTGTCTGTAGTAGGGGAAACAATCAATAAACTTGTAAAATAAGCAGAGAAGGATGAGGGAGTTGGTGGGATGCAATATGAAACCGTGGTCAGAGGAGGCCTCCCACTGAGATGAGAGCGCACAATTTTACCAATGTGGAAACCCAGGCACAAAAAAAGTGAGGTGACTGCCCAAAGAACTCAGCTATCCGCAGGCTAAACCAAGATTCTAAATGAGCACAGGCTACCTCAAAGCTGCCACTGTTCTACCAGGACACCTGCTCCAGGGAAAGATGCTGTTATTGACAGAGCCTGCAGAGATCATTCAGAGAACCGCCTCGGAGCCATCCTACAAAGAGGAGACAACTGAGGCCTTAAAAATGGGAAGGAGTAGCCCAAGTGCACCCAGGACCACCTGCCTTCCACGTGAAGCTCTAAACTCAGGGAACCAGACCTGGGCTATGGCAGAAGTTGAAGCCTGGGGGTATTAGACAGCCGGTAATGACTGAAAGGGAAAAGAAGTTGGGAAGGAAAACCGAAAAAGCGGACTCCGTGGAGGCGGATTCTGCTTTTTCTAGTTACTCCCGCTCGCCCTGCCTCTCAATCCCGCCCCGTGCGCCCCCAGCGCTCCTCCTGGCTGGGTGCTGGGTACGCTACTCCGAACACATTCTGTGAGGGTGGATATGGCGACGGTGGGATCTGAGCCGGCCACGCGGGCTCGCGGACCCGGCTTGCTGCCCCGAGCCCTTTGGGTCTCCCCAGGGGAGAGAACGAGTCCTTCCAACAAGAAGTGTTCGGAGCCGCGAGTCTCATCCCCTAACCCAGCAGCAGGTTCAGGGCCCCTGGTTCCTGCCTCCCCACCCCCCACCGGGAGCCCGCCCTCCCCCGACCCCTGCCCCCACCTACCTGGCCGGGCGCTGCGGGCAGGGGCGCGCGGGCAGGACTTCGGCGAGCCGCCCCGCTCCACGACCCGCCGGGCGAGTAGCAAAGGCGCGGGTCCTCACACTAGGCGCCAGCGGTAGCGCAGGAACCTCCGAGCGCCGCTGCCGGCCAATGAGCGCCGGCCGCGACCGCCGCCCCGCTGACCTCACTTCCGGCCCCGCCCCCCGCGGCCCGAGCGCCGTGAAGGGGAGTCGTGTCCCGCCCACCCCGTGCCGGGCGCTCGCGCTGGTCGCCCCGTCTCCTTCAGGTTGGAGGAAGTGAAGTCTGCGTGGGGTCTGGGCCCAACTCAGGGGGCGCGTCAGCGGACTGGGGCCCTGACCGAAACTTTCCATCAGCTGACAGTGTTAAACCGAAGTTGACCGGATCGGTTCGGTGGGTCACGACTCGCTGTTGTTTTTCTAAGAACCCTGCAGTGCGAAGTTGGCGCCTCTGCTCCAGTCCCACCAGCTTCTAAACCCAGTCTCGGGGGCCTCCCTATCCGTTCATTAGGCCGGAGTTCAGTTTTGTGCAGAGTCGGTACAGCCAGACCCCAGGAGTAAGGGTGGGCTGCCCAGTTCCCGGCACCCAGAGCGGGTGGGGGTGGGGGACCGGGAAGCAGAGGCGCGGTGGGCTGAGCTGGGAGCAGGAAGCAGGCGCAGGTGTGGAGAGCTGACAGTAAAAGAACCGCACACGTGGACATAGAAATACAAGCGCTGGGGAGAGCCCAGGGAAACACGAGGGGCCTGCTTCAGCCAGGGAACAGTGGGGCTCGGCTAGCGAGGCAGATTTGCCCTGCTCAGCCTCCTTACCTGGGCATTGCACCTCTCTCCACCTTCACATGAGGTGAGGCAGCAGGTAGAGTACCTCTAGGGCACTTGGATCGCACGGGTAGCAAACACTTGGCCTTTCTGCGCACTTCTAGCCCCGTGGATGGCCGGACGGGTATTTACTGAGTACAGCTGAGGCAACTGGCTGGTGCTCCTTACATGTTACCAGGACACATTCCTTTCTGAAGCAATCCACTATCTGGCAGAGTTACCAGCTCCAGGGAGTCCAGAGAAGTTGAGACTGATTTACAGAGCCAACAGAGACATGCGAGTGTATCATTTTATTTCCTGATTCCATGTCAACAGTGGAGTAAATGGCTACAATTGTCATCCATTTCCCCAATAATTCTGCTCTGATTTTCTCTTCTCTCTGTTTCTGGGCCTTCGAGTCATGAGGGTCAGTCTCTGATGTGGGACAGGGATACAGCCACTCCTCCCAGGTAACTGGCAGAACATGAGAGGAGAACAGCAGAAAGGTAGAGCCAACCACGGGAGAACCACACTTCAGAGCCCAGAATTCTTCAGAATTGTGGGCTGGATTCTAACACTGGGCCCTCAACACCTGGGTAGGTAGTTGCTATTTAACAGAGAACCGTTTCAGGCACAGGGGAAGGAGGAGGGCCAGGGAGGTAGCCAGTGGGGGTGTGGAGGAAGCACGACCACACAACACCCACCAGCTCCACTGGTGTCTGGAGCACCACAACCACCCCAGAGGGCCTCTAGCCACTGCCCACAGCCCCAGTCTTTCTTGGGGACAGGTCAGTCATCAAGCGCGTGCGTACATGCACCATTAGGCTGAGGGAAGCACCAGTATGAACTGGGTTTGAACTACTTTCTCAAACTCTTGGGGAAATACTGGCTCCTTCCTGAGTTTGGTGATGTGGCTTTGGAGACAAACAGGGGTCACATCTTGATGCTATCACTGTGTGATTCTGGGCATGTCATTTAACCTCTCTGGTCTAAGTTACAGCTATGTTAACACCTCTACCTTCTGTGAGGATTAGACACAGTGCATGTAATGTGTCTGGCCCTTGGTGGGAACTTAAAACAGAGTAAGTCATTGACCTTGCTCTCACTATTAATTATCCTCATCAACACATATACTTTAAAGGACAAGGCTACAGACAGTGTCACCCATCTGAAGCATGATGCCACAGCCTCCCATAGCCTGGATGACCTTGCCCAGACCAAGGCTCCCAGATGCAAGAAAGGATACAGCATGTCCAGGGGCGGCTGGGCGGAGGTGCTGGGGGCAAGGCCCTCCAACGAGGTCTGCAAGGTCTGAGCCATGCTGTGATCAGCCAGGAGGCCCATGCTCTGGACCTGAGAGAAGGTGACAGGGAATACAGGCCTCAGTGGCCACTCCATACAGACCCTCTCTACCCTCTACCCTCTGCATTCCTGGCTTCCCATTGGCCGCTGTGGCTAGAGCGCCCATTCTCCATAGCGAAGATGGTGGTGAGTGGATCTAGCCTTATGGTGGCTATACAGCATTCCCTTCCCACCCACCTGTAGGAAGAAGCTATGCAGAGCCTGAAGCGTGGTGTTCGACAGGGTGGAGAGGTCAGCCAAAGCTGCGCCTTGCAGAACATGATCCACCTCCTCGTGAGAGAGGACACTGCTGCTCTGGAACCGCACAAACTAGGCCAGGGAGAAAAGCCCCAAACACACAGGGATTTGGTATCTCCTTCATTCACTGACTTCCTGTGCCTCTGCTGTGTTTGGCACTGGGCTGAGGGCATAGATCTGAAGCCCAGAGAACCCTGCCTTCAGGAGCTCAGGGTCGGTGGGCAGAGGTGGTGGGGTTGTATCATAGAAGAGTGGGGTAAATGAGGCAGACTGTGAAACCCTGAGAGTTGGTCCTGCTGACCCCTTCAGTACTCTTCCCCTCACTCCCTGGCCTGTCACCTCCACTCATGGCCAAAATGGACTACATGTGGTTACCCAAATATACCACCATGTGCTCGTGTACCTGCTTTCACTTCCACTACCTGGAATATTTTTCTTCTTGGCCTATTAATCCTTCAAGCCTCAGCTAAAATGTTACCTTCCTGTTGAATGTTCTTTCATTTCATTAAAGAAATACAGGCATTAACTTAGTGCTTACTACATCCTTATTCACCTCTCCCTTCTGGCTCTGGCAGAAGCTATTACAGTTGACCTTTGAACAACACAGGAGTGAACTGCACAGGTCTGCTTATACACAGATTTATTTTGGGTAAATATAGTACAGTACTGTCAAAGTAGTTTCCCTTTATGTTTTTAACATTTTTTCTAGCTTCCTTTATTGTAAGAATACAGTATTTAGTACATAGAACATGTGAAATACGTGTTTATGTTATCGGTAAGGCTTCCAGTCAACGGTGGGCTATTAGTAGTTAGTATGGGGGGGGGTCAAAAGCTAACATGCAGATTTCCAACTGTGAGGGGGTCAGCACCCCTAACCCCCATAGTATTCAATGGTCAGCTGTACTCTTCTCTGTGTTCCCATACCAAATACTGATTTATTCATTGATCCACTTCACTATCATTCACAGGCTCACTGCTTTGTTGTTTATTCAATAGGCACTTACTGCATTCCAAGCACTTAGTGTATCTTCTGTGCCACTAATACTGTCATGTTTTAACTATTAGTTTCCTTATGTATCTCCTTCTCTAGACTGAGGGACCCTTAAAAGCCAGAGCATTTGGCTCAGTGACCTCTTTGGTCCCTAGCATAGGATCTAGATGTGGCAGCAGGCCCTGGCCAATGTTTCATGTGTGAATGAATTAGAGTATTTGGGTCTTTTGGGGTGAAAAGATGTGGGTGTTTACAGGAAATTCTCTGAGCAGGCCTCTTGTAAGGTAAAGGCCCACCCAGCCCCTCTACTTTCTACCCTTCTACCTGGACTCTTCAAAAACACCCAGCTAATGACATTCTTCACCCCACAGGACCATCCATTCTGTACTTACCAGGGTCATGAGCCTCAAGATTTCAGGTCTGAGGAAGGAACTCTCTCCAGCATCCAGGAGGGTAAACAGCAAAAACCGATTCCAGGGCTGGGAGACCACATGAAATGCTATAGGAAACATCAGTCACCCTGGGTTGTTACTGCTTTTCCATAGGCCTTGGAACATTGATGAAGAGGAATTTCTTTTATTGGCTTAAAAAGGGGCTGCTCAGCTAGAGGCAGGGCATTGGACAAACTGGCCACTGGAAGTTTCTTTTTTCCCTGGGCTTCTATCCACCTATGCTGCCTGGCTTAGGGAGACCACATATCCCACTATTGTGGGAAGGGTTCTGCAACTTTGGAGCTTTGTGATTTTGGTTGGGCAGGTTACTTGACCTCTTTGGACCATAGTGTCCTCATCCATATAATGGGCATTGCAATGCCCTTGCATGTTGTGAAAAGAATTAAACAAAATGAATGTAAATCAAAAACCAGAGGTTGGGAGTCTGGGACAGAAAGGTGGCAGGGGCTGGCCAGCCCTATGGGAACATCAGAGAATGGGGAGGGCTTCTACCAATGTCTGGGCTCCGGGCATGCAGGTAGTCAAGCAAGGCTTCCAGGCAGCCAACACAGGCATAAGACAAAAGAGGGTCCTTCTGTAAAAAAATAAACAAAACCCATTCATGTCAAGTTTTGCTACCAATGAGTTTTGATACCAACCAAGAAAAAATCATTTGGTTTTCAGAATAATTTGGTTTTCAGAATTTCAGATTTGGGATTGTAACCCTGTACATAATCAAGAAATGTTTGTTGCTTTCATCTCTAAACCACACATGGAGCATAGTGCTTATACTGACGATTTACCTACATTTATCTACATTCAAGAGACTTTCAGAAAAGGAGAGGCACCTGGATGGCTCAGTTGCTTAAGCTGCTGCTGTTGGCTCAGGTCATGATCTCAGGGTTCTGGGATAGAGCCCCATGTCAAGCCCCACTTTGGGCTCCCTGATCAGCGAGGAGTCTGCTTCTCCCTCTCCCTCTGTACATGCCCCCACTCCTGCTCTCTTTCTCAAATAAATAAATAAAATCTTTAAAAAAAGAAAAGAGAGACTTTCACTGTTTCAGAAAAGTGGTTAAGCCCTGAGCCCCACTAAGAGATTCACAGATTACAGACTCTGTAAGAACCTCAGTTTATCTAAGCCAGTATGTTTCAACCTTTTTTTTTTTTTAAAGATTTTATTTAGGGCATCTTGGGTGGCCCAGTGGTTTGGTGCCACCTTCGGCCCCGGGGTGTGATCCTGGAAACCCGGGATCGAGTCCCACATCAGGCTCCCTGCATGGAGCCTGCTTCTCTCTCTGCCTGTGTCTCTGCCTCACTCATTCTCTCTCTCTCTCTCTCTCTCTCTCTCTCTCTCCTGTCATGAATAAATAAATAAAAACTTTGAAAAAAAAAAGATTATTTATTTGACACAGAGAGAACACAAGCAGAGGAAGAGGAAGAAACAGGCTCCCCACTGAGCAGAGAGCCTGACACAGAGCTCCATCCCAAGACCTTGGGATTATGACCTGAGCTGAAGGCAAATGACAGACTGAGCCACCCAGGCACCCCTCTTTCAACCTTTTTTTTTTAATTTTTATTTATTTATGATAGTCACACACACACAGAGAGAGAGAGAGGCAGAGACATAGGCAGAGGGAGAAGCAGGCTCCATGCACCGGGAGCCCGAAGTGGGATTCGATCTCGGGTCTCCAGGATCGCGCCCTGGGCCAAAGGCAGGCGCTAAACCGCTGCGCCACCCAGGGATCCCTCAACCTTTTTTTCAAGCAGAACCTTACATCAAACAAAATTTTATGCTCTAATAAGCATACCAAAAGATCTCATTATCATCAGGCATTAGGAAATCCAAATGAAAACTACCATGAGACACCACAAAACCCCACAAATAGCTAAAAAGACTGACAATACCATGTTGGCCAGAATCTGAAGCAACTGGAACTCTCAACTTCTGGTGGGAAAGTAGAATGGTGCAGTCATTTTGGAAAACAGTTGGATGGTTTCTTATAAAGTAAACATATACTTACCTTATGTGGTAGGCAGAATTTTAAGACAATCTCCTGACCTTTGCCCCCAGATTTTACTCCTGTGATTATGCTACGAAATATGGCAAAAGGAAGATTGTTTGGTCTCAATCTAGTTACACCAACCCTTGAAAAACAGTTTTGTCTGGCTGGTGACAGAACCAGAGAACCTGGAGGTGTGAAAAGGACTCAGCATGCATTGGTGGTTTGAAGATAGAGGGGCTGGGTAAGGAAGAATGTGGGCAACCTCAAGAACCTAGAAGAGGCCGCTGAGGAAGAAGTGGATTTTTTTTTAAGATTTTATTTATTTATTCATGAGAGACACAATGAAAGGCAGAGACACAGGCAGAGGGAGAAGCAAGCTCCATGCAGGGAGCCTAGTGCGGGACTCCAGGATCATGCCCTGAGCCAATTGCTCAACCACTGAGCCACCCAGACGTCCCAAGAAGTGGATCTTTCCTCCAGATAAGCACCCAGCCTGGCCACCACCTTGATTTCAGCCTTGTGAAACCCTGAATAAAGAATTTGGTCAAACCCACCCAGACTTCTGAGTCTGAGTAGAGAACTGTGGGATAAAAAAAAAAAAAAAAAAAAAACTGTGGGATAATACACAGTGTGGGGCTAAGCCATTACATTTGTGGTAACTTGTTACACACATTAGAAAGTGAGTATGTCATTTGACACAGCATTTCACTCCTAGATATGTACCCACGAGAAATGAAGCCATATGTCTACACAAAGACTTATACTTCAGTTTAAGAACTTTATGCATAATAGCCAAAAATTTAGAAGTCCCAAGTCAATAGGTGAATGGATAAACAGTTGTGGTATAGCCATATAATGGAGGACTACTCACCAATGAAAAGAAATGAAGTACTGACACACATGACAATGTGAATGAGCCTCAAAAGCATTAAGCTAGGGATCCCTGGGTGGCGCAGCGGTTTAGTGCCTGCCTTTGGCCCAGGGCGCGATCCTGGAGACCCCGGTCTCCCGACGGGAGACCACGTCGGGCTCCCGGTGCATGGAGCCTGCTTCTCCCTCTGCCTATGTCTCTGCCTCTCTCTCTCTCTCTCTCTCTCTCTCTCTCTCTCTCTCTGTGACTATCATAAATAAATAAAAATTAAAAAAAACTTTAAAAAAAAGCATTAAGCTAAGTAACAGAAGCTAGACACACAAGACCACATTTTGTATTTCATTTATATAAATTCTAGAAACGGCAAAACTATAGTGACAGAAAGCTGATCAGTGTTTATGAGGGACAGGGATAGGGAGAAGAGATGGACTAAAAGGAGCACAAGGGAACTTTCTGGAGTGATGGAAATGTTCAATACCATGATTGTGGTAGTGTTTACAAAACTATTTGTAAAGCTCATTTAATTGTACACTTAAAACCAGTAAATTTTATTGCATGTAAGTTACATCTCAAAAACATTTGCATTTTTTAAAATGCAAAAACTAACCCCCAAAAAGGCTATGCTGTCTTCACACTGTTCTTTGGAAGGCAGCAATGTGGTGGTTAAGAATAGGGGACGGAGCATGTGGGTGGCTCAGTTGGTTAGGCGTCTGACTTTGGCTTGGGTCATGATCTCAGGGTCCTGGGATTGAGCCCCTGAGTTGGGCTTCCTGCTCAGCAGTAGCAGGGAATCTGTTTGTCCCTCTCTCTCTCTCTGCCACACGCCCTGCCCATGCTCTCATTCTCTCTCTCAAATAAAGAGAATCTTTTAAAAAGAAAGAAAGAAAAAAGAATATGGGACAGACTTGGGCTTGCATCCTTGCTTATTAATCACTTACTCTAGGTGACTCTGGCTAAGGTCACTTATCCTTGCTGACTGGGGATAAAAAAAAATTACCAAGTTGCTGACAGGGTTGGATGAGAACAGGTATAGACTATTCAGCCAGTGCTTGACACAGAGTAAACAATAAAGGCTGAGAGCAGCCTCATAAAATGCACAACAGAAGAACACTCCCCTCTTTAACAACCCCTGGGTTTTCTCCACAGAACCCCTAAGACCTCCAAGGCACATAGCTTCAAATGTTTGAGCTAATCTACTCACCTCATTTTATAGCTGAGAAAATGAGAGCCAGAGGAAAAAAAAAATTTGATCTGAGGACACCTGTACATATCAATAGGTGGCAGGTCTAGAAAACCCTAGGCTTTGTGCCCTTTCTCCTTCTCCAATCTAAAATTAACTCTTAACCAGTGGGAACTTCCAGCCTCTTCCCAAATACCCAAGACCACTTGGTATAATACCCAGCCACTGCCTTTGGCTTCCTCATCTGGTGAAGAGCTGTGGCCTGAGTGCCACTCTCTGACCCAGTGTCCATATTACCTTATATACCCAACGAGGGCCAGCTGAAAGGTGGATGAAGAGCCAAGGCCATTGGGCATTAGGAAAGCTAGGTACTATCACTCAGGTAACAATGGCACCTGTTCACAAGATGCGCATCTTGGAACACTGAAAGAACGTCGATTTTGTAGCCAAAGAGACTTAGGTTTGAATTCTGACCTAAAAGTGTGTGACCTTTGACAAGTTACTTACTATCTCTGGGACTCTGTTTCCTTGTCTATAAAACTGAGATCAGGGGCACCTGGGTGGCTCAGTCGGTTAGCATGCAAGGTCTTGATCTCAGGGCTGTGAGTTCGAACCCTGCATTGGACTCTGCACTGGAGCCTACTTTAAAAAAAAAGGGGGGGGGGCATCCCCGGTGGCCCAACAGTTTAGCACCACCTTCAGCCCAGGGTGTGATCCTGGAGACCCGGGATCGAGTCTCACATCAGGCTCCATGCAGGGAGCCCTCTGCCTGTGTCTCTGCCTCTCTCTCTCTCTCTCTCTCTCTCTGTCATGAATAAATAAAATCTTAAAAAAAACTAAGATGTAATTTCTACCTTATAGAGGAGTTGTGGTGAATAAATGACATGTGCCAAGTGCTTACACAGAGTAGGCGATGTCCCCTCCCCACCTCCTACTCTCCTAGAACCTTAACCTGACATGAACCTCTGCTCTTGTAAGAATGATCCTTGAGATCAAAACCTCACGTCTTGTAAAACTAGCCCACTGATTTCCAAATTAGTAACAACATTCCACTCCCACCCCGATCACAAAGCCAAGTCTGAGCACAAGGAAAAACTGCCTCTTCCCTGCCCAGGCCCACACTTACCCTTCCCCAGGTTTCCACAGGAATGTAGCAACTGGACTGGAATCCAGTTACACAGTCCTGCCCCACGAGAAAAGGCAAGCTCCACCTCCTGGCCATGGTCTCCATCTCCAAAAAACCCAAAACAAACCTACTATATTTCTATTCTGGAGACATTCAGAGATTTACAATCCTGGTGGCTCCTCTAAGAACTAGCAGAAGGGAAGTTTGCCCTGGCTTCGCCCTACTCCAATGCAAATCATGCCAGTGACCACAGCCCTTCTTCAGACCCTTCCACTGCTGCTACTAACCTCCCTTCTTTCCCCTCTGTGACCCAGCATAATGAACTCTGGACACCGTCTCCATCCTCACTGCAACCAGCACTTCCCTGCTATGCTCCATTCCTGGGGGAATTAAAGCAGTTCTCATAGGCCCAAATCATTTAACACTGAAAGACTCCTTTTATTTTAGATAGTGAAATGGAGGCTCAAGGTTCATCCATGTTGTAGCATGTGACTGCTTCATTACATTTTATGGCCACACAGTATTCAAGCGTGTGTATATACAATTTATTCATTCATCAGCTGGTGAACATTAGGGTTGTTTGTACTTTGGAACTATTATGAATAGTACTGCTATGAACATCTGTTTGTCTACACAAGCTTGTGTGTAGACAAATGCTTTCCATTTTCTTGGGCATATACCTGGGAGTAGAATTGTTGGGTCATACGGTAACTCCGTGTTTAGCTTTTTGAAGTACTTCCTGGTTGTTTGCCAAAGTAGCTGCATCATTTTGTATTCCCACCAACAATGTATGAGAGTTTCACTTACTCTACATTCTCACCAGAATTTGGTATTATTTGATTAGCTCTCCATCCCAGTGGGTGTGAAATGGGCCTCACTAATTTACTTGGGTCACTGCAACAACCTCTTGCTCCACAGTCCCCCCTGCCTCAGGCTTTTTCCTCCCTCTTCCCTACTGAGGTTGCCAATGATCAGTCTGATAGAAGCCCTTGGTGGCTTCTCTCAGCACTTCTTGGCCTGGTATATAAGGTACTGACTAGCATGGCCCCTGCCCAGCTCTTCAATGTCATCTACTTCTCGTTGCCCCCATTCCCCACTGCACACTTCTATATCATGTACTTTTGCTCATTCTGTCTTCTCCGCCCAGAATGCCCTTCCCTCTACCTCTTCCTAGACATTGTTTTAGGCTGAATTCAAATGTCACCTTCTCTGTGAGGCCTCCTCTGACCCCTGCAAGCAGAAGTTTTTGCCTAAAAAAAATTTACAGTTTTATGGAAGAAGACAGAAATGCAAATCACTGATCATATAATAAAATATGATAAATGCGATCCTCATTACAGGGTTGAATAAACCATTCTGGATCTCAGAAGTGGGGGTGGGGGAGAGAAAGAGGGGAGGACAGACAGACCTCCTCTATTCTTGGATTACTGTGGAATAATGTTCGCTGAATGTATGAATGACTGAACAAATACAGAACTATTTTTAAACAGCAAACCTATGGAAGGGTCTGAAGGAGGCTTAGCTCCAGTCCTGGGGGAAGGACAGAGAACAAAATGGCTCTTCCATATACTTCCTTGGGTCAAGGGCAGTGATAGAAAGGTCATTATGGCTGAAAGCAGAAGGCCAGGGAATTTCTCAGGAGTGTGTCATTGAGAGAAGGGAGGAAGGGGCTACTTGGTCCTGTTCATCAGGGACAGTGACTGTGAGGCTGAGCAACAACCAGCGAAGACCCAGGAGCCTCTTCACGAGGAATTCATGAGTTATTTGAGTTGATTCCTCTTTCCAAGGACTGGTGAAGATAGCAAAAAGCTTCCAGAAATAAATAGTATATTATTCTACTTAAATGAGTTACTTAGAATAGTCAAAAGAGTCAAACAGAGAAAGCAGAACAGTGGTTATCAAGTGATGGGGAGAGGGGGCAATAGGAAGTTATGGTTTGATATGGACAGAGTTTTAGTATGACAAGATGAAAAGGTTTTGGAGATAGAAGGTGGTAGTGTTTGTGTAACAACATAAATACATTTATTATCACAGAACTATGCCTTAAAATGATTTTTAAAATGGTTAATTTTGTTATGTAATATTTTAGCATGATTAAAAAAAAAACTGCCAGGGGCACAGAAGAGTGTCCCAGGCCTGGTGACCCCTAGGCCAGGGGAGGTGAATAGTAATGGTGGTACAGGAAGTCACTGACCCCTTAGTGTTTAGGCTACTGGTTTAAGGAAAGTTCTTCAATCATTCAAGGATTGGTTTAAATGCAACCTCTGCTATAGAGACTTTCTTGATTCAAATAATAGGTCATTTTGGCATTAATTATAATCATTAGTGCTTCCTATAATCTGTGTACTTCAGCTAGAACCATATTATATTCATTTCTGTGTCTTCATTCATTCATTCATTCATTCAAACAAACACTGAATGCTAATTTGGTGCCAGGGTTTATGCTGGATATTGAGTATAAGAGAATCATTTTACTCTTACTTCTGAATATTAAAATAGTAACCTCAGCCTGTTAAAAACATTGGAGAAAAAGCATTTCTCCTTGCTCCCACATTTAACTGGCTCCTCTTCACCCAAGGAGAGATTTATCTAACAGGTAAAATGCTAGCTTAACATTTACTGTGCCATCAGAACAGGATCAAGGTATTAAAGGTCATGCTCCCATAAACTTAAACTTTTGTTTTTAAGATTTTTTTTATTTATTTGTGAAAGACACAAAGAGAGAGAGAGAAACAGAGACAGAGGCAGAGGGAGAAGCAGGCTCCCGGGACTCTGGGATCATACCCAAAGCCAAAGACAGGCACTCAACTGCTAAGCCACCCAGGCGTCCCTAAACTTAAACTCTTAAGATCACGGCCAGGTGGCAAAGTGTCCATAAAGTAAACATAATTTCCTTGCCTACGGGCTTCTGATCTGGCCTGGGGGAAAAGAGAGTGTTTTAAACCCTTTAACACTTTTATTTTTTTTAAGATTTTTAAATTTATTTATGAGAGAGAAAGAGAGAGAGACAGAGAGACAGAGAGAAAGGCAGAGACACACGCAGAGGGAGAAGCAGGCTCCATGCAGGGAGCCTGACGTGGGACTCGATCGCAGGTCTTCAGGATCAGGCCCTGGGCTGAAGGCAGCGCTAAACCACTGAGCCACCCGGGGTGCCCCCTTTAACACTTATAAAAGCTCTCTTTGGGGGAAAAAATTATATATATATATATACACACACACACACACACACACACACACTCTTTTTGGAGAGATATAAAGATACTACAATATTAATAGTGGAATCTAGGTGGTGGGTGTGTGAATGTTCCACTATAAAATTCTTTTACCTTTGCTCTATATGAAAAATTCCAGGCCAAAAAAGCCCATATGACCTGAAGTCCCAGCTACATTCTACTTCAGTGTTTACCAGAAATAAAGCCAATGTTTTGGTTCTCATCTGATTCCTGATTTCTCATCTGGTTTTGAATCCACAAGGGGAATAAAACGCAAAGATTAGTCAAACACAGTTCCTTCCTTTAAGAAGGAACTTCTTTCATACCAGTGAAGACTGGTATGAAAATGGGAACGTACAACAGAGAGAGCTAAAGGTATAGAGCCTTGTGCATAGATGTGCTGGCAGGACAAGTCTCAGCAACCACAGAGTCAGCACAGAACCACTCCTAGAGCATCCTCTATCTCCTTTACATCTCCAACTTTTTCCATACTGTGCACAGGCCCAGTAGGGATCAATACTTAAACATAATATCCCACAATCACCAGCCATATTCTATATGCACAGTAATTATCTTGACACCAAATAGAGTATACTCAAATCAAGGCCTTCACCTCACCCCCAGGAAGTTTCTATAACTCCTCTCATTCATTTGCTGGCTCCTCTCACCTCCCTCCTCTTGGCCCATGAATGACTTGCTATCAAATCAGACCAGATCTGACTGTCTCCTTGGACAAGCTCCACAGGGCAAGAAAAGAGAGTCCAAGTATAACAGAATAACATCTAGGGCTTCAGTCACCCCATAGCAACCAGCTCATATTTGAAAATAATACACAGTAAGCTCTTAAAAAAAAGAAGAAAGTCCTGGAGAATCAAGGATGAGAGACACGTTATGAGACCAGGGACAGCAAATAAGTCCATACCAGAGAACAAAATAGTGTTGCCATCAAGATCAATCCCATTTCTGATGCCCCGTCTGCCCTTGCGGAGGTAGGACAAGTCACTTGGTCTTTCTAGCCCAGCTCAATCACCTCCTCCAGGAAACCTTTGACAGCTCTGCACTAACCCTACACTAGCCCACTAGTTACCCTGAACTCCCACAGTGCAGTGTCTCCCTTTACCCCAAAACTGATCACAGTGTTATCACCTTTTATTTCTGTGGCAGCCCCTCCCCAAATGTTCACTCCTCAAAGGCAGGCACCTGACATATTTCCATGCCCCCACCACTCTTCACAGTATTTGATGGCTGGATAAACAATGAACTCCAAAAGTCCTCTAAGCTGTGAAACATAAAACCCTTTGGGGTAAACGTCTACTGTCTTGGCTTACATGAAATTCACCCTTCCTTTTTCTGTGAACAGTTTTCTTTTGGAGAACCATCCTTCTTTCATGTTCAGTCTATACTGAGTTATGGAAAGCTCACCATATGTCCCATCCTCTGGGAGAGGGCTCTGTCCAAGCCAGGTCAACCAAAGCATCCCATGGCCCAGCCACAGTGAACAGCACATTACCCGAGCCAGGCTAATGAGACTCAGTTCTAGGTACTGTTAGGAAAGAGAAAGTCTCTTGCTCCTGGAAAGATATAAGCCAGGTGCTTCTGTTGGTTATCCTACCATCCCATGAGAACAAAGCTGAGATGAATGCAGAACCAAGACTGGAGACAGAGTTCTGATAACATTGTCTGAGCCTCTGGGATCTAGCTGGGCCTGAAGCCAGTGCTAACCCCTGACCTTCTCAGTTATGAGCCATTTTGAGTTTCATTTCTATCACTGTAACTTTAAAGGTCCCAATTAATCCACCCTCCAATCCTGGAGGAAATACCAGGTTCCTGACAGGTAGCCATCTCTTCCTATTGTTCTGGATAAAGCAGGCTCCACCAACAGGGTCCCACTCAGCAAGCACCTTACCTGCACCAAGAGGTTCTGCAGTCCAATGACCAGGGACAATACTTGTGATGTTCCCAGTGGAGCTAAGACAGTGTTCTCAGGGGCCAGTGGTGGCTGGGCCTCTGAGGGCACCAGGGTCACAAAGGCAGAGGAAAAGCTTTGTTGCAGGGCTGTCCGCAGGAAGCATAAGATGGCAGCTGAAAGCAAGAAATCCCTTACACCCAGTCTCTGCCCCCTTCCCCATGTCCCACCTAGCTCTATCACAGGGGGAAGAAAGTGGAGATAACAATGGGGTGACCATAGGCTGGTCTGGTGGGGGATAGCCCCATCTCACAGCCAAAGGGAAAAGCTCTTCTTTTCCTGCTAGCGGTCCCTGAGGCCATACCTGAGAGCAGCGCAGCCTTTTTCTTTGGGAAGCTGAGGACCTTCAATATTTGGGCCAGTTCCACGGACAGTGTCTGGTGAACCTGGTAGGACAGGGGGTAAGGGGATAGCTCCCACAGTCTGGCAGCTTGAGCAGAAAATAAGCTGTCCCAATATCTCCCAGGTACCCACACATACCCACTACATTCAGAGGGACAAAGAGGACAACACAGTCTTGTGAGCCCACCAGTCCTAGATTCAGGAATGTGAGGAAGCAAATTAACCTGTACATAGAAAACCTTTCTTTTCCCAAATATCCCCCATTGTCTCACTAGGGAGCCTCACTGGCCTCATCTGTGGTTGAGTCTCCACCTCAGCCCAGCATCCAACTAATTTAGATCTAGAGTCAGACAGAATCAAAACCCTGGCTCTGCCACTAGCTAGCCATGTGGTCAAGGGTAAATCACTACCCCTCTCCCAGCCTGTCTTTCTGTATGAAATGGGAACAAGGCCACCTGCTTTCACTCCCTCCAGAACTACTGTGAAGAACAGCTGAGGATCAGCATTAGTGAATGTGCTCTTTAAAGCCAAAGCAATGTCCAAACTGAGGGGATACGTTCAAAGCCAAGTCTGCTCTGCTCTCCTTACCCAGAGAACACATGCTGCTTCAAGGCAGGAATTACTTCTCTGCTGGGATCTATCACAGTCTGACACAAAGCAGTTCCTCAATAATGCTTGTTGGCTAGTGAAATCAGCAGGTTTTAGGCAGAAGAACCAACTTGTACAAAGGTATTGAGATAACATACTAATATAAGATGTTAATAGAGGAAACTGTGTGGGAGTTATTTGGGAACTCTCTGTGCTATCTGCTCAACTTTTCAGCACACCTAAAACTGTCTTAAAAATAGGGATGCATGAGTGGCTCAGTGGTTGAGTGTCTGCCTTCAGCTCAAGGTGTGGTCCCAGAGTCCCAGGATCAAGTCCCACATTGGGCTCCCCGCAGGGAGCATGCTTCTCCCTCTGCCTATGTCTCTGCCTCTCTCTCTGTGTCTCATGAATAAATAAATAAAATCTTTTAAAAAAAAAAGGCCATTAGAGGTGCCTGGGAGGCTCAAATGGTTAAGCATCTGACTATTGGTTTCAGGTCATGATCTCAGGGTCCTGAGATTGAGCCCCAAGTCAGGCTCCACGCTCCGCCCAGGCTACTTATCCCCTTCCCTCTCCCCATCCCCTTCCCTCCCCTCTCTCTTTCTCAATCTCATAAATAAAACAACTTTTAAGAGGATAATTAAATTAAAAATCAGGGCAGCCCGGGTGGCTCAGCAGTTTAGTGCCGCCTTCAGTCCAGGGCGTGATCCTGGAGAACTGGGATTGAGTCCCACATCGGGCTCCCTGTGTGGAGCCTGCTTCTCCCTCTGCCTGTGTCTCTGCTCCTCTCTCTCTGTGTCTCTCTCATGAGTAAATAAATAAAATATTTTTAAAAATTTAAAAATCAATTGATCAAAACCAAACCATCAACAGTATGGAGCCGCGAAAGAGTAGTGCTGATCTGGATAAGAGCTAACAGTTGGTCAGAGAACAGAGAAGGAGGATAGAATGGCAGAAAGTAAGGCTGCAGAAGGGCCAGGTAAGCAGGGTCTCAGTGGCCATGTGGAGAATTCAGAGACTGGCTACAGGGACAAGAGATGTGGAGCTAGGGAAAGGATAGGAGCCAGGAGACTGAATAGGCCACATTAGTGGTGAGGATGAACTATCAGGCCTGAGCTAAGGGAGTGGGGAGGACTTAGAGTGGAGGTGGTTAGTAGGTAATTGGCTGGGTGTAAGCTGAGGACCAGGGCAGAGCCAGGGACACAGTGCAGGCTTCCATCCAGACAGGTAACAACAGCGGTACAGGTGGGCCCAACAGCCTCATACAGAAAATCAGAAAAAGTTCCTATCCCAAACTGAAGCCATGGTCAACAACCAGAAGACTTACTATAGTTTAGATCTGCCACAGCCTGATGCCATCTTAGAGGCCAAACTTTTTTGTTGGTTGGTTGGTTTTTTTTAGAGGCCAATCTTTAAAAATGACTTCACTTCTACACAAAGGAGCATGTGCCTGGCCCTAGAATGGCACAGAGTTGGGCACAGGGCAAAGATATCTCAAAGGCTAGAAGATGGTTTCTATCCACAAGATGCAGTCAGGCTGAGGAAGGAGACACCTGAATGTGGAGCAGCCCACAGACAACCTCCTGCAGGGCTCTATGATGACAAGGTCCTACACAAGGGGGTGGGGAGGGACTGAGAAGAAAGGAGGTGCTCTGTGGCTATGTCCACTGTTCCCTTCCCCAACAATCAAAACGACAGCTTACATATGTGGCATTTCACAGCTTACCACCCAGCACAAGATCATGGGCTGGCTTCTGTCTTCCTGTCCAATCTGACCATCTACTCTGCACATTCTAATCACACAGCACCTCACCAGTCTCCAAGTATGTACACTATGTCCTAAATTTGTGTAGTTTCATGTCATTGCTCAAATATTCCTCTTTACTTGGAACATCTTTTCCCGACTATCTTTGCCTGGTACAGTCTTACTTACCTTTCAAGGCTTTGCTTAGAGACTACAAGTTTCCCAAGTGTGAGGTACATGGTGTATTTCTTATTTCTCTGTGCTTAGGACACAGACTGGCATGTAGGTTATCCAGGTATGGTAAATTAATGTAAACCAACCTGACAACAACCCTGGATGTTTTCTTCCCCATTCCATAGGCAAGGAAACTGAAGTTCAGAGATCAAATACCTTATGAAGGTTACTCAGCTAATAAGCCACAGAGCTAGAACCAGAACTCAGGAACTTTGTCACTCCCTTGTATGCCACCCCATGCCCCAAAGCCACAGGAGTTAGTGACTAACCTGCAGACTGCCATAGTGCTGCTGAGCAGAGAAAGAGGCAGTGAGCAGCCAGGCGGAGCAAAGGAGTTCAGTCCTGGGAGAGTCCACCTTGGTCCAGGTGAGTGCCAGAGTCTTCTCCAGAAGTTCAATCAGGGCGGTACTGCTAAGGAGTACTGCAGCAGCTGTAGATGGTTTGGTGAAGCAAGGGCCACAGAGGTTATGCAGGAGCCCCGGCTCAGTGCCAGCCTCGTGATTAGCACCTGAGGGGAACTTCATGCACACATAGTGAATAAACAAACAGATCAGTTTGAGGCTTTAAGGGTTCCAACTTCATTCTCGAACCACAGGTTATCAGAACCAGAGGGACCTTATGACCATCTGGCCCAGCTATACCCTCCCCTTATATATTTTTATAAGAGGAAGAAACTAAGGGCAGCAATGGCTACAGACACTACCCAACACCCTTTTCTCTTCGTTGTCTCAGCTGGGGCCCCAGCACCTCTTTTCTGACTGCTCGGTGTAGTCTGATGAAGGCTCCAATACAGGAAGTTGAAGGAGGGCTGCAGGATATCCACATCAGCAGGGCTGCATTTCCCACACAGCTTGCTCACTGCAAGAGCCCCAGGCACCCCTCATGTAGCACTCCATGTTTTAAATGCTTACTAGCACTCACAATTCTCATAGGTTATCTTTAACCTATCCTTCTGTTGGCTAATGTCAGATGTCAATCTGTCAGTCTTGGGGACCAAGCACAAACTAAGTGTCCCTGGTAATACAGCCAATGGAAAGAAACAAACACAGACAAACCTGAAGGTATGTTCACACTCTCATCTAAAAAACTTCAGGCAAGCAGTCCTCAGCTGTACTTACAACAGACTACACAGGGGATCCCTGGGTGGCTCAGCGGTTGAGTGCCTGCCTTTGGCCCAGGGCATGATCCTGGAGACCTGGGATCGGGTCCCACATCAAGATCCCTGAAGGGAGCCTGCTTCTCCTTCTGCCTGTGTCTCTGCCCCCCCCCCCTCTCTCTCCTCTTTCTCTCTCTCTGTCTCTCATGAATAAATAAAATCTTAAAAAAAAAAACAGACTACACAAGTTGAGGTGACCTACAGGCATCCTGTAACAGCATTCCTGCTGGCACAGACTCCAGGTTGGAGAGTCTGCAGAGGTTATCCAGGCTAACCTACCACCTGAGCAAGAGAAGATCCAGCCTCTGAAATCTTCCAGCAATGGGGTACTCACCACCCTCCCAGGGGACTCCATCACCATCAGTGTGCAGTTCCCTTAACGTGCCATATTCTCTCTCTCACATCACCCTCATCTGACTAAGTCTTTAACTCCTATTCAGCAATTGAGATTCAACTCAAAGTTTATCTCTTCCATAAGCCCTCTGTAACCTCTCAAGGCAAGATTAGATGCCTCTTCAGGCTCCCCTAGCCCTCCTCAGAGTAGTTTCTACACTGTAAATATCTATAGAACACATCCCTTTCCTCCTAAGATTCAATACTCTCTGCTCCCCTGCCCACCATCCCCAATACGAAATCTTTTTTTTTATTTTTTTAAATTAATTAATTTATTTATGATAGTCAGAGAGAGAGAGAGAGAGAGAGAGAGAGAGAGGCAGAGACACAGGCAGAGGGAGAAGCAGGCTCCATGCACCGGGAGCCCGATGTGGGATTCGATTCCGGGTCTCCAGGATCGCGCCCTGGGCCAAAGGCAGGCGCCAAACCCCTGCGCCACCCAGGGATCCCCCCAATACGAAATCTATCCAAGTCTCCACTCACTGTGTTGGCAGCCAAATCATACTTGACTCCTAACTGGCTTGTGGTCAACCAGACAAGCAGCCCCCCTCCTCACCCCGTCCTCTACCTACAATGCTCTCAAATAAAAGACTCAAGGATTATAAGTAAATGTATATTACATTTCACATGAATGTTTCAGGTCATCATTACCCCCTCCAGAGGCCCTTTTGACAGCAGTTTGATTTTTGTCACAGGCAATCTTCCTTCCCAGCTGAGTGTTATCCTTGATCTGACAGACAGGCTGGGTCCAACACCAGGCCAGGCCTGAAGGCCCTTTTTAAGCTTGACACTGATCTCATGAGGAGGCCTGGGCTCCAGGTGAGGAGAAACCATCCTCATCTGTGGCCACGACACCTGACAGTCCGCAGGTACTGAACACACACCATTTTTCCTATTGATTTCAGTATTTCCTCAATTAATCTTCCTAAGAATGCTGCCTATTGGGGCAACTCAGGTGGCTCAGCGGTTTAGCGCTGCCTTCAGCCCAGGGCGTGATCCTGGAGACCCAGGATTTAGTCCCACATCAGGCTCTGTGCATGGAATCTGCTTCTCCCTCTGCCTGTGTCTCTGCCTCTCTCTCTCTGTCTCTGTCTCTTATGAATAAGTAAATAAAATCTTTAAAAAAATGCTGCCTATGAAGGGCAACTACATTAATCAGTAGTGAAAGGTCCCAATGTGGTTTGGTATGGGTGGAAGAGGTCTAGAGAACTGGTAAGTAGATCATTAGATTCTGAGTCAGTTGTGGAGTGAGGTGGAGAACTGACCTTGTGCCAGGAAAAGTGAGTCTACACAAAGAGTTCCACTGGAGGTCTCCTGCATGCCAAGCATTGTGAGCATTCCACATCTAGTTACCCCTTATTTCAACCCTAAATCAGCTAATTACTACTATTTAACTTGTAAGGAACCTAAAGCTAGGTGATTGCCCAAGATTGCATAGCTAGTGACTGAGAATAAACCCAGGCATTTCTGACTCTAGAGGTGTATCTGTCACACAATGTTCTGTTTTTGTTTTTGTTTCATTTCCCAAATAGTCCCATAGTACAACTAGAGAAAGATCTAAAATGTCCCATAGCAAGAAACCCACAGGAACAGTGACCCACTAGCTTCTTCCAAAGGGCTGAATGATGGAATAAAGGAGCATGCCCAGCCCTGGGCCCTTAAGCACTGTCCCAAGCCCAAGCACCTTGGTGAAGAAGCTTCATGGCCATGCTGTCCAGTTCTTGCTCTGACGTGTTCTTCAGCTGCACTAAAGAAAGGAGGCTCAGTAGCAATGGCAGGTTCCCTGAGGCTGTGAGGAACAAGGAGGGCTGATCAGGAGACCTGATACTCAGATCACCCCAAGGTCGGACAGATACCCTACCCCTTTGTAAATATTTGTCGGGATTCACTCCTACTTCCTGCCTTCTTCTTTAGGCACAGGGACAACTGACATATTGAGTGGCAACTCTGGGTTGGGTACCAGAAATTTGATATCTCAATCCCCCTTGTGAAATAGGGATTATTTCTATTTTGTAGTTAAAAAAACAGGCTGAGAGGCTGAGTTACTTCTCCAAGCTCCCACAGCCAGTTAGTAGCAGGGCCAGGACTTGAACCTAAATCTGAGTTCAACGTCCACATTTTTTCAATTTTGTTTCCACGAAATCTCATGGCTTTTATACATTATCGATTAGACGGGACTTATCCTTTCCTGAAATGGAAGGACTCATCTCCTCCAGACACCCTTAAATCTACCTTCAAACTTCCATCCTCAGTCAGGACTAGATCAAGTGAACCATAGTTCTCCTCCCACTTCCTCTTAATTGCTTGGAAATTTTAAAATTCAACTTTTTAAAAATAGGAAAAGAGAACCCAATGCCAACCTTTTCAGTGTCTTTTTACTGTACCAAACATCAAACTTCTTTGACTCTAAGGAGTCCCATTCCAGATTTAGAAACTATCCTTCTGTATCTCACTGGCAGCTTCTAACACATTTCAGATCCACTCCTGTGTGCTGCTGCTGCCTTCCTGGCCTCCTCCTTATTTCCCTCTTTCTTCTTCCCAACTGGAGGTAGGTTACCATTCTTGAGACAAACAGCTCTAAGCACATGCCATGCAGGGTGGGGACATGCATGCATACACTGAACACACCCACCTATGCTAAACAGAGACATTAAACATAAACATATGTCACACACACACACACACACACACACCAAATATGCTGAGTGCTCACTCTTTGATGAGAGGAAGGAGGTAAAGTTTAGCTTGATGCCACACTGGCCTTTTATTTTGCAAAGAAAACTCTGATTCTTTCTCCTAGAGCAGACTTCATCAGGGCAGAGATGCCCACTCCTGAGTTTCAGGTCAAAACACGCCCCCCCACAGCTGCAGACTGACCTTCTGAGGGAGAGGCCCCATGTTCCACCAATAGATGCTGTAGGATCAGCAGGAAGTGGCCTCGGATGAGACCACCCACTTCAACATCCTCATTCTTCCTCAAATATATTCTTAGGACAATTAGTACCTTGTGGGCTGTGTCCACTGAGCTGGAATAGATGAGATCCTGAGCAGGAAAAAAGGAAGCCAGACCTCAGAGAATATCATAGTTGGGACAGTGAAGAAGACAGAGACTGGGGAAGGACCCACGATGATGGTGTCATAAAACATGGGGAAGGGAGTGCTCCCTTACTTGACACCTGTTATGTACTAATCTGCCGAACAGGTCCATCCTAAATAGGAAGAAAAAGCCTCAGAGAGATTATGTGGTGTGCCAAAGGTCACATAACCCAGTAAGTGGCACAGCTAAGATTTGAATCTCCTACCTCCAAGTCCAAATATCTTTCTACTTTCCAGGATACCTTTCTCTGACAAATATAAGTTTTAGGGTCAAGAAGAGGTTTTTTCAGGACAGAGGACCTGAATGTGCCTTAAGGGAGGAAAAGAGAGGGAGGTGGTGATGTCACAAGGCAGGAAGAGGATAGGTTAGGACAGATTCAGGGCACAGGAAGGGAAGCGAAGACCAGGTCAGGCCCCTTCTCTTCCATGGCATCTGGCTATTTCTGCCCCAAGCTGTAAAGGCCTTGGGTTCAGAAAGTAGGAAAGGACATCACTTTTTATTTGCTCTCAGAGTTATTTTAGTGAGTATATGTTAAAGGCAAAGCCAGTCAGAAGTCACACCAGAGACGATCCTACTGATAGCTCCTGGCACCTACCAGCTCAAACAAGCCAATTCCTTTGGACAGGTTAACATGCTGAGTGCTATGAATCCAAGGTCACACACAGACTCCCTTTCCAGGGAGGACAGCTGACACATAGAGACATGGCTACAGGGCACCCAGCTAGACAACTCCAGATGTGCTGATCACTGAGTGACACATGGGCATCAGGGCTTGGCTCTTCACAAATGTCCACAGCTGCCAGAGAAACAACTATAAATCAACAGCAACTGCTCAATCAGGCACTGTAATGTATTCAAATTGTAGCTGTATGTTTGCTGATACATTATCTGTATCTTCCTAATAACTCTTCCAGGTAGATGTCACCCTAATTTTTCAAATGAGTAAAAAGGCAGATTAAATGGTCTGCCTATTAAGACAGCAGTGGCACTGTAAATTCTACTACACTATGAGTTAATGAAAAATACTGATAAGATTGGCTTCATCTTTGTCACCTTGCAGGGACTCAGAAAACATCTCTGGAAGGAAAGGATCACAGAACAGGAGGGCTAGAGAGACTACTGGTGCATTTACATCAACCCTTTTACTTTACAGGGTATGAGGCTGAAGCCCAGAGGAAGCATGATTTGCCCAAGGTCAAACCAATTTCCTGATCCTGCTTCATCACCAGCACTTGGCTGCCTAACCAGAGATCTGGTCCCTCAGAATTCTGAGTTAAATTTTAATAGTCCAAAAGATAGAGAGCTACTCAGCCTTTGGTGGGTATGGTAAATGTAGGGGCGGGGGAGGGGGAGATGAGTTGCACCCCACTGTGTGGGTCAGTGGGGAAAGCTCTGGGTGGAACATGGCCCAGCTCCTGCCCAGAGCTGTCCAGAATTTTCTGGGGTTGGATCAACTAGGATGATGTGGCCAAGGAGGGAACAAACAGAGCTTCTGTGACATTACCGTTTTTCATATTTAAACAACCTACATGAAAGACCACCCATTGATAAGAGTGGCAATTAACAGCTTTGTTTTCAGCTGTTAATTACCCATGTCAAAAACAGAAATTGGTACCAACATATATTTTTAGACTCTTCCCCTCCTGTGGCTAGAAGCTGGGGAGAAATGGTAAGAATTATATATATAAACAGACAGCAAAATTGTTCCTTGTTATTCTTTTTCACCACTGATGTTTCCAGGATCCAATTTAGTGAAAATCTCATTAACTTTAGGCTCCAATCACAGTCATGACCCTTATAAGTTACATGACCTTGAACAATTCAATAAGCTGCTCTGAGATCAACATTCTCTGATTCAGAGTTAGTCAATGATCAGTGAATGATATCCTATGGTGTACAGAATAGCAAGAGTGTCCCTACGTATTCTTTCCACATATTATTCCCATATATTTATCCACATGTTATCTCTACTTTATACACAAGGAAACCAAAGCTCAGAAAAGTCTTCATCTTCCTGGGTCTCTACATCGGATCCAGCCCTAAGGATAGATCCTTCCTGTTGAATTCTAGGCCAGCAAAGTACAAGGCTCCTTCTCTGCCCACGAAGGAGGGGTGGCGTGTGGTTCACATTCAAGGACAAAAACTGAGTCACCACAACAAAGGGTGGGGCACCTGCTCAGCTTCCCTGACACAAGGGTCTATCTGAGGATTTGGTCTCTCGAGATTCATTTTCTATTTGGCCTTTTCTATTTGGCCTTTACTTATGTTCCTTAAAGCTAGTAGCCTAAGATAAGTCTTCAACCAGGGAGGGATCTTAACCCTAGAAAAACCCAGACTGAAAAAGAAAACTTAGGGGAGGAAGATAATGAGCTCCGTTTTAGACAGAAATGTCTAATAGTTAGCTTTATGGAGCAGGAGCTCAGGAGAAAAGTCACGGAGAAAGAGATTTAAGTCATCAGCATATAGCAGGAGGCAACCAAATCCATGAGAATTATTGACACAGCCTAGAAAGAAGAAACTGAATAAAAAGAGAGCCTAGGGGGCAGCCCTGGTGGCGCAGCGGTTTAGTGCCGCCTGCAGCCTGGGGTGTGATCCTGGAGACCCGGGATCGAGTCCATCGGGCTTCCTGAATGGGGCCTGCTTCTCCCTCTGCCTGTGTCTCTCCTTCTCTCTCGCTCTCTCTGAATGAATAAATAAATCTTTAAAAAAAAAAAAAAGAGAGAGAGCCTAGGAAAAAAACTTTGAGGAACAATCAACTTTCAAGCACTAGCCAGAAAGAAAACCGTAAGAGACTGAGAGAAGCACCAAGAAAGGTAAAAGAAAAATTAAGGGAGTTCGTATTGCCAAAACCAAGAATGTGCCAATAAAAAGTGGACAATTGTCAGAAAATAACAGGTCATGTAAGATGAGAAAAAGTCCACTGTAAGTAGTCACAAGAACATTGCTGTTGATCTTGGTAATAAGAATGGTTCAAGTATCAATGGAGGCAAATGCCAATAAGAGAGGGAATAAAAAATGACAATTTTGAGAGCTAGAAAACTACTTCTAGGAATTTGACTGTAAAGGGAAGGACAAAAACATGGAAAGGGTTAGGAGGGCAAGGACCAGTGAGAGTCTGGGTCCGAGGAGAAGATAACCAGAATAACCAGGAGTAAGTCAATAGGGATTTAGACTTGCCTACCACTCCCACAGCCCACCGTCATGATCTGAGATTTTTTTTTCTAGTCTCACCATTCTTTTGGTTTTCTCCTTCCAGTGATGCTTTAGAAGTCTCTACAAGGTTACAGATGAAACAAGCATCTGTGATTTCCTCAACGGCAAGGACCAACCATATCTGAATTATCTTTGTATCTCAAAATCTAGGGCCTAATAATAAAAACCAAATAAATACATGATAAGAGAAAAAGTGAACAACTAAACTCAGGGCTTCTAAAAACCTGCTCATTCCTATCTTTCACCAATCTCAGCTCATGGTGACATACCCTCCATGCTCCAAAATCACACCAGACCACTCATTCACTGTCCCTGAATCGCAGTAAGCACTTGGATGCTTGCTGTGCTGGCCTAGCAGGATTCTCCCCCAACACTTTCACTTATCAAATCTTTTGCAATATATGACAGAAATGACACCCTTCTAACCTCCCTGCCACCCAAGCACTCTGCCTGACTTTTATTGCCACACTGTTATGACAGGTATGTTTGGTTTGTTGTGTCTGATTCCCTCCCTGGCCCATAAGGCAGGTTGTAGGTCCAGTTCCTCCCTATACCCTCCCTGCTCAAATAGACAGCTCTCCTGTTATATAGGACACTGGATCAGGGTTTATTTCTCTCTTGTTCTCAGAATTAGCTCAGTTTACTGGGAAGAACATTAGACAGGGTGTCAAAATCTGGGTTTTAATCTCAACTTTTGTGACCTATGGAAAATTTTCCTAAACCTATTTCTTCATTTGTTTAAAAAGAAAAAAAATATTTCAGAAGATCTGCTTTTTTTTTTGAGACTTTGCCTAGAACCCTAATTCAAAGGGTCAGCAAATATTTGTAAGTACCTACTGTGTATGAGAAACCAACCCTGAATGCCTCATCTGGCAAAGAAAATCCAGTATCTTCACTTTGTCCATTGCTACTTTCCCTGGCACCCACCTTGCCTTCCTCCTCTATGAACTGATTATTTATTTTTAACCCATTGCTTCTCCTTCCTTGCTCCTCCAAGGAAGAATTTGAGTCAAAGCCTGAATGCGGCCCCTATCAAGCCAACACACATGACCTCACAAGATGACAGATCTCCAGAGTGGAAGGTGAAGATTTAAGTTTGAGGGGGATGTGTATGCATGCATTTGTGAATATGGACATTAGTACGTACCTAAGGAAGTGAGGTATACAACATGAAGGTGTTATTTCTACCACAGTCACTCTAATAGTCCAATAGAAAACACTCTAAGACTCTCTATGTTTATCATAAATAAATAAATCTATCAATCTATCTATCTATCCATCTATCTATCTATCTATCTATCTTTAAAAGTGGGGGGTGATCCCTGGGTGGCTCAGTGGTTTGGCGCCTGCCTTTGGCCCAGGGCGTGATCCTGGAGTTCCAGGATTGAGTCCCACATCGGGCTCCCGACATGGAGCCTGCTTCTCCCTCCTCCTGTGTCTCTGCCTCTCTCTCTATCATAAATAAATAAATAAATCTTGAAAGAAAGAAGAAAGAAAGAAAGAAAGAAAGAAAGAAAGAAAGAAAGAAAGAAAGAAAGAAAGAGGGGATCCCTGGGTGGCGCAGCGGTTTGGTGCCTGCCTTTGGCCCAGGGCGTGATCCTGGAGACCCGGGATCGAATCCCACATCAGGTTCCCGGTGCATGGAGCCTGCTTCTCCCTCTGCCTGTGTCTCTGCCTCTCTCTCTCTCTCTCTCTCTGTGACTATCATAAATAAATAAAAAATTAAAAAAAAAGAAAGAAAGAAAAAGAAAGAAAGAAAACACTCTAAGAAACCATGTTTGTTGATGATTAAGAACATCGTCCAGGAAAGGGCAAAGTTGGTGAGCTGGCATTGAAAGCAGTGGTTTTTTTTTTTTTTAAGATTTTATTTATTCATAGAGACAGAGAGAGAGGCAGAGACACAGGCAGAGGGAGAAGCAGGCTCCACGCAGGGAGCCCCACGTGGGACTCGATAACAGGTCTCTAGGATCACACCCCAGGCCGCAGGCAGCGCTAAACCGCTGCGCCACAGGGGCTGCCCGAAAGCAGTGGTTTTAAACTAAGTGTCTCCTATGCTGCTGTGCTGTGGTCAGTTTGGCACCTGCCACTAGTAGTCACTCACTAAATACAAAGTGTCAAATGGTGCAAATGATTTTCTTTTTAAATTAAATAAATTACAGCAGTTACTTCTGTAATAAAATAATGTCACTTTCATTAATTCAGTTTCTTGAGTGGATGAAGAAAAGATAGCACTAAAGCTAGCATATTAGAAACTCCAGACAACAGGCAGCTGATTTATCTGATACACCTGATAGAAATTATAGGAATGTCTTAATTCATAAAAAAAAAAAGTGCTAGAATTTCTGACAATTCTGGACTTGCCCAAGGGAGTGCACTGCATATATAACATTATCCTGTGAGTTATGGCAAAAAAGAGGCCTGGATCCTCTACAATCAGCCATCTCCATCTCCATGCCCCAAGGATCTCCTCTGATATTTAATCCTTGTTAGTAGAATCTGCTTGAAAAAAGACAGGGAGGTGAGAGGGAATGGTGACTGAGGTCAGCATTTCATAGTTCTATCCCCTGAGAAATACAGAGGGACAGATCTCTCAGTAAGCAGCCCTCCATCAGACTTAGAAAATTCTGAGTATGGATTTACAGAAACCAGGCACCTGTCAGCCAAAAGGACCTCCCATTCACATGGAAACAGCAATAAATCTGGAAGCAGGCAGAAGCAACTGTAGTTGCCTCTGACCTCAGTAAACCAACTCCCAGAGAGCGCCTCACCACCTGTGAATGCAGAAAGGAGGAAGAGGTCACCTACTAGCAAAATGAGCAGGATGCTGGGGCTGCTTCTGAGCATGTGGAATAGGGCTGCTAAGCTGGCAGGAAGGGAGGACTGCCCAGCAGAGGGGACATCATCCAGCTCCTCATAGCTGCTCTCTTCCCAGGAGAACCAAAGTTCCAGGACACGGTGTCCAAACCTACTCATCAGCTCAGGATACGACAGGAAGAACTTGAGCAGGAGGGGATGGTGGGTGTAAACCAGGTGTAGGTCTGGGATGTCCTCTAAAAATTTTCTGATGGCACTGACCACAGCCTAGAAAAAGAGAGAGAGAAAAAGAAAAAAAAAGAAAAGAAAAGAAAAGAAAAGAAAAGAAAAGAAAAGAAAAGAAAAGAAAAGAAAAGAAAAGAAAAAAGAAATTAAATAAATCTTGCAGAGTACCCAAAGAGCCCAACAAACATAGCCAAGATGTAAGTGGGAAAAATGTATTTGGCATCTCAGTACTCTAGGACATCTTCAGTGGCTCATCCGGTGCCCTCTGGTGAGAAGAAAACTCATTGTGCTTACCTTGTAACAGTGGTTCTCAAATTAGAGTGATTTTGTTCCACAGGAGATTTTTAGAAATGTCTACAGACATTTTTTATTTTCTTGATTTAGGGAGTGCTACTGGCATCTAGTGGGAGAGAGCAGGGATGCCGCTGAATATCCCACAATGCACAGGACAGCCTCCCACAGAAAAGAGTTACGTTGTGCAAAATGTTAATAGCACCAAGGCTGAGAAACCCAGCTCTATAATGATACTTACCACGGTGTGCTGTGATTATCAGTGTAGGTGTCTACCTCCCATACTAGACTTGAGCTGCTTGAGGGAACAGACTGATGCAGATTAATGTGTGCACCGGGCATAGGACCTGGCACAGAGGCAGCAAAGGGCATATGTGTTGAATCATTTATTAACCCTCAAAAACCCATCTCTTCCCATTGCACATATAGCAAAGCTTAGTCCTTAATATGCTATTCTAAGAGTTTTATAGTTTGGGCTGTTTCATTTAGGTCTGATCCATTTTTTTTTAGATTTTTGTTTTTATTTATTTATTCATGAGAGACACAGACAGAAAGAGAGGCAGAGACACAGGCAGAGGGAGAAGCAGGCTCCATGCAGGGAGCCCAACGTGGGACTCGATTCCGGGTCTCCAGGATCAGGCCCTGGGCTGAAGGTGGCGTTAAACTGCTGAGCCACCCAGGCTGCCCAGGTCTGATCCATTTTGAATTAATTTTTGTGTACACTGGGACGCCTGGGTGGCCCAGTGATTGACAGTCTGACTTAGGCTTGGGCCATGATCCTGGGGTCCTGAGATTGAGTCCTGCATCGGGCTCTCCATAGGGAGCCTGCTTCTCCCTCTGCCTGTCTCTGCCTCTCTCTGTGTGTCTCTCATGAATAAATAAAAATATTTTAAAATAATAATAATTTTTAGGTATACTAGGAGATAAAGGTCCAACTTCTTTCTTTTGCATGTGGACATCCAGTTGTCCTAGCACTATTTGTTACAAAGACTGTTCTCCCACTGAACTGTCTTGGCATCCTTATAAAAAAAAATATGTGGGTTTATTTTTGGAATGCCAATTCTATTCCATTGATCTAGATGACTATCCTTATGTCAGAAACCTAGTCTTGATTATTCTAGGATTTTTTAAAGGAAAACTATTGATCACTATTTACCAGGATTCACAATAAACAATATATAGTTGGTGATTCTTTTTTAAAACCACTCAAATGAAGTATGAGTAACATTTTTTTAAAAAGCTATACATTTGGGATCCCTGGGTGGCGCAGCGGTTTGGCGCCTGCCTTTGGCCCAGGGCGCGATCCTGAGGACCCGGGATCGAATCCCACATCGGGCTTCCAGTGCATGGAGCCTGCTTCTCCCTCTGCCTGTGTCTCTGCCTCTCTCTCTCTCTGTGACTATCATAAATAAATAAAAATTTTAAAAAAAAAGCTATACATTTAATGGATATAATTAGATGAGTTTGATTCATTTAGAATTTTTTGTGTCCTTCTTAAATTTATAGTCCTGTGGTTCTTAGAAAACTTTTTTTTTTCACTTGTGTTCTTATGGCAGTTTCCAACATTGTTTTATTGTTGTGGATTTGGAGATTATGAAAAATTTTTCCCCCTCTAATGTACTGGAAGGAGTAGTAGATTTAGAAAGTTTGTAACCAGTAGGATATGGACAGATTTGGGCAAGAATCCTCAATAAATGTTAAAAATGTTAAATATATATATATATAGTTGGAAAACATTCCGATTACTACAAAGTTATTGTTTTTCCTAGCTTCTGCTGAACCAGTAACCGAAATACTGAGAAAATTGAGCCTACATGCAATGAATGAGTTGGGGTAAAGAAAAAACATACAGGTCAGGAATTTAGATTACAGCAGTTTGTTCACTCATTTATTCCAGCAGATCCTAAACTGCCAATATCTCTAACAATCTAATTATGATTATGTTTCCATGAATGAAATCTTAGATATTGGGATGTCTGGGTGGCTCAGCGGTTGAGCACCTGCCTTTGACTCAGGGTGTGATCCTGGAGGGTCCTACATTGGGCTTCCTGCATGGAGCCTGCTTCTCCCTCTGCCTGTGTCTCTGCCTGTCTCTCTCTGTGTCTCTCATGAATAAATAAATAAAATCTTAAAAAAAAAAGAAGTCTTAGATATTCCATGAATCATGACCTTTTAGCCAAAACAGCACAGGGATTTCAACTTCTTGGAAAGGAATGGTTTACTAAAAGGAACCTTTATTTATTTTTTTTTAATTTTTTTTTAATTTTTATTTATTTATGATAGTCACACAGTGAGAGAGAGAGAGAGGCAGAGACACAGGCAGAGGGAGAAGCAGGCTCCATGCACTGGGAGCCTGACGTGGGATTCGATCCCGGGTCTCCAGGATCGCGCCCTGGGCCAAAGGCAAGCGCCAAACCGCTGCGCCACCCAGGGATCCCCTAAAAGGAACCTTTAAATGTCCATTTAACTAAGTTTTGCTCACCTAATTAAAACACACCAGGACTTGTCTAGTTTTCTTATCTGAGTGGGGAGGTTGTGATAAAATTTTCCTCCCAGGGGTTTTGCAAATAAAGTTGCATTCATATAACTATAGATACAGATATGGATTCTGATACGGCTGCTTTTAAATTGTCCAATTTAAATTGTTTACATTATATTTAAATTGCCCAATTAACTACAAAATTTGAAAGGCTAAGGTTTCAGGAAAATTTTCAATTTAACTTTAAGTGATTTATTTCTTAGTTTGCTGAAAATGATGGCATTCCAGAAACATGGGCTTATCCATGTTTATGAAATGTTCTTTTTGTTTTGGTAAATGTGAAAGAATGAAAGAAAGCCAGAGAAAGAGACTGGAAGGAAGAAAGGAAGGAGAAGGAGAGAGAGAGAGAGATAAGGAAACTAAGTATGTAATTTAATGTATACACACACACGAAAAAAAAAAAAACCCAAGTAAACAAAAAGCCCAGAATTGTCCTTAGGCATATGGGAAGTAAACACAAATTCTGATTCAGTAACAACTATGAAGATTTCCCCCAACACTTAGAAAAGGTGTTCTTGAATGCAGGGAAATAATATACCATAGTCTCAAATATTCTTTTTTTTTCTTTAAGATTTTATCTATTTATTCATGAAAGACAGAGAGAGAGGCAGAGACACAGGCAGAGGGAGAAGCAGGCTCCCTGCAGGGAGCCGGATGTAGGACTCGATCCTAGGACTCTGGGATCATGCCCTGAGCCAAAGGCAGACACTCAACCCCTGAGCCACCCAGGTGCCTCGCAAATATTCTTTTCTGATAAAGGAAGCAACTACAGGAAACTTATTTGTTCAGTGTAACTAGTGCTATAGATGCAAAAGAACCCTAACAACTCCCCCAATACTACTTCCAAACCAACCTATCTAACTGGTTTTTCATTAGAATGTTATTTCTTCACACTAATAAACCAAGACCCACATATATATACATATATATATATATATATACATGTACATATAAATTATATATATATATAAAGCAATATAACAATTATGGAACTTCACTTTCTGGACAAGAATGCCAAGTTAGTCTCTCTTCAAAAAAAGCAATTACAATTTAAGAATACTTCATATTTGCCTCTTTTGCCAGCACCACGTCTGCCTCATCTGAATCTTTCCATTTCATGAGAACCATGAATTCTCCCCCTGCTGTCTAGCAGATTATTCATTCAGATCAAGACCTCTGGCAAAGCCTCTTAGTTTATCAGCAGCATCTTTTCTTCTCTGATTTGCTATCATCAGATTCACTCTCAGATAAAGATTTTCTTTTTGTACCATCTTTTTCTTTACCAGCTTTCTGAGAATTGAGAAATGCTTCAACTAATTCTGGACAATCTCAATTTTCTTCCAATTTCCAGGTACTGTCAGCATCTGTAAATCCCTCCCACTTGAGGAAATACTCTGCCTTCTCATTCATTGCATGATTGTCCAGTACTGTTTCCACCACAAACTCTTCAGGCTCTGCTTCTTCTACTTTGTTACTCTTTCATTCTGTTTCTTTTCCATTTTTTGCAATGTACTCTTACTAAAGGCCATTTTTTATTGCAGACTTGAAGAGCTATTATTTACCACCTCGAAGCAGATCGTCTTATATCTACAGAATCTCCCTTGATTACTCCGGTTTTGTAGTAAGTTTGAAATCAAAAAGTGTGAGTCCTCCAACTTTATTCTTTTTCAAGACTGTTTGGTTACTTTGGGTTCCTTGCATTTCCATATGAATTTTAGGATCAGCTTGTCCATCTCAAGAAGGGAGAGAGGGAAGGAGAGAGGGAAGGAGGCAGGGAGGGAGGGAGGGAGGGAGGGAGGGAGGGAGGGGCAACTGGGATTTTGATTGGGATTATGTTCAATCTACGGACCAATTTGAGGATTATTGCCATTTGAACACTATTAAGTCTTCTTTTTTCCCCAGTTTTATTGAGATATAGCTGCTATATAACATTCTGTAAGTTTAACATATATGATGTAATGATTTGATAAATACATATATTGTGAAATGATCACACGTATGGCTAACATCCATCACCTCATACAGTTACAAAATCTTTTTCCTTGTGATTAAAACATTTAAGCTCTACTCGCCCAGTGATTCCCAAATATGTAAAATAGAATTGTTAACTATAGTCAGTATGTTGTACATTATATCCTAGAATTTTTTTTTATCTTTTAACTGGTTATGGTCTTCTGACTCATGAACATAGGATGTCTTTCTATTTGTTTAGGTCTTCTTTAATTTCTTTTAATGATGTTTTACAATGTTCAATGATCAGAAATGTACTTCTTCTGTTAAATTTATTCTAATGTATTTTATTTCTTGATGCTATTACAAATGGAATTTTCTTTTTTTTTAAGGTTTTATTTATTTGAAAGGAGAGGGGAGACCGAGAGAGTAAGACAGAGAGAGAGAGCAGGAGTGGGGACTGGAGTGGGCACAAGGAAAGGGAGAAGCAGACTCCCCACAGAGCAGGGAGCCTGATGTGGAGCTTGATCCTAGAACCCTAGGATCAGAGCTCAGGCAGATGCGTAACCATCTGAGCCACCCAGGCACCTTGGAATTGTTTTCTTAAATTTATTTTTGAGCATGTTAAAGACTTAAATCTACCTTTCCAGCTTCTCTCCACTCTGTCTCTTATATGACTTAGCTAAGGCATACTAGATTAGACTAGACTAGACTTTCTCCCTTGAAGGGATAGAATAGAAAACTTCCTACTTCTGTATCTTAATTCTCTCCTCAATGAAGCCTCTCCTGATGCCATAATCAGATACAATATCTTTCTCTGTGTGTTTTCATACCTCTTGACTAGTCCTCCAGCTCCAGGAGAGCATTCATTGCTGTTATTGCCTTCCTACAGAGACTCTTTTGGTCTCTCCTGCCAAATTGATGCTCCTTGAGGGCAGGGAACATGTTTGATTCACCCTAATCCTGACAAGAGCCCACATGGCACCTGGCAAGTAAGTGGTCAATCCACATTGGGGAGTTATTATTTAATGGGTATAGAGTTTCAGTTTTGCAGGATGAAAAGAGTTCTGGACATGAATGGTGGTAGTAGTTACCCAATATTAATGTACTTAATGCCACTGAACTATACGCTAAAAATCGATAAGATGATAAATCTTGTTTGTGTGTTTTACTATAATAAAAAATCCTGAATGAATAATACATAAAGATAAAAAAGTAAAATTGGTTAAAAAATCAAGCTGTGATGATGTATTACCATTTATATATTTATTTTTTTTAAATTTTTATTTATTTATGATAGTCACACAGAGAGAGAGAGGCAGAGACACAGGCAGAGGGAGAAGCAGGCTCCATGCACCGGGAGCCCGACGTGGGACTCAATCCTGGAACTCCAGGATCGCGCCCCAGGCCAAAGGCAGGCACTAAACCCCTGTGCCACCCAGGGATCCCCCCATTTATATATTTATATATAATTTTTAAGCATGCAAAATAATATTATATATCATTTATGGATTCAACCCTAGAGGGAAAGCCTGGAGCTCCATGAACTCCTTTAGTTTCCACACCACCACTGGTAGATATGTAAAGAAGCCTCCCAAATCCAATCTTACCATCATTATTAGTCTTGAAACTGTCAGGACTATTCCAATCCTATCCTTTTCTCCCGTTTACATTAATCACCTCAGAAAGTCCAGAACTTCTAGATGATCCCATATGGCTCAAAACATGCCCTCTTCTGTTCCCATCTCCCACTCATTCCTAGCTCCCAAAACCCTTTCACAGTGCCCTCTAGAAGTCACTCACAGTTATCAGCAAATTCCTTGTCCTCTGCCTCTTCTTTGAATGTTCCCTTCACCTTGTTGCTTTGATCCTCTTCCAGAAACCTGTTTTGCCTACAATCTCTCAAGCTGAGGCTATTTTTGCTCCCACCTCCCTAGTTCCTGAAACATGGCCTCTAAATTCTCTTCTCCCTTCTAATCGCTTCTATTTGCCTCAGCCAGTCATGCCCCTAGGTCCCGCCATTACCAAGAACTGATGTTCCTCAATAATCCTAACTCAAGTATCCCACTTTACCACCACTCCACTATCTTTCCAGCTCATTCTCTCTACTATTTCAATACAATTCTTCAGCCTCCATCAGAACCAAAAATCTTTGGAAATATCCTTTCAGGCGAGCTTGGGTGGCTCAGCGGTTTAGTGCCGCCTTCAGCCCAGGGGCTCATCCTGGAGATCTGGGATCGAATCCCAAGTCAGGCTCCCTGCATGAAGCCTGCTTCTCCCTCTGCCTGTGTCTCTGCCTCTCTCTCTCTCCCTCCCGGTGTCTCTCAAGAATAAATATTTAAAATATATATCCTTTTATTCTCTCTTATTCTTATAGTTCACACTGATCCATCAAGAGATTCTCTCTATCCAGAGGATAAAGCTCTTCATCACCTCCTCTACTATCTCTTGTCCAGATTATTGCTGTAGCCTCCTAACTGGTTTCTACACTTCCACCTTGTACCCTTTTGGTCTATTGTCCTAGCAGTCAGAGTCATCTTTTTTAATTCAGCCATGAATCAAACCATGGGACTATATGAGATTAGCAAAGAAATAAATTTAGAGAGAAAAGCAGAGCATCAAAGACTGAGCCCTGGGGCACTACAACACTTAGAGGTCCCAAAGATAAGAGAAAATCAGCAAAAAACACTAAGATAGAACTGCCAGAGAGGTCGGAGGAAAATCAGGAGTACACAGCATTCTAGATGCCAAATAAAGGCAATGTTTTAAAAAAGAAACAAACAAACAAACAAACATTGTTGACAAGTCAAGTAAGGCAATGACTAAATATTGGTTACTGGCTTTACTCAAGTATCTGTTACTGGTGACAGATGTGGTAGGGGTGAAAGCCTAACTGGGGTAGGTTCAAAAGCAAATGGGAGAGCAGGAAGCATATATAAGCTTAAGGCATCTTAATCAGAGTAGAAAACCCAAATTCTGCCAAAGACTATGAGGGTTATGTCAAGGACTCAGGAGCTACCCTGAATGGCTCCCACTGACTGAAGATAGGATAACAAAAGGATAATAACTACAGTAGATTGAAACATGCCAAATATTTTTAAATCCATGAGTTCATAATGACACTAAAAAAATCTCTTTGCTCCCCTTAGGGAATTCTAGACAACCAATTCCTTTTTTGTAAAAAACTGTAATTAAAAGGAAAGACTCAAATATTCAACCTATGCTTCCTATACAATCTACCATTCTGAGTAACTGAATAGTTGATAAAGAAAGCTTCTTTTTATGCAACTATCCCAGTTAATAAACAAAGACTAAATTACAGAATTAAGATAGTATTATTTTGCAACCCCTAATGAATTAATAGTAGGCAATGATCACCAATGGCTTTAAATGTCACAAAAAAAGATATAATGGGATATTTATATCTAGGTCTACTTTATTGAAAACTCATGCACTTCAACTACAACTTTCTGCTTCCATTCAAATTAAACCAGGTCTAGTTACATCATTTTTGCCTCAACAGTAATCAAAAAGAGGCAGAATTATGGGGTGCTTGGTTGGCTCAGATGGAGGAGCGTGTGACTCTTGACCTCAGGGTCATGTCTGAGCCCCAGGTTGGGTGTAGAGGTTAAATAAAATTTTTGAAAACCTTTTACAAAAAGGAAAAATTCAGTCAGTGAAGAAAGAGTATCTTTAGGTTGAGGCTGAAGTTCCATATCTAAGGAGTAGAAGCAATATTTAATGAAAGAGGCAAAAGACTTAGTGATGAATCAGATATAGTCCTTGATCCATAAGAATTTATAAAGAATCTGGAAAGAGAAAACAACCACTATCAAAGTGCTCCAAGATCACGTGATCACCCACTTTGATAAACTGTTTATAGAAATATATAGCTCACACTTTTCTCTTCCTTTTCAAACCAGAGGTGGTGCTTCTAAGAAAAGAACCTTGGGAGTTGGTCAAATCTGAATTGGAGTCCTGGCTCCCCCATCAATTAATTGTGTGATCTAGAGAAAGTTACTTTAACCCAAGTCTTCATTTTCTTACCTGTAAAAAATGGAAATAATAATCTTCCTCTCAGGACTATTGAGAGAATTAGCTAAATTACATAAGCTCTGAACAGGTCAGCCCCCGCTCCCTCCCCATTCCACCAAGACTCCTTCTCCCTCTCTTCCTATCTCTCTCTATATATGTGCCACCATGGTCTCTCAAGGACCCATGATATAAAGGGTATAGAGGGAGGAGGAAGAGTCCCAACCATTTTGGTGCATACCTCATCTAGTGCTCTGTCTTTGTCCTGACAGAGTGAAACCAGATAGATGGAGGCTCTGAAGACCACCAGTGGAGGGCGCTCACCCTGGTCCCGCAGAGACAGGAGGAAGCTTTGCACAGCCACAAATAATTCTGCCTCTGAGACAAACCTGTCAACCAAGTAGAGTGAGTGAAAAAGACAGAAATGGCTGTCCTGCCTTGCCACATCTTCCTGCTGCCTTCTGTCCTCTGCCCCAGCATGTCCACAACCCAATGACACCTTTGCACACAGCATGCTACATATACTTACAAAACATTGTCATACACACACAGCACATGGTTCTATGCTTTGCACAAGGCCTTGTAAGGGGCCAGAGACTCCACACTAGTAACTAGGAGGTGAAGGGTCTGCTGACTGGACTAGCACTGTTAAAGAGAAGAATGCTACTTCTGGGGTTTAGGAGTCCCTTTTTTTGGCCACCAATCCACTACTCTTTATCGTTAAACATTGATGTGTTCAATGGGCTACTTTCTGGGAAAGGGATACATCTATGCTTGTATGTGCAAGGGAAATGGGGGTGAGAAGGAGACTGACTTTTTTTGGTGAAATAAAAGAGGCATATACCCTATTATACCTTTTGAATTTTCCACCATCACTTCACTACCTATTGAATTAAGTTCTAAAAAAATTAAATATTTTAAAATGGGTAATACTAAATAACCATAATGTCCTGGAACAGAAAAGGGACAGTAGAGGGAAAACTAGTGAAATTGAACAAGAATGCCAAAACCACTCAATGGGGGAAAAGACAAGCTTTTCAACAAATGGTCCTGGCAAAACTGGACATGCAAAAGAAAGACACCGTACCCTCACCTAACATGATATAAAAAATATTCCGGGGATCCCTGGGTGGCGCAGTGGTTTGGTGCCTGCCTTTGGCCCAGGGCGCGATCCTGGAGACCTGGGATCGAATCCCACGTCGGGCTCCCGGTGCATGGAGCCTGCTTCTCCCTCTGCCTGTGTCTCTGCCTCTCTCTCTCTCTCTCTCTCTCTCTCTCTCTCTCTCTCTGTGTGTGACTATCATAAATAAATAAAGAAAAAAATATTAAAAAAAAATATTCCCCGGGACGCCTGGGTGGCTCAGTGGTTGAGTGTCTGCCTTCAGTTCAGGGCATGATACCAGGGTCCTGGGATTGAATCCTGCATCAGGCTCCCCATGGTTAGCCTGCTTCTCCCTCTGCCTGTCTCTGCCTCTCTCTGTGTCTTTCATGAATAAATAAATAAAATATTTAAAGAAAAATATTCCCCAAATGGGTCCAGGCCTAAAACTATATAACTCTTAGAAGAAAACATAAAGCAAAAGCTTTGCAACACCAGATTTGGCAATGATTTTCTTGGATATGACACGAAAGGCATAGACAACAACCACAAAAAAATAGACAAATTGATAGTTTTCAACCTCTGGGTATCAAAAAATGCCATCAACAGAGTGAAAAGGCAGCTCAGAGAATGGGAGAAAATATTTGCAAATCACATATCTAATAAGGGATTAATATTCAGAATAATAGAGGACTCCTAAAACTCTGTAACAACAAAACTTGGTGATTCAAAAATGGGCAAAGGACTTGAATAGATATTTCTCCAAAGAAGACATACAAATGTCCAATAAGCATAGGGAAAGGTATTTAACATCACTAATCACTAGAGAAATGCAAATCAAAATATGAGATAATAACCTCACACCCATTAGGATGGCCACTGTTAAAAAGCAGAAGATAACAAGCATTGGTGAGTATGTAGAGAAATTGGAACCCGGGCAGCCCCGGTGGCGCAACAGTTTGGCAATGCCTGCAGCCTGGGGTGTGATCCTGGAGACCCGGGATCAAGTCCCACATCAGGCTCTCCGCATAGAGGCTGCTTCTCCCTCTGTCTGTGTCTCTGCCCCTCTCTCTGTGCCTATGAATAAATAAATAAAATCTTTAAAAAAAAAGAAAAGAAATTGGAACCCTTGTACAGCATTAGCAGGAATGTAAAACAGTACAGCTGCTGTGAAAAAGAGCATGCCATTTCCTCAAAAAATTAAAAATAGAACTACCAGATTATCCAACAATCTGGGTATATACCCAGAATTGAAAACAGGGTCTCAAAGAGGTATTTGCATACCCATGTTCACAGCAGTATTGTTTACAATAGCCAAAAGGTGGAAGCTGTCCACGTGTCTGTCGATGGACAAATCTATAAGCAAAATGTGGTATATACATACAATGGAGCATTATTTAGCATAAAAAGGAAGGAAATTCTAACGTGTTATAGCATGGATGAATCTTGAGGACACTATGTTAAGTGAAATAAGCCAGTCACAAAAAGATATATATACGGCATGATTCTACTTATATGAAGTGCTTAGAATAGTGAAAATCATTGGAACAGAAAGTAGAATAGTGGTTGCTGTTGGCTGGGAAGGAGAAATGTAGAGTTATCTAACCAGTACAGAATTTTAGTTTTGCAAGATGAAAAGAATTCTGGAGATGAATAGTGGTGATGGTAGCTCAACAATATTAATGTACTTAGTACTCCTGAACAGTACACTAATAATGGTTAAGATATAAATTTTATGTTTGTGTATTTTACAACAATAAAAAAAAGGAAAAAATGCCAGTGTACCAAGGTTGATGTCTTAGTACCATAGTCGTGTTAACATTAGGAGAAAATTAGTGAAGAATTCTCTATTCTTTGCAACTTTCCTATAAATCTATAATTACTCCAAAATAAAATGCTTATTTAAGAAATAAAAATAAAATAAATGATAGGTATAATATAAATATTATACAGCTACTAAAAGTATGAGGTAGATCTATTAATACAAACACTAATATGAAAAGATCTCCAAGATAAATTGCTAGATTAAAAGACAAGTTGAAGACCTTATATAATATCCCATTCTGTATATTGGAAAAAAAGAAGCATATGTTTGTTTGCTGATACACAGACAAGTTCATACAGGGTACATAACAGTAGTTAACTCTAGCAGGTGTATGGAAATGTACATTATGGACAGCCCAGGTGGCTCAGCAGTTTAGCGCCACCTTCAGCCCAGGGCCTGATTGTGGAGACCCAGGATGGAGTCCCATGTCAGGCTCCCTGCATAGAGCCTGCTTCTCCCTCTGCCTGTGTCTCTGCCTCTCTCTCTTTCTCTCTCTCTCTCTCTCTCTCTGTCTCTCATGAATAAATAAATAAAATATTTTTTAAAAAAGAAATGTACTTTATTTTAACTTTATACCCAACTATTTTACTAGAATATTTACATGATTTTTAAGAAAAAACATTCTAAGAATCACATGGTCAGTAATCAAAAGAGTATGTTATTGGCATAAAACAGACACATAGACCAATGGGATAAACATACAGCCCAGAAATAATCCCATGCATATAGAGTCAATTAATTTACAACAAAGGAGCCAAGAATATACAATGGGGAAAGAAAGCATAGTCTCTTCAATAAACGGTATAAGGAAAATTGCACGCCACATGGAAAAAAAAAAGTGGTCCAATCTCTTATACCATACACAAAAATTGACTCAATGTGAATTAAAGACATGAATGTAAGACCTGCAACCATAAAACTTCTAAAAGAAAACACAGGCAGTAGTAAGCTGCTTGACATCAGTCTTTGGGATGATTTTTTTTGGATCCTATACTGAAAGCAAAAATAAATGGGGGACTATTGCATTTTTTTAAGATTTATTTATTCATTTATTTGAGAGAGAGAGCAGAGTGAGTGAGACAGAACATGAGTGGGGGGAAGGGGCAGAGGGAGAGGGAGAAGCAGACTCCCCACTGAGCAGGGAGCCTGACATAGGGCTCGACCCCAAGACCCTGGGATTATGACCCAAGCTGAGCCACCCAGGTGCCCCAAATAGGACAATTTCAAACTAAAAAGCTTCTGCAAAGCAAAGGAACAACAAAATGAAAAGGCAATCTATTCAATGGGAGAAAAATCTCTGCAAATCATAATATCTGATAAAAAAATAATATTCAAACACATAAAGAACTCATACAACTTTATTTAAAAAATTAAAAATAAGTCCAATGTAAAAATGGGCAGAGGATCTAAATAGACATTTTTCCAAAGAAGACATGCAGGTGACAAACAGGTACAAGAAAAGATGCTCAACATCACTAATCAGCAAGGAAACGTAAATCAAAACCGCAATGAGTTATCACTTAATATCTGTTAAATGGCAATTATCAAAGAGACAAAAAACAAGTGTTGGCAAGGAGAAAAGGGAATACATGAGCACTGCTGGTGGGAATGTAAAATTGGTGCAGTCACTATGGAAAAGAGAATGGAGTTACCTCAAAAAATTAAAAATAGTCTATCATATGATCCAGCAATTTTACTTTTGGGTATTTATCTGAACTCAGGAAGATATCTACACCCCCATTTTCACTGCAGCACCATTTACTACGGCCATGGAAAAAAAAACCTAAGTGTCCACTGGTGGATGAGTAGATTAAGAAAATGTCCTACATATACACACACAATGGAATGCTATTCAACCATTAAAAAAAAGGGAATCCTGCCATTTAAAACAACATGGATTGACCTTGGGACATTAGGCTAAGTGAAATAAGTGAAAGGGAGAAAAAAATAACTGTATGATCTTACTTATATTTGGTATCTTAAAAAAAATGAAACAAAAAACTGAACTCATAGATACAAAGAACAGATTGGTGGCTGTTGTGGCTGTTAGCGATGAGAGTTGAAAGTGGGCAAAATGGGTGAAGGGTACAAACTTCCTGTTATAAAATAAAGAGACCTTGGGAATGTAATGGACAGCATGGTGATTACAGTTGATAATACTGCACTGTATATTTGAAAGTTGCTGGGCACCTGGGTGGCTCAGGCGGTTAACCATCTGCCTTTGGCTTGGGTCATCTGGGATCAAGCCTGCACAAAGCTCCCTGCTCAGCAGGGAGTCTGCCTGTCCCTCTCCCTCTCCCCCTCCTCTCCCTCACCTCCCTCTCCCTTGGCCCCTCCCTCCCCTTCCTTTCCCCTCCTCCCTACCCCCTGCTTGTGCTTTCTCTCTCTTTCTCAAATAAATAAAATCTAAAAATAAATAAATAAAGAAGTTGCTAAGATAACAAATCTTAAAACTTCTCAACACCAGGAAAAAAATTTGCAACTACACGTGGTGATGGATGCTAACTGAACTTACTGTGATCATTTTGCAATATATACAAATGTCGAAATCATTATGTTGTACACTTGAAATTAATGTTATATGTCAATTATATCTCAATTAAAAAAAAGAATCACATGGGTCAAGTGATTTTCAATGAGGGTGCCAAGACAATTCAGTGCAGGAAAGAATAGTCTCTAACATATGATGCTGCAAATCTACATAAGCTACATGCAAAAGAATGAAGTACTGATATGTGCTACAAATATTATGCTAACTGAATGAGTCTCAAATATATTATGCTAAGTGGAAGAAGCCAGACACAAAAAGTCATGTACTGTATAATCCATCTATAAGAAATATTCAGAATAGGTAAATCCATAGAGACAGATCATAGATTGTTGTTCCTAGAAGCTAAGCAGAAGGAGGAACAAGGAGTGAATGCTTAATAGGTATGAGATTTTACTCTGGAGTGATGGAAATGTTTTGGAACTAGAGAGAGGTGGTGGTTACATAATGCTGTGAATATACTAAATGCCACTGAACTGTTAGCTTTAATATTAATTTTATGTTATAGGAATTCTAGCTCAAAAAAAACATTTTTAAGCTTTGATTTTAAAATTTTGATAAATTGTACAGTAATTCTTTTTTTTTAAGGGGGGGGAGGAGCAAAGGGAGAGGGAGAAAGAAAATCGTAAGCAGGCTTAATGCCCAGAGCAGGGACCGAGGTGGGGCTCAATTTCAGGACCCTGAGATCATGACCTGAGCCAAAACCAAGAGTCAGAATGTACCACCCAGGAGCCCCTTAAACTGTATAGTAATTCTTTTTTTTAAGATTTTATTTATTTATTGGAGAGAGAGATAGAGTGCATGAGCTAGGAGTATGGGGGAGAAGCAGACTCCCTGCTGAGCAGGGGGCTCAACATGGGGCCTGATCCCAGGACCCCAGAATCAGGACCTGAGTCGAAGGCAGACAACTGACTAAGACACCCCTGTGTAGTAATTCTTTTTAAATATTTTAATTGAGAGACAGAGAAAGCATGTGCACAAGCACCAGGGAGAGGAGGGACACAAGGAATAGGAGAAGCAGGTTCCCCACTGAGCAGGGAGCCCACGGGGCTTGATCCCAGGACTCTGGGATCATGACCAGAGCTGAAGGCAAACTCTTAACCAACTGAGCCACCCAGCTGCCCCTATATAGTAATTCTTAAAACCAAAGTAAACCACTAATTTTTTTTCTATGCACAAACAATACCTTTTAAGCATACTAAAAAAACTTCATTAGCATTCTAGGCCTCTGCTTTCAACACCGTGATTACCTAGCTTCCTTAACCCTCCTCCAACATGTGAGCCCCTCAGGAATACAACCCATTTCTCACTTATCCGTGTCCCCAGTGCTCAGCACCAGGTTTGGAGCAGATGTCTCCGTGAATATTTATTGAACTAAACTGGGCTACAGATGAGAGTCCTAAGATGCATTGCCAGCCACTGGCATGGAATACTGACCTATCCTCGTGGATGTAGGCCAAGTAGAAGAGGAGCAAGATGCAGTACTGTCTCTGGCGAGCAGTTTTCTCCATATACTGGCGATCTGATAAGAAGGCAAGGCTTTCAGGGTTCCTGCTGCTTATGTGGGGTAGCCCATGTTGTAGGAATGTGGATACCACAGAGAGTTCTGGGGAAGAAAGAAGCAAGAGAAAGCCACACAGACAACACAGGAAAGCAGATAATCAGCATATGAGTATCTACTATATGAAGAGTACTGCAAAGGGTAGCAGGGTACATGCAAGATAAAGGGAAATCAGAGTTTCTGCTTCCTTTATGCACCCTTCAGTCTATCAGGAGGAATGAAAGGTAACATGTGAAAGAACATGGATACAATCCTTCATTCATTCACTGACAAATGTTCCCTGAGTGGCTCCTCTAGGCCAGGCTGTGACACATAGGCCCTATCTCCAGGAGCTGGTGGCTGAGAAAAGACATAATGAGATGGTTAAAGGACATGTGTGAGCAAGTACCCTGTTCAAGCGTGGAGGAGGGTGTGACTTGTATTACCTGGGGCTCAGAGGACAAGCTCCAAAAGGAGGGGACTGTGAACGGTAAGCAGAAAACAGGCAAAAAAAGTGAGAGCAGAGAATCCTGGGCACAGGAAGCAAGGTGCTGAAAGGCCCAGAGGCATAAGAGGACACGTTTAGGGCGCAGAAAGGAGTTCAGGCTGACGGAACCAGTGATGAATAGATATGGAGTCTCAGGAGTTGCAGAACTATGTGACATTATTTGTTGTTTGAATGCTGAGTGAAGAATTTAGATTTTATCCTAAGAATACATTTCCTATGAAACCTCTGTTTCAGAAAAGAAAGGAAGACTTCAGAGTTTAAACTTTCAATAAAGTCAACTTTATAGAAAATTCACTATATTACCCTTATTTTCCACATTTTACCACAGATCAGAGGAACCTTCATCACAGTGCCCCACAGACTGATGTTTGGGGACCACAGCTGAAGGCCAGGGTGTTAGGATGATAAGACTTGGTTTCGGGATAGATCTTTCCACCAGTGGATGGAGATCGGTTGGAGGATGAAAGACCAAAAGCAGGAAGCCAAGTGAGAGGTCAAGTGAAATCTGTCCTACCAGTACAGTGGACTTACGGCCAACTGAGGATGGAGAATGTCGCACAGCAATCTAATAGCAGAGCCAGGTCAGATCTCCTAAATTCTAAGTTTAGTGATTTCTTCACCAAAGCACACTATGATCATTATCATCAAAATGAAACTAATATTCTTGAGTTTCACATATCCACCCACCGGTTCTCCTGATATATAAAAGAAAGAAGCAGGCTGCAAATATAAGTAAGGTCTGCTGTTCTTCCTGGCACTCAGATTTGACAAGGCAGATATGTGGCAAATATGTGTCCTGTTCCCAAAAGAGAGGGCGATGTCAGCAGCAGTGAGACTAGCAAGGTGAGCACAAGAGGTGCTATGCAGTGGCTGCCAACGATATCTTAAGCAGCAACCATGGCAGAAGTAGTTGTGCTCGTCTCTCTGCAGGCCAGACCACACCTGAACAGGCAGAGAGCAGGACATCACGCAGAGAGGAGTGGATGCTATAGTGTGGGAACTAGGAGCCAAGCCATGTTGGAAGGAATGAAAATATTCACGTAGGCTTCTGTCTCTCTCTGCACAGTGTCAGGAAAAAAAGAAAGAGGAAGAGAGGTTTAGGAAGTAGGGAGACATGACACATCTTCATAAATGTAAAAAAGAGGAAACATGGCCAGCACTACAAAGAAGGTATCATCTTTGCTGAATGAATGAATGAATGAATGAATAGAACAATGATTAAATTATTTTATGTTATACCAAAAGAGGTCTAGGATAGACGAACTCTTTAGGGCAGAGAACACGACATAATTATCACTGTGTCCACAGCAGCCCTGAGGCCTTCCTGGCGTAGCAGAAGTTCAGTGAATATTCAATAGAGGGAAAAACTTCAGCTCTCAGCCCTACATCTGCTGTTCCCCCTCTAGACTCTGAAGATACCTCTTTTAACTTACTCAGACCTCTGCTAACATGTTACGTACTCACAGAGGCCTTCCCTAACCACCTATCTAACCTGCATCTTCTCCCTCCATCATCCTCTATCCCTTTGGCCTATTTTTTTCATAGCACTTACTCATTTCTGACATTGTATCTGTGTGTTTACTGTCTACCTGTCATCCCATAAGGACAGAACTTTGAAATTCTATAACCAGCACCTGGCACACAGAAGATGCTCAAGAAATACTTTTGGAATGAAGAAACAAAGAAGTGGAACAGGCCATTCAAAGTATTTTGAGAAGTCTCTGGAGGTAACAAGCAGAGAGCGAAAAGTCTGGTATAAGGGAAGTTACAGAGGAGACGGCCAGGATGAGGAACTAGGCTTGATAAGCTTTGGGGTCTTTCTCAACCTTGTGAGTCTAAGGATCCAGCAACCTCAGGTTCTTATTGTTTTCTGACTCTATTATCTCATCTCCCTAGGTGTTAACCTACAGTTCCACCATTCCATGACTTCATGGTTCCTCTGGGCAGCTTCTAGCAAAGAGGTCATAATTATTGTGATATTGACTCACTACCCAGCTAATCAACAAAGGCATCCAGACTGTAAAAGATAACCACTGACCTGATGAATGGTCAGGCTGCAGCGTCTTACCTTCTTTGGAAGGTGGTTCTGTCTTCTCTGGAGCTGAGAGGAGGTTGAGGATCATGTAATAGAGGAAGCTGGAACATACCTGATTTAGGGCTGAATGCCTTAGAGGGTGAAGGGGAAGAGAGAACAGGAGAGAGGATGTTGCAACTTTGGCTGGGACAGCATTATCCCTGCCATATACCGGGGCACCACTGCCTTGTGCCAAAGCCCAGTGAAATTCTAGCCATCCGTGGCCCTAGAAGAAGAGTTCTGGAGGTAGCTGTGAATAATAAATATGGAACCTGCTGCCACAGCTGTAACTTAGACCCACAAGCATTCACTAAAATTTAACTGAAAAAATAAATCAAGGAGGGCTACTGAACTCCAACTTAACAAACCATACTAACAAAAAATGAGTGCTGCTAAGCCAGGAAAGGGCTTGGGAATACTAGTTTAAAACGAAGCTATTGAATCAAGACAAGTAGTCAAGAAGAACTACCTGTCCAATCCAAAATTGTGACTTTGAATCCAGACAGATCCCTGTGTTTGTATTCCCTCCTGAAGGTTGGTGTTTTATTCAGAGATATGCAAGGAGACTTAGATAGTGCATTATGGTCACCTTGCAGGCTGTAGGCAGTAACAAATGGACTCTGTCAAGTAAACGCAGAGACAGGTAGAAAACCATAAATGGGAAGGAAGAAAAGGTTACTCTAGAAATGTAACAAGACAGGGATCCCTGGGTAGTGCAGCGGTTTGGCGCCTGCCTTTGGCCCAGGGCGCGGTCCTGGAGACCCGGGATCGAGTCCCACGTCAGGCTCCCGGTGCATGGAGCCTGCTTCTCCCTCTGCCTGTGTCTCTGCCTCTCTCTCTCTCTGTGTGACTATCATAAATAAATAAAAATTTAAAAAAATAAAAAATAGAAATGTAACAAGACAGAGACTGAAGTCTCTGGTTTTTTTGTGTTTTGTTTTCACTTTTTTAAGATTTTATTTATTCATTCATGAGAGACACAAAGATAGAGCACAAGCAGAGGGAGAAGCAGGCTCTCTGAGGGGAGCATGATGCAGGACTCAATCCTGGGACAATGCCCTGAGCCAAAGACAGATAGTCAGCCACTGAGCCACCCAGGCATTCCAGAAGTCTCTACCTTGAACAGGAGAGCTTCTCCTCTGGAAATGCTCAGCTAGCAGTATCTAGAACATGACTCTCACACTCTCTCTCTCTCTCTCTCTCTCTGGTCTCTTCTTTCATTACGCTCTGAGGGCTTCCATTTCCCCATTTGTACAACAACTGGGGTTAGACAAATGATCTCTAAGAGGCTTTCCAGCTTTGATGTAACAGATGCCCATCCAAGTATCACATGGAATGAGTGTCTCAACAGAACCAGATTAAATAAAAGTTGTAGAAGCCCGTCCAGCTCATACCACCAGCTGCTGAGCAATTCTGACACGGTGTCAATCCCCCCATGAATAAACCACACCAGTCAGAAATTTCTACTTGTCCAATCAAGGACACTGGCTGGTTGGCACTAATTCTGCCTGAGACCATACATACCTCAGACTGCTGCAGAACCTGGCCTTCAGTTCCAGGGTTAGTCGTATGAACGATGAGGAAGCTTGGGAGAAGTGGGAAGAAAGCAGAGAGTAGCTGTTTGCTTGTTTGTTGTTTGTTTTGTTTTGTTTTTGTTTTTTTAGATTTTATTTATCAATGAGAGACACACAGAGATAGGCAGAGACACAGGCAGAGGGAGAAGCAGGATCCATGCAGGAAGCCCGACGCGGGACTCGATTCCCAGTCTCCAGGATCACACCCTGGGTCGAAGGCAGTGCTAAACTGCTGGGCCACCAGGGCTGCCCAGCTGTTGTTGTTTTTTTGATAGATTTATTTTTTTTAACTTTTATTTATTTATGATAGTCACAGAGAGAGAGAGAGGCAGAGACAGGCAGAGGGAGAAGCAGGCTCCATGTACCGGGAGCCCGACGTGGGATTCGATCCTGGGTCTCCAGGATCGCGCCCTGGGCCAAAGGCAGGCGCCAAACCGCTGCGCCACCCAGGGATCCCCGATAGATTTATTTTTTAAGATTTTATATCTTTATTCATGAGAGATACACAGAGAGAGGCAGAGAAATAGGCAGAAGGAAAAGCAGGCTCCATGCAGGGAGCCTGATGCAGGACTCAATCCCAGGGCCCCGGGATCATGACCTGAGTCAAAGACAGACATTCAATCACTGAGAGCAGTTTAAACCAGACTTAGGACACGCTCATCCTGGCTCATACTGATCACATCCTCTACTACCTTCCCAAATCAAATTCTCTTCTAGCGAGCTTCCTCTCAATAAAAATCACCATGACCCACCTAGATGGCAGTTACAACCCAAGGCATTACCCTGAGCTGTTCCCTCTCCCTCCTGCCCCACAGTCAACTGGTGCACATCCCCTAACACTGCCTTAGTTCCTATCACCAGACTGAGTTAATGCAAGAGATTGAACTGTTTTCTCCAATCTTGCCTCCCTCTAACTCATGGTCCACACTGATCCACAAATGATCTTTCTAAAACAGAAATCTGACTCTACTAATCTTCTCTAAGACTCAAAGCTCTGGAGCACATGGGTGGCTCAGTGGTGGAGCATCTGCCTTCAGCTCAGGTCATGATCTCAGGGTCCTGGGATTGGGTCCTGCATCAGGCTCCCTGCAGGGAGCCTGCTTCTCCCTCTGCTTATGTATCTGCCTCTCCCTCTATGTCTCTCCTTCTACGAAAATAATCATAGTACATACTCCTAGGGGTTTTATAAATGAGTTCATAAGTAAAGCACCTGGAGTGCTTAAAGCAGTATCCACCTGGAGTGCCTGGGTGGCTCAGTCGGTTGAGCATCTGACTTTTTTTTTTTAATTTGTATTTATTTATTCATGAGAGAGAGAGAGAGGGAGGCAGAGACACAGGCAGAGGGAGAAGTAGGCTCTATGCAGGGAGCCCAATATGGGACTCGATCCTAGGACTCCAGGATCACGCCCTGGGCCAAAGACAGGTGCTAAACCGCTGAGCCACTCAGAGATCCCCAAAGCATCTGACTCTTGATTTTAGCTCAGGTCATTATCTCAGAGTCCTGGGATCAAGCCCTGCGTAGGGCACCCTGCTCAGTGGGAAGTCTGCTTGTCTCCCTCTCCCTCTCCCTCTATCCCTCCCCTTGTTCCCATGTGCTCTCTCTCTAAAATAAATCTCTTTTTTAAGAAAACAATATCTTGGGGTGCCTGGGTGGCTCAGCAGTTGAGTGCCTGCCTTAGGGCCAAGGTGTGATCCTGGAGTCCCAGGACTGAGTCCTACATTGGGCTCCCTGCATGGGGCCTGCTTCTCCCTCTGCCAGTGTCTCTGCCTCCTTCTCTCTCTGTGTCTCTCATGAATAAATAAATAAAATCTTTCTAAAAGAGTCTGTTTCTGGGCAGCCCCGGTGGCTCAGCGGTTTAGCGCCGCCTTAGGCCTGGGTGTGATCCTGGAGTCTCAGGATCGAGTCCCACATCGGACTCCCTGCATGGAGCCTGTTTCTCCCTCTGCCTGTGTCTCTGCCTTTCTCTCTGTCATGAATAAATAAAATCTTAAAAAAAAATAAAAAATAAGGATCCCTGGGTGGCGCAGCGGTTTGGCGCCTGCCTTTGGCCCAGGGCGCAATCCTGGAGACCCGGGATCGAATCCCACGTCGGGCTCCCGGTGCATGGAGCCTGCTTCTCCCTCTGCCTGTGTCTCTGCCTCTCTCTCTCTCTCTGTGTGACTATCATAAAAAAAAAAAAATTAAAAAAAATAAATAAAAAATAAAAAAGTCTGTTTCTTAAAAAAAAAGAAAGAAGACAGTACCTGACAATAGTAAGAGTGTAATAAATGTTAGTTATTAGTTATTAATTATTATTACCTTTCTCTCTCCTCCCTTACTGTTTTTGGCTCTTTTCCCCTTCCCATTCTCACCATCACTACTACTTTCTAAGGAAAATAAAGCAGACTCTGACTCTGACTCCTGGGCTTATTCTGCAGATTGAAGTATTTACAAGGTGACTACGGGAAAAGTGAGAAAGGAAGGTTTATGCTTCGGAGGAAAAAATTACTAGTAAGAGAAGAAAATAAATAGATGCAAGAAGGCCTGGAGATGGCTAAGGCAGTTGAGAGCCACAGGGGTTCAATTTTAAGAAGGCAGTTCAGCATACAGATAGACACCAGCTTTCACATGGAGTGCCACCCCTTACCAAGGCATCCGGAAGTATGTGGGGACAATTCTCAGGTGTCACGATGACTGGGGGTACTTCTGAAATTCAGCAGTCAGAAGTCAGAGATGCTAAACATCTTGTGAGGTCTGAGTATGAAGTATGGAGAGCAATATGGAAAGATGTGTGCTGTGGGCTCTGAGGTGGAACTCCTTGACATTCTCAGAGAAGTATCAGTAAATTTGAGAAGTTACTTTAAGTACCTTTGATTGTTGGATGGTATTCCCTTCCACCCAACACTGAGCAGAATATGGATATTGACTCTGAGTGATTACATAAACCTCCTGCCCACAGGAAGTGGGCTCTCTTTGAATACTCTGAGCACCTGCCTCCCTCCTGACTTTCACACTTGCCTGCTGCCTACCGAGCTTTTTGGAGAACTTCTCCTTCATGTGAGGGACGATGATAAAGAGGCTGTGTAGAATGGAGAGGAAAACTTCCATCAGGTTTGGATGGGTGGCCTGTTCTGAGTGTCTCTGCAAAGAACCAGAAGGAAGAACACAGCACACCAGGACTGAGTCTCTGAAGAAGAAAGCATCAGCAAAACTGGCACGAAATCTAGCAACAGTAGACTAACCCCTTTCACTTGAAGGGCACAAGAAAAGCTAGGGAACCTGAAGTCACAAGCCTGCATCCAAGGCTTATATCCACCATTTAGTAAGTTGTATAAGACGCATTACCTCTGGGCTTCTGCACCAAAAAGAATAAAACAGGAATAACAACAAGACCTATATCCCAGAAACAAATTATATCTGATTGTAAAAAGTACCTTCTAAACTATAATGCAGAGTAACACTCAAGTTTCTTTTTTTTTTTTTTAAAGTAGGCTCCACACTGAACGAAAGCCTTGAACTCATGACCCTAAGATCAAAAGTCATGCTCCACCGACTGAGCCAGCCAGGCACCCCTCCCTGACACTCAAGTTTCTAAGACCATTGCCATTAGTAATAGTCATATGGTTTACAAACTATCTTCACTTTTTTTTCATGTGATCTCTAAACACTAGTCATTAGGCAGCTTGATGTAGCAGACAGAGCTCTGGATTGATTAAGAGTAAACAAACCTGGGTTCCAGTCAAGCTCTGCACAAAGTCACTGTTCCCATGGGTCAGTTACCCTTCCCTCTCAGTGTCTCAGTTCCCTACATGTAAAAGCTAGAGTCTCAAGGATGTGGTTCTTAAAGATACCTTTTCTTTGGTTTTTAAACAACAAAAAGGTTTTTATTTAGAAAGGTAATAAAGGGACGCCTGGGTGGCTAAGTGGTTTGGCACATGCCTTCAGCCTAGGGCATGGTCCTGGGGTCCCAGGATCAAGTCTCACATCGGACTCCCTGCATGGGGCCTGCTTCTCCCTCTGCCTGTGTCATTGCCCTCTCTCTCTCTCTCTTTCTCTCTCTGTGTTTCTCATGAATAAGTAGATGAAATCTGAAAAAGGAAGGAAGGAAGGAAGGAAGGAAGGAAGGAAGGAAGGAAGGAAGGAAGGAGGGAGGGAGGGAGGGAGGGAGGGAGGGAGGGAGGGAGGGAGGGAGGGAGGGAAGGAAGGAAGGAAGGAAGGAAGGAAGGAAGGAAGGAAGGAAAGAAAGAAGGAAGGGAGGGAGGAAGGAAGGGAGGAATATATGCTAATTAAAGAAAATGTATAAAATACAGAAAAGTAGAAAGAATAATATAATAATTCTATCATCTAGTTCTAGGTCTGACTAACACTTCATAGAAAGAAGGCAGAACAGATGAGGAAACCATCGTGAAACACTTAAGTGTTACTGCTTAGTGAGTGCCAATCAGAGCATGCATCTAGCCTATAGCTCCTGATTGTTACCCACCTGAAGACTCTAGTAGGCTGGCTTAAAGGCTTCTTCCAAGAGGTCTCTGCCCCCAGAACCAGAGTTCCGCTACTGAAACTCCCTGCTGCTACCTATTTCCAGTAGGTGTTTGGAGGTGCCCTGACTAAAAGGCATTGCAGAATCACAGGATGTCCAAACCTCAAAGAGGACAAGACTTATTACCTAAAGTCAACCAAGCAGTCAGCTGCTCTGGACCCAGCTTTTCCTACCACCTCCAACTCAAGTCAGCTCCAAACAAAGTGCTTTTGGATCAGGTCTCTCTTTAGAGTGGCCAATCTCATTTTACAGAATACATGTGTTCCTTAGTAAATCTTGAATCACAGACATTCACCACTGTTCTTTACTAATCATAAGGACACACTGGTTCAAATTTCAGTATTGTTGTGCACTTGCTTTACAACTATTGGAACATGACAACCTCATCTTTAAATTGGGATAATTATAGTACCCATCTCATATAATCACTAGGATGATCAAATTAGGTAATGAATACGAAGCACTTATCACCCCCATAAACAGTGTTTATTATTTTACTATTACTGCTTTCTATTTTTTATTTAGAGGCATGTATTAATGTAAAAGAAGAACACACTTTGGAGTTTTTTGGGTTTTGAAGGGTTTTTTTAAGATTAAAAATTTTTTTTTAATTTAAAAAAATTTTAAGTAATTTCTACACCCAACATGGGGCTCAAACCCACATCCCAAGGCCAAGAGTCACACACTCCACTGACTAAGCCCGCCAGGTGCTGCTACACTTTGTTTCCAAAACCAAAGGAAAAATGCCTAAGCAACAGTATTGTTGTTCTGAGACCCTCAGAAGATCTAGATGAGTACTTGCTGTCTGTCTCAGCCTGGCTCAGTATCATACTCTTCTCCTCCTCAAAATTCATGCTATCTGTGGCTCAAGGGAACTCACCATCACCATGGGGATACAAAGGGAGTCACAGGCACTAAGAAGAAATTCTGAGAAGGCCTCCAAAGTGTCTTCCTTCTCAGCACTGGGAGCTGTGAATGGATTCTCCTGGGCTGAAGGCTCGCTCTGGAATTCCACAGCCAACCTAAGAAATCAATATGTGAGTATATCCACTACTACCTATACAACATAAAGGTTAGAAGCATCCTCCCAGAGGGACACCTGAGCTCAGGGTTCAGGGAAAATATCCCCATCAGCAGATCTGGAGACAACTCGAGAGGCCTCAATCATGGAGGACTTGGTCCTTAGCTACTGCTCCAGCTTCGTGCTCCCCACCTCCTCTCCCATAATACATGACTCTTCTACCCTACTACATGTACTTCCCTGAACATACCACGCTACTTGCTATTTCACATCTCTTTACCTTTACAGATGCTGCTCCCCCTCCCAGGAATGTCCTCCCCAGATCTGTGACAACCTAATGAATTCCCCATATATATCCACAAAACTACCTCTTTCCCAAGAGACTGTGAGCTCCTTGTGGGCAGGAGTCAACCTGACCTTATCTTTCTATTCCCACTGTCTAGCCACAGGCTAGACACATTATTTGGAAAGAGGAACAAAGCTGAATGAGACACATCCTCAATGTAAAGTAACAAAAACTTCACCAGGAGGGAATCTTCAGAAACCTCCTACTCTAGCTCCTCCTCCTCAAACCTCCTCTCCATACCCTTCCACACACACATCCCCAACCTCTGTCCCAGCCAAAGCATTCTCACTATGCAACAAAGCACCAAAAATCAAGCAAACTTCATCCTTAGTCTGATTCTCTTCCACCTTCACCCTCCATAATACTGCCTCAGAAAACAGAGGGCCCCTCACCTGCAGGCATTTCTAAACCCCTCCAGGGTGCTGAGGAGGAATTTTCCCCTTCGAAGAATGGCCTTCCCAGAATCTCTACTGGAGGCATGGCCCTGAAGTAAGAAGGAGACAGGGCACCTATTAGCCAAGTACCTACTCTGTGTCCCAATTTGTGCTTGGAGGACCACAGGCTTCTTCCTCTCACTGGAGCCTGGCATTCCCACACACATAACACTTTCCAGGGGATTCTGGTTATATATATCCTCGCAGATTTAGTCATCTAACAGCTCTGGGGGAACATTAATCATCTGTCTCCCGGTGAACCACAGGACTGCTCTTGTTCTATTATATGCAGAAAGCTGTCACAGGCTGGTGGACATTAGCCTAACTGGCTCTAATGCCCATGTTAGTTGCTTCCAAAACACACGAAAATCCCACCCTATCAGGTGTGATAAAATTCGTTTCCAAAGTTAATTCTGAAAGACATAACAAACATCCATATTACCCATATCTTTCTGATATTTTAAGTCCATGGACCATTAAAAGCCAACACATTGCACATTGGTCAGATTCTTTCTAAGCATCTAGTGACTCCAGCCTTAAATAATTTTGTGAGCATGTTTACCACTAACTGCTTGGATGATATAAAAGACAAAATGGTATAATATATTAGGTTTGGGTACAACCTACTGGTTTGTACTATTTAGGATTTACTATCCAAATCAGATACTTGCTAGTTTTGGACCTTAGAGAAAAATTAGTTAACCCTGTGGCTTCAGTTTCCAAATCTGCAAAGACAAAGATAGCAATTATTAAGCTTCAAAGCTCTGCCATTAAGGGGGGAAAATAGCATCTCATCATAGATATATGTGTATGAGAAAGAGCTATAAAGAAGCATACAAAGGTAAAGCAATTATCTTCTTAAAACACACCATACATGATCTCCAGAAGAGACAGGCTGCATACAGTGTACTGACCAGGGGCCTCCTGCTCAGCGGGGTCTGGGAAAAATCTGCACAGCGACTCAGCATGGCTTCAAGCAAGGCTCGCAGTTCCCTGTACTGCACAGGTGGAGTACTCTGATGGTCCTTCCTGCAGCCAGAGAGACAACAGCAAGCTTAGGGTAAGATAAGGGTTCCAAGATACCCTCAGGTTCTTAAGCAATGAGGGACAATGTGATGGATCAAAATACAGGTTCAGGATCTGATCTGATAAAAATCCTTGCTCCAACACTTGTCTAGCTGCATGACTTTGTGCACATTCCTCATCCTCCCTAATCCTCAGTTTCTTCACCTACTAAATGAGAGGTAATAGTACTTTCTTCATTAAATTCTTTTAAGGATTAAATTTGATAATGTATGCCAACCACTTAGCATGATGCTTAATAGATAGAAAGCCCTTTTAAATGACAGTGTTGACTATTATTGCTGTTATTAAGGAGACAGAGGGCTTTCTCAAAACGAAGTACTATCTAGAACTGAAAGTGCCTCAAGAGATATATATGGCCACTGTCCTCAAATTAGTAATACGCTCTCATGGGGAAGAGAGACCAAATTTGTTCTCTGTTACCGTGGTAAGGAAAACCACAATTTACTTTCTAAGGGTCAAACTCTATAAAGGTTAAAAAAAAATCTAGGCAGGGTGAGCTCTCCATTCTTAGAAATTATAAGCAAAGACTAGAAACTAGCTTTGGAGATTCAATCATTGTGAGTGTGGGGTAAATATGGAAAGTAACACATAGTGTCCATTTGAACTTTTATATTCCATTGATTCAGGGAGACAAGAGTCATAGACTAGTCTAATTGTGAGCTCCAAGAGGCCAGAGACCAACTCTGTCTTTTCATTTTACCTAAACAGAGCTAGATGCATTATAAACTAATGATAAATTTTAAAAGATGTTAAATGAATGAATGACTACTTGATAGGGTATAAAGTAGCTATATTTGTTTCCTAGGGGTACTGTAACAAATCATCAAAACTGCATGGCTTAAAAGAACAGAAAAATTTCCTCACATATTTCTGGGGGCTAGAAATCTAAAATCAAGGTTGGCTCCCTCTAATGACTCTAGGTAAGAATCTTGCCTTGCCCCTTAGCTACTGGTGGCTGCTAGCAATCCCTGTCATTCCTTGCCTCATAGCTGCATCATTCCACTTTCTGCCTCTTCTTCACATGGCGACCTTCCCTGTGTGTGTGTGTGTGTGTGTGTGTGTGTCTGTGTTACTATATGTCCAAATCCCCCTCTCCTTATAAGGGCACCAGTCTTTGGATTTAGGAGCCCAGATTATATGACTTCATTTTAATTCAATTATATCTACAAAGGCCCTATTTCCAAGTAAGGTCACATTCACAGGTTATGGGTGGGCCTGAATTTTAGAGGGACGCTATTCAACCCAGTGCAGTAACAAAGGAGAAATCTATGTCAACCCTCATCACCACGCCTTTTTTGAACACTAAGAGTAATTTGTTGGGCCTTCTAACAGGCCTTCAGTTTACTGTTGATAGTTAAGGCTTTTTTTTTTTTAATTTTTTATTTATTTATTTATTTTAGTTAAGGCTTTTTTAAAAAATAATTTATTTACTTGTTCGTGAGAGACACAGAGAGAGAGGCAGAGACACAGGCAGAGGGAGAAGCAGACTCCCTGTGGGGAGCCCAATGTGGGACTCGATCCCAGGACCCTGGGATCAGAACCTGAGCTGAACACAGATGCTCAACCACTGAGCCAGCAGGCATCCTGATAGTTAAGGCTTGATTTGCCTTTCCTTCTTCATTTCTTTTTTTTTAATTTTTTATTTATGATAGTCACACACACAGAGAGAGAGAGAGAGAGAGAGGCAGAGACACAGGCAGAGGGAGAAGCAGGCTCCATGCACCGGGAGCCCGACGTGGGATTCGATCCCGGGTCTCCAGGACCGCGCCCTGGGCCAAAGGCAGGCGCCAAACCGCTGCGCCACCCAGGGATCCCCTCCTTCTTCATTTCTAGAAGCTCTAAGTTTCTTTTTTTTTTATTTTTTATTTTATTTTTTTATTTTTTTTATGATAGTCACAGAGAGAGAGAGAGGCAGAGACACAGGCAGAGGGAGAAGCAGGCTCCATGCACCGGAAGCCCGACGTGGAATTCGATCCCGGGTCTCCAGGATCGCGCCCTGGGCCAAAGGCAGGCGCCAAACCGCTGCGCCACCCAGGGATCCCTAGCTCTAAGTTTCTATCCATACTGATTGCCAAGCCCTGATTCCACTATCTTTAAATTCTTTTCAGCAGTTCTCATTCCTCATTCCCTCTTCCAGTGGTGCTTCCCAGAGACTCAGTGAACCACTTCACCTCAGAAGGACCATCTCAATACACATTCTGGAAAATTAACATGAAAAGTAAAATCATCTAGGGATTAAGAACTAGCCCCCTATTCAGCACTCTCCACAATTCTGACCCAACCAGCTTTCCAAGCTTCTTCATGTATTACTCACCTTCACACAACCTTCTGGCCAGACTGGTTACTACACCCTAAGTAATCCTCTAAACTTTCCCATGCATATGGTCCTTCCACAAACCTAAATCTCTCTCATCCCTCTTAGCACAACTCAAACACCACTCACCTCCTGCCTGAAAGGTGCTACCAGTCCCCCCATAACACTGACCTCCTGGGAGACTTCCAGTTCTACATGGGCACCTCTAATTGACACTGCTCTTACTCTGTGCCTTTATTACGGTTAGTTTACTCACCTCACCCTCACTTGGATTCATGCCCCAGATTTAGAGACTCAAATCCAGGAAAGGACAGAGGTGGAAAAGAAATAGACTGAAGTCATTGTAATGTAAATGTTATTTTTTGTTTCCATTTTTAGAACCAACCTAGTGTCAAATCAAAAAGATTTAAATATGGTTACAGAAGAGACTATAAATATTAACAACGTTTACCATGTAAAATTGAAAAGTACAGCTGACTGACCCTGAAAAGCAGAAGGTAGGGAGGAAAAAGGAAAAGTTGGATGCTCATAAACTCAGCTAACCATGCAGAGAGTCAAAAGATACTGCTTCGAGTTGAGGGAACAAGAAAAACAAGTTTTAAGTATACGATCTAAAGATTTCAAGACAAAATATTAACTAGCAAAAATGCCAAGGAAATGTAGAGAAGACAAAATAATATGATCTCAGTCTTGGCCTTTCTTACTGGTGACTCAATTAATAATGTCCTAAATTGACAAATAAAGAAACAGCATTATATAAACATATTATCTAGATGTAGGGGGATAATCACCCAAACTAAAATCAAAATGAGTAAAGACCTTAGGATCTCTTAGTCTTACCATTCATTTTGATATCCTTCATTCAAATGCTTTCAGGAGTGAGGTATATAGTAGTGAACAAACTGACAGGGTCCCTGACCTCTTGGAGATTATATTAAAGTGGAAAGAGACAGAAAACAAATGAATTAGCAAGAACTATCAAGTGTCTGGTAGGTGTTATAACAACCTAATGGGTAGGTTAGGGAATCATGCTCTGAATGCAACCTGAATGATGGGAAAGAAGTCGGTCATGCAAAGATTTTAGGGAAGAGCGTTTTAGGCAGAAAGAACAATTTGTAGGAAGAAAATAAGGGGGAGGGCAGCCTCGGTGGCGCAGCGGTTTAGCACCACCTGCAGCCCAGGGTGTGATCCTGGAGACCCGGGGTCGAGTCCCATGTCAGGCTCCCTGCATGGAACCTGCTTCTCCCCCTGCCTGTGTCTCTGCCTCTCTCTCTCTTTGTCTCTATGAATAAATAAATAAAATTTTTTAAAAAAGGAAGAAAATAGGGGGAAAGTCTGGACTAAAACAAAAGACTGAGATTTTTTTTCAATTATATCCATGAAATGAATAGAGTAAAATGCTATTTAAAAATATGCAGATGGGGGGATCCCTGGGTGGCTCAGTGGTTTGGCGCCTGCCTTTGGCCCAGGGCACGATCCTGGGGTCCCGGGATCAAGTCCCACGTCAGACTCCTGGCATGGTGCCCACTTCTCCCTCCTCCTGTGTCTCTGCCTCTCTCTCAATCTCTGTGTCTATCATGAATAAATAAATAAATAAATCTTAAAAAAATATGCAGATGGAGCACCTGGCTGGTGAGTGGAACATGCGACTCTTGATCTCAGGGTCATGAGTTCCAGCCCCACATTGAGCATAAAGCTTACTTTAAAATATATATATAATATTTTTAAATTTTTTTAAAAAATCATGCAGAGAATTGGAAAGAACTCTTCCAAACTAAAAATATAAAAGCAGGAGTGCCTGGGTGGCTCAGTTGGTTGAGTGTCTGCCTTTGGCTCAAGTCATGATCACCGTGTCCTGGGACTGAGCCCTGCATTGGGCTCCCTGATCAGCCAGGAGACTGCTCCTCCCTCTCCCACTCCCCCTGCTTGTGCTATCTCTCTGTCAAATAAATAAATAAAATCTTTAAAAAATATATGAACGCAAAAATATAACATACAATAAGAGGGTTGAAAGATAAAGTCAAGAAAATTTCCCAGAAACTAGTGTATAATGACAAAAAGATGAAGAGCTGTCAGAAAAGAAAGACAATTAGAGGACCAATCCAGGTTCAACATTTGAATGGCAGTTCCAGAAAGAGAGAACAGAGTAAATAGCATACTGGAAAGAAGAAATTCAAGAAAATTTCCCTGACCTAAAGGACAAGTATCCCCTGGCTTGGCCTAACCCATGGGGCATACAAAGGTAGAAAGTTCAGCCTGCCTAGATCTCTCACCTTAGAAAGGCAGAAATGGCCTTCAATGCCTCAGCAGCCACCTCCAACACAGGGCTGCTTACTGCTTCTTGGAGAGCACGGCCAGCATCTCTACATATGGCTGAGCTTGTGAACAGCTTGATCTCCTCTGGCTGCCTGAGAAATGATAAATTAATAACAAATAAGTGAATATCTATCACTGATGCCACCAGGAATAAATACTTCTTTCCATCTCCAGTCTGGCCCCTACAGGTCTGACACCCCATCACTTTGCTCACCGCGTCAGGATTTCAGCAAAAAGCAGCAGGCCCTGCTTATGTAGCTCTGTGTTGTTCATCTTCAGGCTTCCCTGTAGACTCCTCACCACTGACTCGATCCCTATCTCAAAATGACATGGCAGAGGCCAGGGATCAGTGCTTGGTAGTTCCTTCACTGCCTGCCCAGGAAAAGTGAGAGGCTCTGGACAGCACACATTTGCTGGTGGCCCCTCATGGAGGAGCCCTGACAAGATCAAACTGATGGGATAGGACTGTGAGATCTTTGAGGGCAGGCACTTAACTGATTCATCTCTGTCTCCCTGAAACCCAGCATAAGCCATAGCACAGGCCCTTGAACTCAAGGTATTTAGTAAAAGCCTACTGACAGAGTTGTGCCTTTTCCATTAGTCACACTCCTGTTTCTTCTCAAAGAATCAGGTCAGACCTCCATTCCTCCCGGAAGCCTTTCCTAATCCACTCACATAGAGCTATGGACCTCCACTGAGCTCCCACACCTCCTATACTTCACTCTAGCAGAGCTCCAGTTGGTTCATTTGTATCTCTCTCCCCTTCTAGAGGACAGGGACTACATTATAAATGTGGTCCTATCCTGGTGCCTGACACAGAACAGGAATACAGAATATAAAATGAATGATTGAATGTGCCCAGTCTAAAAATCCAGACATGATATAAAAAGTCCCAGACCAAAAAAGTATCACCAGGAAGGAAGAGGATGGGACAGTTTCAAGAAACCATGAAACAGGGCAGCCTCGGGTGGCTCAGGGGTTTAGCGTCGCCTTCAGCCCAGGGCGTGACCTTGGAGACCCAGGATCGAGTCCAGCGTCAGGCTCCTTGCATGGAGCCTGCTCCTCCCTCTACCTGTGTCTCTGCCTCTCTCTTTCTGCATGTGTGTGTCATAAATAAAATCTTAAAAAAAAAAAGAAAAGAAACCATAAAAGAATGAATCAGCTAAACTTAGGGACTAACTAGACAGACACATATCTGGGGGACAGGAAAAGCACGAGTCCAAGGCCAGTAAAATTGTTCTTAAGGTACAGCAGGAATTCATTCAGGGGCTAATAGGAATACCTTTCTCTTGCCAAACACAGATATGTCTGCTAATCAGTGAAGGGAGCTGTCTGGATATCACTGCTTGCATATGGAAACTGATGAGTTTGGGCTGATGGAAATGACCAGACCCAGTACTCCTCTCCAAGGTGCAGGCTAGTCCCCCATCATTCCTACCGATGCCCAGCTTCAAAGTACTGACCACCCTAGGGGTGTGTGGGTGGCTTGGTCAATAAAGTATCTGACTCTTGATCTCAGCTCAGGTCTTGATCTCAGGGTCATGAGTTCAAGTCCCACATTGAGCTCCATGTTGGGCATGTGGCCTACTTAAAAAGAAAAAAAAAAAGTTGACCACCACCCTACCCAGAGCTAGTGTAGGATTCCCACTACCAACCATACACCGTGTGGCACTTGGAAAAGAAGAGTGGCTCTTCTGCCAGGAGTATCAGGCAGTTGTAGCTGGACCAGATAAGCACTTCACTGGAAGAGGACAGGTGCTCAAAGAGGAACTCTGGCCAGGAGAGGGGAGAGAGAGGTTTTTAGAGCCAGAGAGGCTGACTGCATATCCCTTCTCTGCCAGTGACTAGCCCTGTAAATTTACACCAGTTATTTTCCTTCTCTGATCCTCAATTTCCTTATCCATAAAACAGCCAAGTTGAGGACCTAAATGTGGCAATGCTGACAGCGCACCTTAGGGTATATTTCCTGGTCATAACAAGTCATGAGAAACATTAGTTCCCTTTGTCTTCCTGGTCCACAGGTCTTTCTATCACTCCATACTAGGTGTTATCCCTATCAGTAACAGATTGCTCACGGTCATCTAAGAGAGCTGTAGCAAAAAGATTCACTTGATGAGGCCTACTTCCCAGACTCTGTCCTATACTACTGAGCCTGCCACCAACCCATCTCTCTAGTACACATTATCAAAGGACCCCAATATGATTGTTGCTGCTGTGACTCCAGGGTCTCCAGTCAGAACTCTGGGGTCCTCAGAGGAAAAGATTAAAAGGAGCTCCCTACCTGGAATGTCAGCATGGATGAAGGCCGAGGCATGCTTCACTGGGGAGTGGACAAGCACCGCAGTTATACAGTGGGCACTGGCCACCTGCAGAGTCTCATCTCTAGAGAGGAGAAGCTGGAGAAACAGGCAACAAAAAGTGCCACAGTCACAGCACTGATGGGTAGAACGCGGCAGTCTGAGTGCCTCCTGCACTATCCAGCATAAGGCACAAGGCTGGTGCTCAGGGAGAGCACTTATGGATCATGGAATGGGGTCTCTATAAAGAACAGCAGGTGGGAAACAACAGAAGAACACAACGACATCAAAGAACACTAAAACCATCACCAAGAAGGGTTTGGGACTTCATTGACAAAAGTACATTCACAGCGCTCATCTGGTTTTGATGCTTGCAACAAACCTGAGAGATAACAAGGGAAGGTTCTACTATGAGTCCCCTTTACAGACTGTGCTAAAAAGAACTAAAAATGCAGGCATGAGGCTGTTATCCTTAGAAAGCCCCGTCTATAAAGTTGGTCACTGACTGGGTTTCAGATGTTGGGTTTCAGGAGGGCTCCTGCCACTACTAGAACCAATGGGAGTGACTCTCTGTGACTAACCTATTTGCACAAACAATGGTGTCTATGCTGAATACCTGTCATCTTTCTGGGAGTCTGGAACTTTGGTATGTGTTAGCCAGAAGGTGCTGACATGAACAGTCAGCCCCCAATAAAAATCTGGGGCACTGAGACTCTAATGGGCTTCCCTGCCAGGCTCCATTTCACATGTTGCCACAATTCATTGCATCCTTGTTTGACTCCACTAAGAGAGGATTCAGAATCTTGTGCCTTGTTTTCCCTTGAACTTTCCCTCTGCCGATTTTGTTCTGTATCTTTCACTGTAATAAATACTAGCCATGAATATGACTATCTACTAAACCTGTGAGTCCTCCTAAAGAATCACTGAACCTAGGGGTGGTCTTGGAGACTCTCAACACACAGAGGAAGGAATTAAAGCTCAAGGAGGTTAAGTCACTTACTGCAGGCCACAAAGCTAATGAGTGGCAAAGCTAAGGCAGAAACCCAGGTCAGCCACGTCCAAATCTAGGAGTCTTCCTACAGCGGAGTTTTAGATCAGGTTACTCCTCTACTCAAAATATTTCAATGAATTTCCATTGTACCCTGGATAACATCTAAACTCCTACTGGACACCTTACCTATTAGGAGTCCCATAAACTCTCAGAAATCAAGGAAAGGGTTAACTGCAACTGAAGACTTTAAGTGTAGGAGAAACTAGCCTCCTGTGGGAAAATGGCAAGTAGATATATATCATGAGACAAAAGAGAGTGTGCCTGGTTTTAAAGTTTCAGAGGAAAAGGACTAAGTCCCAATCATATCTGATAGAAATGCATCTGAGGAGTGCAAACTTAAACCATCTCAGTCATCTTAGACTTAAAAATGGACACATAATTGACTAGTCTTCTGTTAATATGTAAAGGAGTTTCTAGATAATCTTAATCTTTAATGTGTTCTCTTTTATATAGAAAATGACATGTATTTCAAGATGCTATTGATGTAAGGCAAACCATTATTTTATATGCCACTAGGGAAAAAGAGCTATAATTAAACTATGACACACTGTTGATGATAAAATGTCTCCCAATTTCAGAGCTGCTAAAATGTGAAAAAAATGTCTCTTACAAAAATGATATTCAATCCTTAAGCAAAACAATGATTCTGGTTAAAAGTACAAACTCCTCATTGTGTTGAGAAAGAAACACTCCAATTCTACTTTTCCATTAAAAACAAAATTATGAAAACTTATCTTTAAAATAGTCCTAATTATTTACCATGACCCATCAGGACCTGCATGATATTCCCTCTAGACTCATCTCCTGCCCCTTCACATCATACCCACCATCCATCCCATTGGTCTCCGTCTGCTTTTAGAACATATCAACTATCCCCCTGAAGTATAACTAACCACTGGCTTACTTTAATTCTTCAAGTGTCAGCTCAAGCATCAACCCTTCAGAGAGGCCCTGCCTGACCACCCAACCTGTAGCTGGCCTTCCTCACATCTCATCTCCTATTTCCTTTGTAGCAAAACAAGAATTACTTTGCTTGCTCACTTACTCGTTCATTACCTGCCTTCCCCACTAGACTGTGCAAAGACATGGAACTCATCTGTTTACATACCATGATATTCCCAGTGCCTAACATAGTGACTGACGTATCACATTAGTGCTCAGTGTATATCTGACTAAATGAATGAATCAACACTGCAATAGCAGGGACACAAACATTGACATTATATTCCCAGGGACCTGAATTTTGGAAGAATAAGTTGATTATCAGCCAAAGGCAGAAAGGAGTAACATTAGACTCTGACAAAAATGCCAGAATAGAGGTAAAGGGATACATATTTGGTATTTTGTTCATTCTGAATTTTTTGCATTAACTTTGATTTTTTTCAAAAAATTGTATTAAAATACTAGCTATCTTGATTGCTGAGTTTTTTAGCATTCCCTTATATTTTGCACCAAAGGCAAGTGCCTCCCTCATCTAACCCTAGCCCCAATCTTGCTGGTTGCTGTTGTAAAATAATACATTGACCATCCAAAATTGTCAAGAGAACAGTCTCCATATATGAATGGAGGCTAGGACCCCTAAACCAAGACTCCTGTCTCTATAAAGTCATGTCCCCCTAGGAAAGTGCTCTCTATCTCTGTCCCTGCCACCATTTTGCTGCCTTGGTGCACTGTGAGGACACAAGACCTTGTGCCCTGCTGAGCCTGGGATCAAATGTTCTAATTAGATGTTACCATGGACTCCAGGATGGCAGCAACAAAATGAGCACAGAAAAGAACCCAATATGAGGTTTTTTGGCTCAGACACACAGGACTTGCTCTTCAGAGTTCACAGGCCCTACATGGATATTTCTAGAGGCATCCCAAGGAAGCAAGGAGGAGCGGTTTACACTGGCTTTTTTATTTTATTTTTTTTTATTTTTTATGATAGTCACAGAGAGAGAGAGAGAGGCAGAGACACAGGCAGAGGGAGAAGCAGGCTCCATGCACCGGGAGCCCGACGTGGGATTCGATCCCGGGTCTCCAGGATCGCGCCCTGGGCCAAAGGCAGGCGCCAAACCGCTGCGCCACCCAGGGATCCCTTTTTTTAATTTTTTTTTTACACTGGCTTTTTAATACCTACCTTATCTATCCCCAACTCTCCCTTTCCCACTTCTGATCAGGGCTCCTCCTCTTTTCTACAGAAGAAGTGCCACAATATGGTCAATCAATGATATCCCCAATATCAGATGAGGATAAATAGTTCTGCCAAGCCCTGTGCTGAACACTGCAGAGAGATCCAGCCAGACTCAGGTCTTGTCCTAAAGAAACTCTAAATAGATCAACCATAATATGGTGAAGTAAGCACTGTGACATAAGGCACTTTCTACCTAAAGGAACCAAGAGGACAGGGAACCCTATAGACCTTGAAGGATCAAGAGACAAAGGAGAGGAGAAACGGCTTTAAAGGCAAAGGGGAAGAACACCCACACAGGCACAGAAACAGGCTGTCCTAGTACACGCAAGGCCAGGGAGAAGTTACATATGGCTGGAGCACTGCGTTGTGGGATGGAAGAGATAGGCTAATAAGGCTGAAGGGGTAAGCAGGATCCAGAGAAAGAGGGCTCTAGATACCAAGCTAAGAAGCTTGAGTTTTATCCCTAAAACAACTGAGACAGCATTTTGTTTCTGTCACTGCCTGTATTCTGCATTATCAGCCAGCCTAGACATTAAGGAGATGTGTATCTGAGGATTCACAACTGAAATAAAACCTGCAGTTGACCCCTGAGTAGTATGGGTCTGAACTGCACAGGTCCACTTACACATGGGTTTTTTTTCAATAAATATAGTACAGAACTATAAATATTTTCTACTCCTTATGACTATTTTAATAACACTTTCCTCTAGCTTACTTTAAGAATACACTGTATAGGGCAGCCCGGGTGGCTTAGCAGTTTAGCGCCACCTTCAGTCCAGGGCATGATCCTGGAGACCAGGGATAGAGTCCCACATTGGGCTCCCCGCATGGATCCAACAGCCTGGGATCAGGATCTCAGCCGAAGGCAGGCGCCCAACTGCTGAGCCACCCAGGCGTCCCAAATAAATAAAATCTTAAAAAAAAAAGAATACAGTATACAATACATATAATATACAAAATTTGTGTTAACTGACCGCTTATGTTATCACTAAGGATTCTGGTCAACAGGGTGCTATTAGTAGTTACATTTTGGAGGAGTTTAAAATTATATGCAGATTTTCAACTGCACTGGGGTCAGTGCCCCAAGCCCTGCATTGACCCCTTGGGTCAACTGTATTTTCAGTACTCTAATAGCACATTGTTTGGACCAGTAAGAAAATACCTTGGAAATCTTATGTAGGAGTGATACAAGGTCCAGGAACCATTTGGGCTCCCTTGTTATTGAATCTAGAGACCAGGAATCACAAGACAATCACCTTTTTGAGCACCAAAGGCAGTGAGGTCTTTCCTGGTGTCCCCTCAACACCCTCAGTACTTTCTGCCAGTGCAGACTTGTTCATGATTAGAGACACAAAGAGATCATACTTCAGCAACTGCCTCAGCAAACCTAGGAAAACAAAAGGGTCAGGAGGTGAGGCAAAAGGAGTATAGGCACAAGAGTATACCCAAGGTAGCCCCTAATACATCCTCTGGAAACTTCTTCATGTCTCCTTAGACATCTCTCCCTGAGTGTGTGTGTGTGTGTGTGTGTGTGTGTGTGTGTGTGTGTGTGTAAGATTTTACTTACTTACTTACTTTGAGAGAGCACAAAGCAGGGGCAGAGGGAGAGGAAGAAGCTGACTCCCTGCTGAGCAGGAAGCCAATGAGGCCCAATCTAGGATCCTGAGATCATGAACTGAGCAGAAAGCAGATGGTTAACCAACTGAGCCACCCACACACCCAAAGGCAACATTCTTAAGATGTCACACCAACTCTAGGCATCTGTCACAGTTTATGCATCTTATCTCCCAAACCCATGACTTCTACCTTACAAAGCAGCAAATTTCTCCACCACTAGCGAGCTAACAAGTCTTGAAGCAAAATCTCAAAAGCTTTCTCTTTTTTCTCTCTGGTCCTATGCCTTACCCAAACAGTTGATCTGTAGCTCCTTTGTCTGGGCACCATCCAGGGTGGAAAGGAAGAGAGGACACAGCTTCTCCCGGAAATGGCCCGAAAGCATCTCAGCTGCCACTGGTGAGGAGTATAGCTTTCCATAGAGGTAACAGACAGAAGCTTGCACTCCCTCATTGGGATACACTAAACCTCTCAACAGATGCTCCATCAGATCACCTGTCCAGAAAACAACCAAGGGGCCATGGAAACCTCACAATGTCAACTGCTATATAAAACTCCAAACCATTGTGCCCAGTGGGGTAGTAATGATAATCCCTTATAATCCCCCATAATAAATGATTTCTGGGCACTTAATCAAAAGGGAAAATCAAGACTTAGAGAAGTTAAGTGATTTACCCTTGGGCAAATACTCTGTGAGATATTCATTTGCATTTTACTGATAGAAAAAAAGTACTTTTATATTCTAGAATTAATTCCTCCTTTCACCCAAAGGAGAGTTCAGAAGTAGGTACTTAATTAGTTTGAGTTAACATAATGAACAAAAATAGCTCAAGACCAGAGTCAAGAAATACTTTTTTCAAGTTGGCCAACATAGAGCACATCTTGCAGACAGGAAAACTAAAGCCTAAAAAAGGAAAGTAATGACTTCCCAGGTGTGTATAGTGAATGGATCACCCAGATACAAGTGTGATCAAAGCAGGTAAAGGGTAGTGGCAGCTTTTCCCCAGAGGTCACTCACTGTGCTCCATTACAAGCTTGTCTGCCAGGAGAGGGACGGCATCCACCAACTTGCCGAGAAGGGTCAGGGTGGCCAGGCTGCCTCGCATGGAGGGCATGTTACACAGCTATAGAAAGTGAACACACTCCATTCTATAAATTAGGATCAAGACAGATTCCCCCACCGAAATGCATCTTCCTCTATCCACACCAAAGCCTATACTGTATACGTCTCTCAATGCAATCAGTAATCAGCCCCTTTAACTGTCTATCTCCCCTATTGTACTGGGAAGACCTCCAGGAAAGGGGCTGAGTCCAATTCCCTTCAGAGTGCTCAGTACCTCGCTCAGTACATGACTGTTAAACTGAACTAAAATTAGCATATTTTGTCTTCTACAGAGCCTGAAATTGCAGGGCGAAAGTTGGGAACATCATAAAGACAAAATTCTGGCTCAGTACAGAAAAAAAAGTATTATCATTATCATAGCTATTATTGAACACTATTTGTCAGGCCCTATGCTTGCTTGATGGTTTACAGGGAGAGTTGATAGTATATCTTTCTCCTGTTCTAGTGACTAGCTATAGCATCTTAAGTAAGACTCTTAACTCCCCTGCTGGGAAATAATAATAGTATCAACTTCATAGGGTTGTTAGGACTACATGAGATCTGCCAAGTAAACCACCTAATAATGCCTTGCATATGGAAAGTGCTCTAAAGAGTTAAGCAGTATCATCATAATGACAAGTATGGATATACATATAATTGTATATAATTATTAATTCAATCTGGTGTATAATCATATGGAGAGTAATAATAATGAAATTATAATTTAGTATAATTTATTTAATTTATTCATGATAGACACAGAGAGAGAGAGAGAGAAAGGCAGAGACACAGGAGGAGGGAGAAGCAGGCTCCATGCCGGGAGCCCGACTCAGGACTTGATCCCGGGACTCCAGGATCGTGCCCTGGGCCAAAGGCAGGCGCCAAACCGCTGAGCCACCCAGAGATCCCAGTATAATTTATAATTACATGTTGTTCTTGGGGTTAGATGAGCATCTGTCTTCCTTTTGCAAAAAAATAAAAAGTGATTCTGATATTATTCCTAAATCTTAAACACAATGCAAGTTGCTTGTTGAATTTGTGTTTTTGACTATCTTGAAGAAGGCAGGTTAACTACTCAGTGCTCACCTTAGATGCTGATAAAACCAAATGAATTCAGTATAAAATATTGTATACAACTCCAGCCAAAAAAAAAAAATACCAAGCCAAGACATAGTAAACAGATTTCCTTGATAAATTCATCAGGGAAATCTGTGTTGTACTTACAAGAGTATAGAAAATAGCCATGGAGGGGCAGCCTGGGTGGCTCAGCGGTTTAGTGCCACCTTCAGCCCAGGGCGTGATCCTGGAGACCCAGGATCGAGTCCCAAGTCAGGCTCCCTGCATAGAGCCTGCTTCTCCCTCTGCCTGTGTCTCTGCCTCTCTCTGTGTCTCTCATGAATAAATAAAATTTAAAATTTTAAAATAAAAAAAATAAAATAGCCATGGGATGATTATGTTTATGTCAGCACACAGAAGTAGCATTTGGAAGGTTGAAGGAGGAAGGAGGGAAGCTATAAAAGTAATGGAGTAGCATCAGAAAACCCAGGCCCTACCTCTGGCTCTGCCACTGACTCAGTGACCTCAGGCAGGTCCCTTTCTCTCTCTGTATTTCAATCTCCCCGCCTATCCATCCAAAGAGGGGTGGGCCCAGCTCTGATATCTGAAGATTCTGAGGGGTACTCAAGAACCCACAATTATTTACTGACCTCTTTGTGGCACTCATCCAGCAGGCAATGGATGGTCTGCTCTAACTTCAGCTGAGTTGTAAGCTGGATAAGGACTGAGCATACACAGTAGCATTACTAATCAGAAGACAACCCCTGGCCCATATTTCACCTTTCATAGCCCTTCTACTCAAAGCCATTTTCTTGTGGTGTAGTCTTTTCTATCTCAATTGTGTACATATTCAAACCAAAGGATTTCTGGCTTCTTCATTGTTTTATATCAGTGGTTCACAATTAGGCTGCACATTAGAATCACCTAGGAAGTTAAAAAAAAATACTAATGCTCAAATTAAAAAAAAAAATTTTTTAAAAATACTAATGCTCAACTCCCACTCTAGACCAATCAAATCAGAATCTCTAGAAAAAAGCCTAAGCATTTAGACATTTTTAAAGCTACTTGGAAAAAGAAAAAAAAATAAAGCTACTTGGGTAAGTCTACTGGGAAACTAAGGTTGAAAATTATTTTATATTATCTCCACTTTTTTTTCCTCCTCACAATTTGCTCCTTCATATCCTAGAAAACAGAATTATGGGTGAGTTCCCGTGCCAATAATTGCCTATATTATCTCTCAACCCCAAACTCATCCTTGTATACAATCATTTGTGATGCTTCTGCTGGTATGTTTGAGGAGCAGTAAAGAGGCTGGCTCTGCAAGTCTGGGAAAAGCTACGAATTAGATTCAGCTGCTGCTGCAGGAAGACTGCCACTTCCAAGGTAAAGAAGTACTCTAAAATGATAGCAACAGGGGATTCCCTGGGTGGCACAGCGGTTTGGCGCCTGCCTTTGGCCCAGGGCGCGATCCTCGAGACCCGGGATCGAATCCCACATCGGGCTCCCGGTGCATGGAGCCTGCTTCTCCCTCTGCCCCTCTCTCTCTCTCTGTGTGTGACTATCATAAATAAATAAAAATTTAATAAATAAATAAAATGATAGAAACATGAAGAAGGCAAGCAGGAAACAGTGGGAAAGAAGCAAGTCCTGCTTCTCTCTCTGGCTTTGCAGTCTCTACCAAGTACCTACCACCTCAGTTATTGGGGTCTGATGAAGGTGTCCAAGTTACACTGGCACCATCCAGAGATGGATGGCTTTAGGATTATAGCCCCACTCAAAAGTGGCTAAATGGTGAAGGGAAATTTCCCCATTCCTGCCAGTAGTCAGAACTTCAAGCGGTACATTTGTTTGTCCACATTATTTAGACTGAGAGACGGTCAGAAATATATACAGTTTACGACCTGTTTATGATCTGTTACAGCTGCTATGTGGTTGGATGGTCATGGATGGAGAGGCAGCCAAGCAGCATCTTCTCCCCAGAGAAAATTTATGTTTTAATAATTCCAACCTCCTTTTGTTTCCCCAGGTCTAAGGGTGGGAGCTGCTTTCTGAAATTGCTACCTCTGTGAAAACTTGGTGTTCTCTTTTTGCCTCCAGTTAGCCAGTTAACTATTCTTTAAAGTTTTTTTCCCATTGAAATAGCTTGTGTGGTTTCTGATTCCTGAATAGATTCTGACACAATTCTTGCTCTTTCTGCAAGAATCCTCCTATCCCAATGCTCTCGTCTTCTTTCTCCTTGAGCCCTTTAAAGTTTATTGATTTATTTTAGTAATCTCTACACAACATGATGCTAGAATTCACAACCCCAAGATCAGGCACTCTACTCCTTGAGCCCTTTGTAAGTAAACTGACACAGTTCCACAGCTTTTTTACCATCACCTATGTGCAGACAACTTCCAACCAACCAATGTGGATGGAATGAAAACAGAGTTTATACATGCCTTTCTTACAGTGTTTATCAGTTCTCATTATTTGCTATCCAATCTCTCCCCTGGAGTGTAAACTCTTAGAGGGCAGGAACCATGTCTTACCTATCTATGCATTCCTAGTGTCTGATACCGTACATGGTACAGAATAGGTGCCTGAGAAAGAAGTGCAGACTTAGTGATTGACAAGTGAGTCTTCTTGATCTGTTTCTAAAATGAGACATTTATTTCATCAAGGTCTCAAACAACTAGAGCTGCAATTCAGGCTAATATCCCCAGCTTCAAATGCTAGGTAAACAGAGTTTTACCTTACCTTCAATACAGAGGTCTGTAACACTCCCATCTTCCACATTGCATAATAGCTCTTGGAGCCAAGACAAGAGAGAGGGGGATGGTTCATAGTTAAAAGAGAAATCCACAAAGGCACACTGTAAATTCTAGACTAATAGCAGCTTTAAGCAATGTCCCAGATAAATGCTATCCTCAACACCAAACACCTAGACTTTCAGTGACCAGAGCACTCTGGCTTTAAAAGGATAAAAACAGTCAATGTGGCACAGCATAAAAACTGAGTGCTCTGGAGTCTCTAATAGACCTGGGGTAAAATTCCAGTTCTGCCAGTTGTTAGCTATGACTTCCCTTAGCCTTGGGGATCATCCTCTCCCCCTTAAAGGACTGTCTTGGCAGATAAAAGCCTGAAAAGCCTCTAGCACAGTAAAGTACCCAATATGAGTTAGCTCCTCTTCCTCCCTGAAAGGGCTCTTTCCACAGGACATTATAATTGTATTAAAAGAAGGGACCTTTTAATCCATCTCAGGCACAGGAAAGGGGAAGTAATTCAATCAGGGTCACATCAGGACAAGGGAGTCTAGTCTGGATCTTCTGATCCTGTTCAAAGACCAGAGTGGACTCTTTGAAAGATAGCACATTTCCCATATTCATATTCACACTTTTACTAACCTCTTGGGTGTAGTAAAGCCAGTTACCATACAATGCATCATGTGTCTTAGAAATGGGATCATTTCTTCATCATTATGACAAAACAATTTACTAATAAGTTAAACTGCTGTATGGCAAAAAACCTAAAGACCAAGACCATTTCTCCAAACCCAAATGTACATGCTATACATGCAAAATTAATGACAAGTTTCCCCTTTAATCTTACCAAAAAGCATGCTTATGAAGTGGATACAGATTCTCTGGTCCCGAGCCACCAGCGGCATGACCAGGGAGGCATGCCTCAAGAGAGCATCTTGGAAGCAGGAAAGCACATGCTTCTTACGCACCAACTTGAGGCAGATGAAAAAATATTCAGTAGCAAGCAAGTCTCAGCCATTCTGAACCCAAACAAATAATCTCTAAATATAATTACAAGATGATATTGGAAGGTTCATCTAAACTATGGTAAGGTCATAATCCCTGAAGAGAGTATAGGAAAGGGCATCATTTACACTCGGAATCCATGTATTTATACAGAGGATTATACATGAGCTAAGATTTCTACTACCCTATATTTACAGAGCACTTTACTATTCACAAATCACTCCTTTGTCTGCTAGCTCATTTAAACCTAACAAGTTGGCAAAAATAGGTATTATTGTCACTACTTTACAAATGAGAAAACAGAGGCCCAGAGACATTCCTAAGGACTCAAATCTGTCTCCAACCAGCTCTTGTCCAAGGTTAGTACCCTTTCCACTTCAACAGTCCAGGAGAGTAATTCTGGAAACCCTGCATGAGCCTCAAAGAGGTCAGTAGAGGGGATCCCTGGGTGGCTCAGCAGTTTGGTGCCTGCCTTTGGCCCGGGGCGCAATCCTGGGGTCCCAGGATCGGGTCCCACTTTGGGCTCCCGGCATGGAGCCTGCCTCTCCCTCTGCCTGTGACTCTACCTCTCTCTCTCTCTCTCTATGTCTATCATGAATAAATAAATAAATCTTTAAAAAAAAAAAGAGGTCAGTAGAGAAATGCGTCCTTCCATTCAACATGGACATAAGTCTTCACAGTCAATTTACTTCCCAGTACAGGGAACTGGGTAGTAGCTGTGTAAAGTGCTCAAGACAGTAGCAAAAGTTAGGTTTAACAAAGGGCAGGGGAGAGGGGATGCACCAAGGATAGAGCAGGAACATGGGTACAACTAACTACATCACCCTTTCAACTGGGGAGAGCTGAAGCTAAAACAAAAGTGCATTCAATAAAAGATGAAGGTACATCTCCTGTTGCCTGTAACCTGTGTGATTGCAAATCTCATGTATTCCTTCACCAGTTCCTCCCACATAATACATTAAGCTAGTGATCTAAATGAGTTACTCAAAAAATTTCGATGACTCACTTTCACCCATCAGATTAAGTCCAAGCTCTTTAGCTTGGATTCAGACTCTTGGAGGAACTCATCTTAACCTGGCTTTTCAATCTCACTTCCCTCACCTTCCATTCGAACACTCTGATTACTTCCCCAAACCCATCCTTGCTAATACTTACTTCCTGGCATAAGCTCCCCCATCTCCTCTGGTCTAAATATTAAATATCACTCATTTTCTCAAGCCTAATTCACATGCTTCCTCCTCTAAAAAAAACTTTTCCCAATCAATTTCCCTCCCTATCCCAGCAGCAGTTGACCACAAATATGTCTATTTACTAAATTCCCAGTAATTTTTAGCCTTCTCATTTTCTCCCCCACATCAATCTTATTTATTTCTGTATCTCTGACTCACTATCCAAGAAGGGCAGCCTCAGAACTTCTGGCCTGAGTGAAATCTCAAGTACAGTCAGCTAGCCAGCAGTTCTCAGAGCATAGCCTGGGAACCCCTGACAGTGCCCAAAATCCTTACAGAGAATACAAAAGATCAAAATCACTTTAATACTAAGATATGGTTTGTTATTCTCACTCTTTTTCTTTCACAAGTGTACAGTGAAATTTTCCAAAGATTACACAAGCAGTATACAACCGATGAAACGCAGAAATATATGAGAATCCAGCTATCTTAAGTTAGACATTAAAGAGACTTGCCAAAAATGTAAAACAAAGCCATTCCTTTCCCCATTTTTTTGGTTTTGGAAAATATCATTATTCTTATTTAAATTACTTATGCCACAGAACTGCACGCTTAAAATGGTAGATTTTACATCATGAGTATTTTGCCACAATAAAACCAATTACGCTAATATGTAATCGACTTACTACTATTCTTAAAGTAGTATTTTGAAATTGTTTTCACTTCTAATACAGTAAACATCATTGGATACGACCCACATAAAAGAAGCTCTTTGGGATCCTCAACACATTTTATAACTGTAAAGGCACCCTGAGAATAAAAAAACTTGAGAACCATTGATCTAGCCCATTCCCTCTCCCTCCAAGGCGGGAATTCCCTTCCCACGAATCTGAGAGGAAAGAGATCTCCCGCACTTTTCTTGGATGCCTCCACGGACAAGAAGTTCATTACAAAGGTGGGTAGGCAGTGAGGAAAAAAGGCATCCCATTTTCCAGCCAGCTCTGCTTATGAGAAAGGTCTGTCCCTCTTCACCCCACACTGCCTGGCTTGAACTTCACTTTTCACGTGTCATCTCGGCCATCGCAGAGCCCAAGGCAGAGACCCCTCCCCCACACTTATACCCTCCGAAGTCTGAAGGGAATGAGGAGCCTCCCCGGCGCGAGTACCCGGCCGTGGGCCGAGCCAAGGCTAAATCCTGGAGAAATGGCAGGGCAGCCATAGAGAAGGGAAGGGGAGGAGGGCATGCGTGCCAGCGAGTCCCGGAGGGGTGGGGGGCTTGGGGTGGGCACGAATAGGCCTAGCTGAGGCACAGAGCCAGGCGCAGAGACCAGTCTGCAAAGGGCTACTCAGCTCAGGGCGGGGCGGCTGGCCGGGTAAACCGAGGATGAGGTGGAGTCGCAAAGGCGGCAGCTGTGGCCTGGCGAGGGAGCAGGCCCGTTCAGGGGGGTGATTTAACGAAGCGAGTGGGCCCGGTTTAGGAAAGGTGCGTCTGGTTCGAGGGAGTTGGTCCGGGGAGGGAAGGCCCAGTTTGGTGGGGGGAAATACCGGGGCCCCATTCGCACCGATACGCAGGGCTCCGGCAGCAGCTCCAGCATGCAGGCCAGACAGAGGCGCGGGGGCACGGGCAGCAGCCAGCACGGGTCATGCCGGTAATGAGCCCTTTCGAAGAGCAGCGCCGTCTCCTCGTCCCTCCCGGGCCCGGGAGGGCCTCGGGCCGCGTCCCTCACAGCCATGTCTTCCCCGGGAACTCCACCGCCACGGCACCAGCACCGTTTCCCGCGCAGCGTGTGCGCAAGCGCACTGGAGAGACCGCCCTCCGCCGCGCACCGGAGGGAAAAGCGAGGTAATGCGCCTGCGCAACCCGCGTGCTACAATCTGCAAGCAGCCGCCCACGAGGGCGTGTGAAGGGCGCTGGCGAGGTCTGGCGGGTGTCGGCCCAGTACAAGGCAGTTTGCTGAGGGAGTCCTCAGGGGTGCTCCCTGCTCCGTGGGGAGCTTGCTGCTCCCTCTTCTTCTGCCCCTTCCCCCTCATGCGTTCTCGCACTTGATCTATCTCAAATAAATAAATAAAATCTTTAGGGGGGGCGCCTGGGTGGCTCAGTCAGTTGAGTCCGCAGGAGTTCGCCTTCACCACTCTGTAGGTTGAAAAATATTTATAAAGGAGCTATCATTAAGCTTGAGAAAGGAAAGAAAGGAAGTAACTCGACTATCAAAAAATTAAACGATCTCAAGGATCTAAAAGCTGTTAGTATTATTTTAAATTTACGTGACCCCTTTCTCGAAGAGACTAAGACGTTTCCCATTAGATATCCTCTCACAGAGGGCTGCAGGGCACTTGAAGCTTTGTGAGCAGCAAGGAACACTGCAGAAGAAAAGATTGTCTACTCTTAGACATATTAGCTGTAAAAGTCTATCAATCTACAAGGAATTATTTAGCACCAGAGTGTCCAGCAAATGGCTAATGGTGATGGGGGTAAGTTCAGGAGGTGTTTTCTACATGCAGAAGCAGTATGACAGTACAAAAAATTATTTCCATGGCAAAATAGTTCAGAAAACAATGGTTTATTGTGCAGTGTTGCATTATGAAGTAATGTTTGAGATAAATAGGTATTAACACGGACAAGTTCTTATTTTTTAAAAAGATTTTATTTATTTATTCATGACAGACAGAGAGAGAGGGGAAAGACACAGGCAGAGGGAGAAGCAGTCTCCATGCAGGGAGCCCGATGTGGGACTCGATCCCTGGTCTCCAGGATCACACCCTGGGCCAAAGGCAGGTGCCTAACCGCTGAGCCACCCGGGCTGACCCGACAAGTTCTTATTAAAATACTGTGCACAAAAGATGTGGAATTATGTATACAAGTGAACTAAACAAGCAACACATCTTAAGTACATTATAGCAGTAATACGTAGTCAACGAAGGCAATGAGAAAAAAATTATATTTTGATATATTTTCTTTTAGTCTATAGATTTTTACAACAGTAACATACAAAAGTTTGTAAACTGCTTCTCCCAAAAGAAAAACATATCATGTACATCTTCCATATCATTAAATATTATCCTGTATATTCTTTTTTTAAGATTTATTTATTTATTTATTTATTTATTTATTTATTTATTTATTTATTTATGATAGACACAGAGAGAGAGAGAGGCAGAGACACAGACAGAGGGAGAAGCAGGCTCCATGCCAGCAGCCCGACGCGGGACTCGATCCCGGGACCCCAGGATCACGCCCTGGGCCAAAGGCAGGCGCCAAACCGCTGAGCCACCCAGGGATCCCCCTATCCTGTATATTCTTAAAAAGTACGTATCCTTTTTGACAAAGTTTTGAGCCAGGAACTGTGCTAGGAGTTAGAGGATTCAAAAGTGAGCAGGAGGGACTCCTGAGTGGCTCAGTGGTTGAGCATCTGCCTTAGACTCAGGGTATAATCCTGGAGGCTAGGATTGAGTCCCACATCAGGCTCCCTGAGAGAAGCCTGCATCTCCCTCTGCCTGTGTCTTTATCTTTCCCTGTGTGTCTCTCATGAATAAATAAATAAAATTTTTTTAAAAAATGAGCAAGAGACCATTCTTGTCCTCAAGTTCAGTCGAGGAGACAGATGAGCAAATTATTGTAATAGAGTATGTTTGTATTAGTTATCTATTGCTGGGTAACAAATGACCCCATGAGATAGGTTGAATGGTGACCTTCAAAAATATGTCTCCATGTCTGCTATGGATTGTGCCCTCCCAAATTCAAATGTTGAAACCCTAACGTCTAATGTGACTATATTTGGAGAGAGGGCCTTTAAAAGATATTTAAAGTTAAGAGGTCATAAGGGTGGAGTTCTAGTCCCATATGACTGGTGGTCTTATAAGAAGAGGAAGAGGGGCACCCAGCTAGCTAAGTCAGTAGAGCATGTGACTTTTGATCTCAGGGTTATGAGCTTAACCCCCATATTGGGAGTAGAGATTACTTTAAAAATATTTTTAAAGGGGGGGCACTTATTCATTTAAGCTTCTGCCTTTAGCTCAGGTCATGATCCTCGGGGTCCTGGGATTGAACCCCACGTCGGGCTCCTTGTTCAGTGGGGAGTCTGCTTCTCCCTCTCCCTCTGCCTAATACTACCCCTGCTTGTGTTCTCTCTGTGTCAAATAAAATCTTTTAAAGAGAGAGAGAGAAAGAAAGATCTCTCACTTCAATTTCCATATACATGCACCAAGGAAAAACCATGTGAAGACAGTGTGAAGGCAACCATCTGCAAGCCAGGAAGAAAGTTCTTACCAGAAACTGAATCAACCAGAACCTTGATCTTGGGCTTCTAGTCTCCATAACTGTGAGAAAATAAATTTCTGTTATTTAAACCACCCAGTCCATAGTATTTTGTTGTAGCAGCCAGAGCAGATTTATAAAATATCCTAATCCCCAGGATTTGTCCATGTTACCTTATTTTGAAAAGGATCTTTGCAGCTGTGATTAAGAATCTTGAGGGGAAATCATCCTGGAGTATACAGGGGACCCTAAATCCAATGACAAGTGTCTTAAGAAGAGACACACAGATTAAAAGAAAGAAGCAACGTGACCACGGAGGCGAGTGGAGTGATGGTGCCACAAGCCAACAAACACCTGCAATTCCCAGAAGCTGAAAAGAACCAGTAATGAATTGTCCTCTAGAACCTTTGGAGGGCCTTCTGACATCTTGATTTCATACTTCTGGCCTCCAGAAGTTGTTTTAGGCCATCAGGTTTATGGTAACTTGTTATAGTAGCCATAGAAAACTAATATGCCCCCCAAACTTAGCAGCTTAAAACAAGAAACATTGACTATCTCATAGTTTCTGTGCACCAGGAATCTGGACACAGCTTATCTAAGTGACCCTGGTTCAATCAAAGTCTCTCACAAGGTTTTGGTTATCTCGAGACTCACTAAGGCTGAAGGATCTGCTTCCAAGCTCACTCATGTAATTGGTGGCAGGATTCATCTCTTCAAAGGCTAAGTGAGGACCTCACTTTCTTGACAACTATTTTCCGGTGGCCTCAATTCCTTGCCATATATGCTTTTCCATTGGGGCAGTTAACAACATGGAGGATGGCTTCCCTCAGGAAGCAAACAAAGGAACTAGAGAAATGACCAAGATGGAGTTACAGACTTTCTAACCTATTCTCAGAAGTGACATTCCATCATGTCTGCTGTATCCTAGCTGTCAGAAGCCAGGCACTAGATCCAATCTACAGGCAAGGAGAGAATATACAAGGGCATGAATGCTGGGAGGTAGGGAGCATTGGAAGTCTTCTTAGAGGGCAGCCCAGGTGGCCCAGCGGTTTAGCGCCGCCTTCAGCCCAGGGCGTGATCCTGGAGACCCAGGATCGAGTCCCGCGTCTAGCTCCCTGCATGGAGCCTGCTTCTCCCTCTGCCTGTGTCTCTGCCTCTGTGTCTCTCATGAATAAATAAATAAAAATTAAAAAAAAAGAAGTCTTCTTAGAGCCTACCTATCACAGTATAAATGCTGTAGTAGACGTAGGCATTAATTGCTATGGAAACACCTTTGCAGGCAGCAATGCATAGCAAGAAAAACATCAAAACAGTAACTAGGTAATAAGATTATGGATTGCTTTTCCTTTTCTGAATTTTCTAAACTCTCTATGATGAGCATGTATGGGTTTTACAATGAGTTAATAGGAAAGTTAAATAAAAAGGAAGAAAAGAAGGGAGAAAGGAAAGGAGGAAGGGAGGATGGAGGAGAGGGAGGGAGAGAACCTGAATTAAATTCCCAATTCCAGCACTCACTGATCTGGACTCTGTGAACCTACCTCCACATGCTGAAGCTACCTATGGGAATGTCATAAGACATAATGTCTTTTGGCTCAAAAGTTTCAGGCTTGATTAAAACAAATAATTGGGTCCAGGATGTCTCCCTGGTGAGACAGGCAAGACAACAAGTAATAATGGTTGACAGTGCTCGAGAAGTGGTAGGAGGGATGCTTTTTCCATGAAGTATGTTCATGGGCAGCAGAGTTCCAGCTGGGAAGATGCCCCGTGATCAGTTCCTTTCCTTGTGACTAAAAGTGTCTAAGTGCAGATCGCCACCCCTCCTCACAAGCAGCTGAGGCTCAGTTTGAGTATCCCTACTTCAATCAGAATTATCTTGGACCAGGGCAAGACAGATCCTTGATAGAAACCTCAGTAAACCTACTGTGGGGGGCTAGGGAAACGAACATGTTAAGGAGATGATGACATTGGGTTGACCCACATTCCCAAAACCTTCAATACCGTAGAATAGCTTCTACCCCACCCACAAAATATCTCACCCTCCAAAAGGGGACACTCAGAAAATATATGACAGAAATATTAGAACCCCAACTGGGCCCAAATAATCAATTTTATTAGAAGCTTTTAGGGTGAGCAGACCATTCTTGTGCCTTCTCTTATGTGTTCTGAGGACCTTGGGCCTGTGGCCTACTTTCTAAAGCCATGCTGGAGCAGAAAACATCTCCAATGCTTCACAAAACCAAACTTCTGGGGGGTCGATGCATTCTGTGGGGCTCCATTTAGGTTCTCAGGTTCCCCTTGACCCCGGAAGCTCTCTGTCTTAGGAAGAGTGGCCTCGGCACAGTAGTGACCTGGTGGCTGAAGGTCTCTCTTCAGAGAAATATGGACTCCACTGCTGCCATCCCGTGTATGTTGGTCACCCAATTTGGGAAGCAGGGTAGGAGCAGGATCCCTCAGGCTCAAGTTGGGAGCTGAGTGCCG